AGAAGGTCTGCTCTGCAGTGTGGGCTGTTTGATCGCTGAAAACTCTTTTGAGTTTAAATGTGATGTTTTTACTTACTTGTGAGGGAGTGACGAGTTTCAGAGGTGATGAAATGTAAAGCTGATGATGCTGTCAGATAACTCCTGATCCGTCTTTTATGACTCGGCAAATGTTTATTTATATCCCTAAAACCATCATCATAGACCTCACGCACTGGCCACGCCCATTGATGTGGAATCCTGTACTGTAGCTCACAACTAATGGTACATTTTATTTGTAAATTACATACCGTTAAAGAAAGATCACTAACATAATCCTAAACATTGTGTTTGTTTGATTTTTCCAGTGGACTTGCGAGGGCTTATGTCTGATCTCCATAAGGTGTTCAAGTGAGGTCTGCGTAGTATCGTCCTTAAACGCACAGTATGTAAAGTCCATCGCCAGGGGGCTCTCAATCAAAACAATAACAAACGACGATGTCAGGGCTGGCGGGGAATCATGGAATTGATTCTGGACCATTATGTATTTTAGTGCGTTCCTTTTGACTTTGGAAATCGGGAATCGTCAGGATCGTCCTCCTGAAGTCGTAATTCCAACTGAGAAACTCTGAGAACCTTAGGTAGCTCGAGTTAAAATCCAACATAGTTTACACAGCAACATATACTATAACATGTACATTTAGAGTCAAACTAAATGTGGCACAGTATAACAGCAGTTAGAGATAACGGCTCTTTATCAGTCCTTTTCAGAGCAGATTTTAGAGCCCAGTGAGTCTGTATCTTCTTAGATAAACCTCTGATTAAAATTGTGGTTGTGGTTTCATTTCAGAAATAAGTCTGAAACAAGACCGAAATGAAAAAGACTTGATGCTGCTGCTTGTAAACCTCTGATCAGTGACTACGGTGATGTTTTGCATGCATCTTCTCAAAGCCTTAAATGTTTAGATACTGTGTATCATGGGGCATTAATGTATATAACAAGTCTTAAGTTCCTATCTTATCTTTGCACGCTGTACGCTTGAGTTGACTGGCCTGCGTTGACCAGTGGTTCTCAGCTGGTCTAGGAGTTGTCAATGCAGGCCAAGTCAAGTGTACAGAGTGCAATGATAAGTCAGGACCTTAAGTGATGTTGTAGAGAACTCCCCACCCACTCCTTAATGAGAAATCATGACCCAAATTTCTGAGATTTTTCAACCAATGAGATTTAATTAATGAAACAAATTGCAATTATTACCTCAAACAGTACAGAACATGAGACAGCTGTCGGGGTGAAGAGCTTTTGAACTAGTATAGTGTCTGCTTGAAACTTGTATGGAAATTTATCAGGTCTTATCTGCTGGCTATCTTCATCATCTCTGGAATACATTTCCATAAATGCAGACGCCCTGACAAAAAACTGTTATTCTATCTCTGTATGTTGATTGAAGCATTTTGCATACATGTTTCCTAATAAACAGGAGTCACGGATCATTTTGATATAATTTGCCTGGTCACGCTCAAACAAATGTGCTACTGCTAGTGAAGATGAGGAAACACCGCCTTCCATTTCAACATATGCTTTTTTAGATGGCACAGCGCACAAAAACAACAGAAAAGGGAAAACCAGACGAGGCAGAGGGAGGAGGAAAGCATCGCCCGGATAACAACCTACTGGCACGCAAATTCTGCTGAACCCAAACCAAGAGAGAGTAATCAACATTTCAGGCATACCTCTTTCCGCTGACCGTCTACAAATTCTATCTAAAGGCCTTTCATATGCCCCCACTTACAACACAAACCAATTTCAGACGAAAGTCGACCTGTATAGATTTGACCAAAATCTACATCTGAAGGCCTGGTATCACAATAAACATGTTAACGCTACAACATCTACCACACCACCTCTTAGAACTGCTAATGAGCCATACAGTCCCTTCTGGCCTAAATATACTCTTGTTTTCTCCTGAACAACAATGTCTGTTGAAATGTATTTATGAAAAAGGTGGATCATGATGTGGAAAACCTTTTTCATATCAATAGAAGATATCAACATGACCCTGGGTGAAAAACAACTATGACATCATGGTGTACTCAGCGGACAAGGGAAGAGTCCCGGTGGTTTGGGGTAGGAGACAATACACAGATGAAGCCCTCAGGCAACTGGACGACACACAATATTATTCCCATCTAGTTTCTAATCCCGTTGAATCAATCAAAAAATAACTGAAAACTATTTTGGACAATGCTTTTGAAAGGAATTGGATCACTAACAGTGAACGGGACTTACTTCACCCTCAGAACTCCAGATTATCTTATTTTTATTTACTTTTCAAAATCTCACACCTTAACTCTCCTCCAGGTAGACACATCATCAGTGGAGAAAGAAGGAAGAGCTGTCAAAGAACATCCATCATCATGCTTTGGGGTTTCGTGGTTTGATGGTTGATGTGATCAATCAGCTCCTTCAATTTCTTATCACAGGTGCTAATTGTATAGCTATTAAATTTGCTAATCTCCTTTAAGAAGAGGTGGATTAGGCCAACACTGTTTCTTGCAGTGCTGCTTGGTCTGATTCAAAAGGAGTCTTAACTACTGGCTCACATTGGGTCTTGGCATTTTAAATCTTGTCGTTGTTTACTCTATCCTGGAAGCTACTTGCACCTCTCAGACAGCTGGACACTTCGGTGTTGGTTCACGTCTCAACTGGACAAATGGCTTAATTGTTGTCTCAAACAACATTGAGCACAAAATTGAAGTATGCTTTGCATGAAATGATAAGTAAGTTTTCAAAAGAAAAAACAATCTTTAGAATAATTACTTCAGTAGATTACTGTGCTAAAACCATGCGATAAAGCTGGTTATTAGGTGACTCACAGGGGGCACCAATTATGTTGGGGCTTTGAAGGCCTGACACGGGTCAATAATAATGTTGGGGTTTCGATGAGCTCACACGCACAACAATTATGTTGGTAAACAAAACAAACAATTGCTATTGGACTTGCAAAAGTATCACAGGAGACTAAAAATCACTGTGTATTTAGAACGTCGACCAAAAACTGTTCGTAGAAATTAGGATTATTCATTATTAATATGAATTAACAAAATAATGAATCTAAATTAATAAAAAGTGATCAACATTTGAGACCGGAACACAGAAAGGAACGTTCACAATCAACAGTTGTGACAAATGATTTAACATGTTTCAATCAATCACTATTTGATATCATACATTTACAGAGTTGCTCCATCGGAAACAGGGATGATTCCAGCTGTTTAGAAGGTCTGCTCTGCAGTGTGGGCTCTGTTTGATCCACATCTATTCAAAGTTAAGAAGCTAAACACGATTGTAATCATGCTATTTTCAGCTCTCTCACTCACAAACAAATACTATTTGAGTTATTTAAATCATTAACCGATCCCAACTCTCTGTGCTTTAGTACAGAACATAACGTAGCTCATTTCTTATTAACATGAGCTTGGTACATGGCTGCATTTTTAAAAATAATTCTTGTACTTATTGCTTTATATCTTATTTTCATTCCATATGTTATTTAAATTATATTTATATTATATTTCTACTGCTATATTATTTGTAAGATCATCTGTAACAATGAAGAACTATATTAATAACCATATTATTTTTTCCTGAACTCATACAAAGTGAAAAAAACAATATTAAACATTTCTCTCTCCTTCACCGCTGTAAGGAACATGGATGTGGGATTCATTTCAATAGAACTATCATTCATCTCTTCAGTTGACCCCGGTGGATCAGGGATTTTTTCTGCCAAGTTTGGTCCAACATTCACAAAATAATTATTAAAGCTATTTGCCACCTCTTCCATATTATAATTTTCTTTACCATCATCAATAAAATACAGAAGATAGCTTACTTCTTTAGAATTATTTCTAATAATACTATTTAATATATCCCATATTCCTTTAACATTATTTTTATTGTAATCTATTATTTTACTGTAGTAGTCCTTCCTGCATCTCCTCAAAATATTAGTTACAGTTTTCTTATATTTTTTGTATCTATTTTCTGCCTCTTCAGTTTTCTTGCAAAATAATATATTAGCCCCTTTATGGTTGGCAAAGACTGTTACTTTAAAAAAATTGCACTACCTCCTTTCAATCACTGCTGTTTATGCACAAACTTTCAGGGGGTCTACACTGTTTATGTACAGGTGGGCGGTGGGCACATCTATCTATTTTATCCTTGTACAGGTTATGTACATTCTTTGTATAAGTCTATTTTTTAATTGCAGAGTTTTAATTTTGAGTAATGTAGGGGCTTCTTTAAACCTTTGTCCTGGTTAATATATATGTACGGGAGGGGGGACAGCAGTTGTTGTTTAGATGTAGAAATTGTTCCATGTTGTGCATGTCTTTGTAAACTGCTACTGGATGCTTTGAATTTCCCCTGGGATCAGTAAAGTATCTATCTATCTGCTGTATCTATATCTTCTATAGCCGGTGTAGCAGCGGACAGAAATGCGACCTGCCCCCCCACCCCGCCCCACCCTAACCCTGCAAACTATACCCAGAGTTGAAGTGGACTAGCCCGAATTATACCCCAGGGTATCTTTTGCTCGGTGGTTTTACCCCAATGTAAAGTATTGGCCATATTGCTAAAAATCCTGACTTTGAATGTTGTACTGATATGGGGCTCAGAGTTGTGAAAATATTTTTAGTGCGACGTTGAAATAATTTCAGCAGGCACGAAAAGTTTCATCTTCTCCTTGTACAAACATTTATTTTTACCTACAAATGAGGAATCATCTGAACTCCACCTCATGTTATCAAAGTGCGTTAAAGATAGATATGCTTGATGATATTATATCGAAGGCAACAAAACTTACTCAGAAGGTGATGACTCATATACAACCAGCTGCTTATGAATAATGAGACTATGAAAACTATTAAACATGCTGTAGCTGAGAAAGGGACTTTGGTGAACAGCTTGATGATCAGATCTCGTGCAAAGTTTAATATAATGCCAAAGGAAATCACAAGATCAGTCAGATCAATCAATCAATCTTTATTTGTATAGCAATTCAAGTGTCTGTTATCTTGAGACACTTTGCAAAAGCAGGTAAGCGACCTTACTCATTGATATATTACAAAGACCCAGTGTTAATCCATCATGAGTGTAGCACTTTTAGCAACATTTTAGCAAAACTTACAGTGGCAAGAAAAGTTCCCATGAAACCCAACATGAGATAGTTCATAAATTCAATGTGATTCCTGAAATAGAGAATAAAATATGATGACACATGCTCTGCAACATGTTGGAAAAACTCAAGTAGGCACATATTATCATTTAATAGATCCAAACATATGTATTCTTGGTATAAGCTTCATGTCTGGTCAAAAGTCAAACATGTTCAGTATCATGCTGTGTGCAGTCTTTCAATCCTGCATGTTTGGCTTGATGTATATCCGACCACATTAACAATTTGGTACGATGAATGATTATCAGTTCTTACTGACGAGAGGTTGTCTGATCCATAAACGAGTCTGTTTCTGAATTATTGCAGGGGTTAACCCTAACCCTAACCCTAACCCATGTAGGAGTAGACTGAACCTTTATGCTTCATTTAATTTTGTTCTCCCTCTTGTATGTTTTTTTACCTTTGTACTTTGAGTTACGTTTTGAATTTTTTGTATGTGTTCATATGTGATTTAATGCTAATCCCATGATATCATATGAAATGTTATTCAACAAAAAAAGACAAAGTAATATACATATTAGCACTAATAATAAATAATAATGATGATCATGTCATGGTTTGTTTACAGTAAAATAAAGAGTAACCACTAATTGTTATCACTCTATCTTTAAGAATTACAACGATGCACATTAAGCCTTTGCATATGAATAATAGACAGTGTAAATGAGGACGACAACACTCAATAACTGCTACTCTTTTTTTCACAGATCCACCGTTTGGATAAACTACAGCTCACATCATTCCAGTTTTCTTCTTTTATCCTGTCATTGTAGAGATGAACACAGTCTTCGCCAATTTTAGGAATCACACCATCGTTATTAGGCTCACCTCTCGCCCAGTACCTTTAAGAAATCAACATGATAGGGAGTTGTTCAGTTTGAAAAATAACAAATAAAATAAAACAGCTCTTAGTTTTTTTCCAGTGATGTTGTTTGTTGAGTTGATGTGACTTTTAACTCCTCTGACTTGATTTAACCATCACATTTTTGTTCTTCTTGTAAGAAGTGTTTGAACTTTGATTTAGGAATGAATTATTTGGTAATTAAAAATACCTGGTGATGGATAAGAACAGATGTGTTTGTTTGTAAATTTAACCTGAGGGCTAAACATCTACTGTGTGCCTTACGCTTGAGTCAGCGGAGTGCCATCCGTCCATTTCCAGATGCCCTCGTTGTCACTGTCACTCAAACCAATCCAATTGTAATCCTCGATGTTGTCCGTGATGAATTCCTGTTGAAGGTAGAGAGCCTGTATTTATTTATTTAGCTTTAATTGTATGATATTTACAATTGAAAGAGAATTTTAGATTTTACAACATAACAAGTTGAGCCGGGGAACCTTTATTATCCATGAAAATGTTTTATCTCACACTTAGGGGAACTTTTTATGTTTTTGTTTTCAGATCACAACATTTTGATAAAAACACTGTAGTTTACATTCCAGGCCAGTAGATGGCAGTGTGACTTTCTCCATCTTTAAGTAGAGTAGCAGGCTTTTTTCATTCAGTGAACACACTCTTATTATCACCCCTGATTCTGACAGGAGTAACTCTATAAAGAACACATTACCTGCTCTTCAATACTGTCCACGATCACCAGATCTGCTCCTCTGTTTCTACAGTCTTGTCTGCTTTCTTCCCAAGTCTTAGCCTGTGTTGAGAAGAGATAACAGGAACGACGAAAAAACTTCCATCCCTCAGTGCAAATGTTCTCTGTAACACACGACAAACATCAAATATTGAAGAGCAGCCATTAAAGAAACATGCATACACACACTGTCAAACGAATGTGGACAGATGACTCCCATACCGCCTCCTAATTTGGCCTGTGATCATCTCAATGTGTTCTGGAAATGTTTTACACCTGTACTTATAGGGCGCCACAGGAATGAGTCCCAAAACCCGGAATGGCTGTCCATTTGTGATCGGTTCACTCAGGACACGTGTTAATAACAGTTGTTAACATGATCTGTTAGTTTAGCCTTTTATTTGGAGTCTTATTCCAATGATGGGATCATCAGAAGTTCATTAGAAGTTGTGTTACGTTCCCCGAGATGGCTAGGGGATGAGGGGAGTAACAATAAAATAAAACCCAGGGAAAAGAAGGAGGAACTTAGTTTAAGTAAATTTAACAATAATGTATTTACATAATCACAAACTAAACAACCAAGAATAAGCTTCTTTTTAAAAACACAACTAAAGAGAAGCTTAACAAATCATTCACAAAATACTTTAACCAAAACACACTAAGATACACAATCTGCACAAAGTCTTTCCCCCTGGAAAAACACCCTCCTTACACAGAAGGAATATGATTACCATCTTGCCCCCTTCCTCAGTTTGAATGATCAATCCTGTGAATCAATCAGAATTTAGGTCGGTTACATTTTCAACAGTAACAAACACAATCACCCGCTCATTCATTCATTGCTCAATTTATAATGATTTATCTCTAAAATGTTATTTTATTTTTTATTTTATTGACTTGCTTTTCTTTCTTTCCTTTTTTTCCTCTTTTCTTTTCATTTATTATCACTAATAACAATAATAATGGCAATTATTATTATAGATTGTACTGACCTATTATATATACTTTTTTTCTCTTAATCCGTTAATTAATGTATTTGTTTCCCTGTTAAATTTCATTATATATATTCATAGAATATAGAGTAAATATCTTTACTATTATATTTGTTACTATTTGTTACTCATTTTTCTCTTCAATCCCTGTTATTACCCATTCACTAAAATACTCTGAATTTAAGTCGACAACGTTCTCAACATTCACAAACACAATCACTGTCATTTATCCATTGGTCCACTTTCTAATATTCATGTTAGTTATTTTTGTTATCACTGCTACTCAAAACAATAGACATTGTCTTGCTGCCAATGCTGGGCAGGGATAATGTGGCTCAAGGGGGAAGTCGATTGTCTGCAAATTGGATATTGATGGTAGTGATGATGATGATGATGGTGGCGAGAATAGTGATGTTTTGATGAATATTTCTTCATCACACACTCTCACACACACACACACACACACACACACACACACACACACACACACACAGTCACAGGGACACAGGTTAAAAATGAATATACCTCCTTTTTTCTAAAGAATTCACAGGTAACTGACTTTAAAGGTGGTTAGCAGAAGTGAGAGAAGATAACAGCGGCATATTCTCTAAATAAATTACACTTCCTCAATGCTAACAGTTAGCTGTGAGCAGTAACCACACAGGAAGAGCACTCACTCTGGTTGAACAATCTCTGAAGTCTTTCCAGCTCTTTAGTCATTTCAGTGAGGTTGGCATTCAGCAGGTCTCTCTGTTCAGTCAGGGAGGACAGCTGGTTCTCTCTGTCCTTGAGACGCTCGGTAAGATTGCCTTCTGTCGATGAATGACGAACCAAGTCGTGGCCTGAAATAAATTAAAGATGTTTCTTTAGTATTACTGACTAAAGTTTCTTTGTTTGAGTCATGAGCTCATGGCTCAGACAACTAACCCCAACAAGATCATTCCTTTCTCCACCAGACTTAGAAAAAGTCATCCATGCATTTCTCTCTTCCAGACTATTTGAATATTTTAATGCTCTTCATACCAGCATCAGCAAACGTAACATCCAAAGAGTGCAATTAATTTACGATGCTGCAGCAAGGCAGTGAGAAGTCACCACTTTACTGCTGGCTTCCCTGACTAGCTGTTAGTTTAAGAATTGTTTTAGAGATTTTATTGGCTGTTTTTAAAGCATAATGGCCAGGCCCCACCCTAGGATCTGCTAACTCCCTTTAAACCTGTCAGCTCTCTGACATTCATAAGCAGGGCTCTATAGTTCCAAAAACTCCCCAATTATTGCACATTTAGTCATAAATATATATATTTATACTTAATTTATTTTCACATCTTGATAAAGGCTTGATATGGAAGTGCATCAAAGTTTCTTTTCAGGTCTGACATGCTGCTGTAACATTCAAATGATTTAAAGAGACATTATTTTGAATGTCTTTTTATCCCTCTGCTAAGATTAGGGCAAAATAACTACATTTGATTCCTGGACGCTCCCGTGTGCTGACTCATCTAAATATTTTCTGTTGTGCTTTTCAAAACACCTCAAACATTATTTAAGGCTGAGAAGAAAAGTAAGAAAGATCTTGAGAAAGGTAAAGAAAAAACGAGAGAAACCAAGACTTGGTTCATTTCTCTGAGCCAACAGCCACAGAAAATAACATGTTTAACCTGATCTACAATGATTTCAAAACAACCGACTCACAGTGGAGGGTGAGGCCGAGGATACCAGCCAGAAAGAGAAAACTCAGGGGCACCAGAAACCAATCAACAGCTCTGTGAAATCTCCTCTGTGAGCTTCTGGGACCTGAAGACAGAAAAGAGCATTCAGGAGCAACAGTTGTGACAGATAATAATAAAACATTATCTCGAGGCGCTTTTTCAAAAGGCAGGTTAAAGTGTCTGCACAGCTCGGTCTGATCAAACACTCTTACTTCTGTGAGATGTCCAAGGACATTCAGATTCAACACTTATTTCCTCCATCGCTCACAGGGGTGATTCCAGCTGATTACTAGAGGGTCTGCTCTGCAATGTGGGCTGTTTGATCGCTGAAAACTCATTTGGGTTTCCAGAGTGTTTTTTGACTTGTGAGGAAGTGACGAGTTTCAGAGGTGATGAAATGGAAAGCTGATGAAGCTGTCAGATAACTCCTAATGCGTCTTTTATGACTCTGCAAATGTTTATCTATATCCCTAAAACCATCATCATTGACCTCACGCAATGTAAATTACATACCGTTTAAGAAAGATCACTAACATAATCCTAAACATATAACTGTTAACCCTTCATTATAACTCGGCAAATGTTTATTTATATCCCAAATAAAGGACTGAACCCTGAGAGACTCCTCATGTCATGATTATCAGCTCAGATTTGAGTTAGTAGAAGGAAACAACATAGCCTCAGCCTTCAAAATATGATAAAAACAGTCAGAAAGTTCATCATTTACAACATTTGAACTGAATTCCAGCTTCAATTGCAGATAAGCACAGGGGTTTCTGTGGTTCTGTTTGCACATTATGTTTATTGCACAACATTTGATGAACAGATCTGCTGTGCCTTGATGGTGAGAAAAATACAAAACAGATACTAAACAGACTGTAGAGCTGCTAACGTACATTATTATCTTCTACTTTATGTCGAGATTTTGCACTTACTGAAATAAAATGCTCTTCTCTGTAGCCTCCTGAGAACCAGAAAACTTAAAGTTGGACTTTCATCAGTTTGAGAACCAACAAGTATTGAGAGGGTGACTTTTTACTCTTCCTCTTTTTTTTTAAAGGATCAGAATTGATGGTTTTAAAACCTTTACTTAAAGGCTGTGATATTTCTTCCTCTATCAGATGTAACTTACGTCAGGTATTTTATAGTGAGTGGGATGTTGATGGAGGAGTGTGATGGTGATAAGGGCGAGGAAAACCCAAAAGTTAACAATAGTGTAAAATGCAACATTCTAATCAGGGCTTTTTTCAAAACTTTGAGGCTTAAACCAGCAGCCCTCAGTCTGTGGGGCCTTGGATGATTATACGTCTTCTATGCCCATAACCCGTGTAGCAGCCCCCATACACCCCAAAAACCATAAATGCCAAACAATGGCTGGATTGAACTGGGCTAGCTCAAAATATGGCCTCTTGAATCTTTGTTCCTGGTAGTGTTACCCCAGAATGACCAAGAAGGAAATAAGTCAGGTTGTCAGCTGTCATATTACGTTGATTTGGATAATGAATACGAAAATATTGCAGAAGCCCTTAAGATTATCCAAAACAACTTTATTTCAAGAACCCAGTGAGCACTTGATTTCATTGTCGAAATTTGGTTGTAATCAGGTCAAAGTAGCTAAGAAGACTGCCTGTCAACCTGGATTGAGGTGTCATCATGTGTATCCCCCCTTTGTGATCACTTTTAGGAACCTAAGGCTTCTTGAGGGGTAAATATTTGAAAGATTCCCCTCATCTTTAAGACTTGAGTACTGTGACAAAGAAGTCTGAGATTATACTCTTGATAAAAGCTTCTGTTATTCATTCTAACTTCAGAGAAAATGGAAGCTGTGTGAGGTTGGTGGTTTGCAACATTGTTTAATCAACCTCAATGGGTAAAGTATAAGCAGTGCAACCAGTGCAATTGCACTAGTGCCCATGGGATAGCCCCTTCTATACTAGGTTGCTATTGGACTCAGTGAATGACAATTAAACTGGTTTTCAGAGATACAGTTGTGATCAGAGAAGCATATGTTAATAATTTTATGGTGCCATTCGCTATATATTGCCTTGAAGAGGTTGACTGTGTGTTATAGTCAGTCACAATCTATAACACAATGATGCGCTTATTCTATATAAACTATAAAAAAAAACAACTATATATATTAAAACGATTCCATTAGAGGAATAATTTCATATTTTCTTTGGTAATTTTGTCATATGCAAATATGCAGTGAGGATTGCTGGTTTGTCCAATGTCATGTGATCATGTGATGTAGATAGTTCTGAGGCGAGCACAGTGCACATCTCCAAGCCGACCGAGCATTTCAAAATGCCTTTCGAACACAAAAGCAGAAGTCAAAAAAAGTCAGGGGAGAAAAGAAAAGGAGAGGGTAGCAAAGATCCCTAAATTAGACTCTTTTGGTTTCACAGTCGGTAACTCACAGTTGACCCCCCTGCCCCTTCGGCCCGTGCTTCAACAGCGAGGCAGCAGGAAATGTTAGGAGGATATAGAAGCTATAAATAATGGTGTGTGTGTGTGTGTTCACTGTTACTAGCGTGCACTAGGGCCTTTCAAAATACCTTGCACTGGGGCCTGTCGTGACTAACTTATGCAACTGATCAACCTACAGCCTAATTTTTGAGCATTAAATGCCCTCAGTATAGCTTCATACAAGAGAGGAGGCTGCAGTGTTCTTGAGTTTTTCCTTGGTGCATTTTATACTTTATACTACTTGTAGGCAACACCGAGGGCAGAAGTGTTGAAACATCAGCAATCTTGTTGAAAGTGTTGCTGATTCTACAACGTGCAACTTTCCTTCATGAACTCTCAACTTTAAGAATTCCGTATTGAAGAATCGGGTCGAACTTTTATGTGGCGGCGCCTTTTGACAGATTCACCCTTTTGTAGAGAGTTGATTTAATCTTGGCATGTTGGTGTCTGGCAGTGGTGTATGATCTCCAGGTCAGCCTCTTTCAGCTCATCCACTGTGAGAGGTGTGTAGCTGAGGCTTGCTTGATAGCCCGCCATGACTTTGTTAAGCTGACCTTTTTGTTGGTCCCTATTACCATCAGACATTCCGATCTCTGCACTTTGCTCCTTTCTCTTCTTAGCTAGGCACAACAACGTGTCTTTTACCTTGACGATCCATGCCACAGCTTTCGTAAGGCATGTCCATGAGGAGTAGTGCTCTGTCAGTTGCTGCATGACATGACGTGTAGGCTGCAGTGGCTGTAAATGTTCAGTTTTGTTTGGCTATAAACAGGCCACAACATATATAAGTCGAATCATGGTGTTTCTCTTCGTTAACGATTATTTAGGTGAAATGCATGCCATTTATTTTTCTGTCATTCCAAACACACTATGTCGCCTCCTAACTACAATAACAGCAGCCTGTTGTGGGAACTTCACAAATAGAACAACGAACATGATGCAGCATTTAATCCACACCACAATGAGAAGCTCCCCTTGTTGAGAGAAAAAAAAATCATTAAAAGGCCAAACTACACCGATAAGCGGGTTATCAGCCCCTAAAGGAATCTTTTTCAGTCAACATTTGTCTACAATCACATTTTGTAAAATAAATGAGAGAAACGTATCGTGAACCCAGCATATTGAATCATATCCTGAGTTGAGTATATCGTTACATATCATTCACTCAATGTTTCTAAGTTGATCACCCGCATATCGCACACCGACCAAACATGCAATTTTTTGGACTGCACAAGCAAGTTAGAATCTTAGTAAATCAGGCCCTTAGTCATGTAACCGGTGTGTTAATGTTCTTATACAGACTGAAGCATGAAAGTGTTAGATTCCTCTGCAAATAATTCCTGTTATATAAGAATGAAAAAAAATAAAACAGGGTAGCATTTTAAAAGACTTTAATTCTGCCCATGTAAACAATCATTTAACATCATAACAAGGAGTAAGTCACACAAGATTACACCAAATAGTGCAAATATGTTGTTTGTGATTAACTATTGTAATTCATTCATTTAAAGGAAGAATGTGCAACTTTTTGATCCAGTAGATGTCGCCCTAGAGAACCAGCATGAAACCATAACAAACTGCTTGTTTGGCCACACCTCGGCTATTCTGAAGCCTCCGCTCTCCTCCAACGGCACACCTCCAACACTCCTCCACTCGAGTTCCAACGAAGGACAAAAACTAAAACCGCTTTTATACATGAGGGGAGGAGCAGGCCGTCCCTTCCATGCAACCTGATCTAAACACAGCTCCAACAGCAACATGTTGCACATTCTTCCTTTAATGCATTGATGGAAACCACACTGACTACCAGGAAAAATAAAATACATCATATAAAGCCCTCTTTCTACATTATGCAAAACTGGGTGAAGGAGTGATTTTGCATATTCAAAAATGATAAACCTCTCGTCCTGATGATCACGAATGCTTAGTGTACTACATTCTTATTTCCTCGACTGATTAAGGTTGCTGGAAGGCAGTTGTTTATTGAAGGCAAGGTAAGTTCCAAATATTTTACACAATATTTTGGATGGATGAGACGACAGCTCCCTAAAAGTGAAGCCAAAACAATTGGAGCTCACCATACAGACTAAAGCATAGCTCATAAGCTCCGCCTCCTCCATGTTGACAGATGGGATTTGGGCGAAACTATAAAATCAAAATACACATCAAAACAATTTCTTCTCAAACATGATTATTTCCTGCTATAACATTTTCAGTTTCTGCCTTTGGTTTGATTGTTGTTTTTTACTGTATGTAGAATATCATTACGTTTCACATATTTCTGTACATATTAAAAACGTAAACAAAACTAAAACTCATTAACTCCAAAAGGCTTGATCATTCACACGTCGTTAAAATGATTAGCGCAGAGTTGTTGCTCATAGCATTACACAAACAGGACTTACTGCATAACAAAAAAAAGATAGATATTACATCATGCATCAGCTGATGTAGTGTAGCTTTAATAATATATGTTAGCTCCATACTAACTGAGCACAATCACAAACTATAGTATAGCATGTTTTCTTCATTTGGTCTGGTTCTTCTGTTAAAAGCATTTTGATTATGGTTTGCAAATGACAAAATGGTAAATGGTGCCGTAGCGTTCAGGTGACTATGTCTGGTTATTTAAGTACAAGCGAGTGCCTAAAAAAAAAAGAAAGGTGTATATCTAGGAAAAATACATTTTAAAAGGTAATCTAACCCCAGCAGAAAAAAAGCAAGATGATTTGATTTCTCTCACTCTCTGTCCCTTCTTTCCACCTGGATCATGTTGGCCTGCTCATTGGACCAGCAGAGGGACAGCCGTCTTCTGCAGGTTCAGACCACTGAGGGCGGAGAAGGGAGGGAGGGCTTCATAGCCCAGCAGTTGACGGGTAGAGGATTCCCAGCTTAAACCGAACTCCAGTCGGCTGTAGATGCATGGGTACTGCTGGTCAGCCCAGCGAACCCAGTCCACCGCCTTCTTCACCTCCTCCCAGCGCTCAGGCCTGGAGGGAAAAAAATATTATATAAGCCATTATCAAAAGAGGTACAGTAATGAGTAAGGAGAAGGGATCATCATGACAGCAGGATTTTGAACTTTGACACAATGCAAGTAAAACTCAAATGATATCGATACTTGTTTGGTACCACGGCACCAAAAATAGTCCTCGGCAACCACTGATGGGTAGTTTCTTGATTTTAATTAAGAATGAATGCAAGAAAACTCATTGCACACTGTCCACATTGCAAAAATGCATCGGCAACATTTCAGTACAGAAACATTGCCAAAGTATTTTTGCAAATCAGATAGTGCCATCTCTGTTTCCAATGGAAGCTTTGGGTTTAAAATACGACTGAGGATCTGCTGTTTTTTAGAGCCTCTGTATAATACAATGAAAGGAGAATTATTGTTTTGACGTGGTATCGAAAAGTATCATGATTTTGACAACGATAGTGGTGAAATAACGTTTACGTAATTATCCAGAGCACTTTATCACAAAAAAGTTTGTGAATCTGAATCTGAAGGAGGTAAACGAGACCACTTTGATCGTGAGAAGAACAGTTAAAATATAAAAGCTTGTATTTTTATGTTTTTGAGTTCCTTTTCTGAAGATGCATGCCTTGATAATGAAATTTTAGATCCATTAAATCATATTTCATGAAATACTTTTTGCAGCCTCAGTAGGAAAATTCAAATTGAATCCCAAGTATGGCTAACACAGCTTTGCTTCAATTAGTGACCTATAGAGCGCCACAGAAATGAGTCCTAAAACCTGTCAGTAAACTTACTGACGGGTTTTTTAGCATTTGAGCGCCATGGGGTATAACGTCTAAAAGTCAATAGGGATTGTGAATGGGTTTGTGGTTAGACGCCTGAAATAAGGTCTGTGGTTAACAAAAGCTTAAGAGATGTTGGCATTTTGTTAGACCACATAAACTACATTAGGTAATACCCCCACTTGTGAATTTTGAAGTTTTTACGCGTCTTGAAAAAAGGGCGGTTGCTAACAAGTGGCTAAATGAGACTACAGTTGTTGTCGGGGACATTAAACGTCATCACGCCAGACACAGAGGCTGGGAACTATCTCACTAGTCGGAGATGTCTCACGTAGGTTTAATCTTTAGGTTAAGGCAAATATTAGGTTAGTAAATAATTTATCGTCTGAAGCATGACGGTAGTGACGTCACAATGATCAGACCGTGGTGTAGTTCACTTGTAGCATAACGTTAGCTTTTTACTTCTGTCGGCCGCATTAATGCTTCAAACATCATAAAAATGGTGTTCATCTGTGGAGATTATCCTGCTGAACAAAACGCCTACGCGTCAGAAACGTGCGTTTGCCACAGATCTTATTTTCTGCAATGATCCAAAATCCAATGCAAAAATCCCATAGGCGAATTCTCGATAGGCCCCATGGCGATGCTACTTCCAGGTTGGCCTACAAAAATATGTCATATGGTTTGTTCTCTATTGCACATCATGACGTACTCATTTCATGCTGGTTTGGACTGACCTGGGCTGAGACGAGTCATCCAGGGAGAAGAGGGAGCGGAGCAGTTTGCCTTCCTCCAGCTTCTCCACCCTCATCAGCTGCAGAACCAGGAGAGTCATCACCAGCCGCAGGATGTCGACACGAGCCTTAACACCTTCAGCACAGAGACACACATAAAAACATGCATGATTTTAACATTCAACGCAAGGTCCACTTTAAGGTTCAAGGTTAGTTTGCGCACCACATGTTACAGAGGCTGTAGTCCTCGAAGCAGGCGGTCTGGGTTTTTGAATCTTACCTGATGCTACTTTCAAAAATCAGGGATACATCAAAGCAGTACATGCCAATTCTGAATATGAATCATGTGGAAAAACTGAATTTCCAGGAAAACAGCGGGGTGGGTAGGTCAGGTAGGTTGTAGGTCATTGTTGGGTCATAAACTGGCATGCAGTAATTTAGCAAAAACTCAATGAAAGAACATTATTTGTGGAAAGAGATGTTGCTGTATTGCACATGTTGTATTATGAACTGGGTGATAGAAGCAGCATTTGCAAGAAAAGAAAAAAGAAACCTGTTCTCACTACTTATGTTACAGTTGTGGACAAAAAGGAAGAAACATAGATCTGTAATTCTACAGGAAGAATGTGCGACATACACTGTATTATACACATTAATACAGCAGAAATCCAGTCTATCCTGTGTAAATGTGTCTCTGAGTCATGACTGTCTGCAATGAGTGAGAAGCTCGAGTCCCGCTGGCTGTGTTGTTGTCAGAGTCGTGTTTACATGGACGGCCGGCTCCTCCCCCTGGTGTATTAAACCAGTTTTAGTCAAGCACTAGAGAGAAGAAGAACATACTCACTGATTATTTGGATGTCAACTAAAGAGTTTTTAGATCACGCTCATTCTGTGTCAATTTATGTGCAATATGAAGCTACGAGCTAACTAAAGAGCGCTAACATTAGCATGCTATCACAACAATGCAGGACACAGGTGAGCAAAGGACAATTTTGCCCGCCCCTTGGGCTTGACTCATCCAATGTGAGGGGAGAGGGGTTGGAGGTGTGTCGCTGGAGGAGAGCGGAGGTATCAGTATGGTGTAGGTGTGGCCAAACAGAAGTTTATTCTGGTGCTCAAGGGTGACATCTTCAGGACCCAAAAAGTTGCACATTCTTCCTTTAAGGGAATTATGTAAATACATCTGTCTTAAATGTAGGAGCCTAACTGTTCAGTCACCTGAAGATGTTAAAAATGTCTTTCCACTCTAAAAAGGTGCCACAAAGACTCTGACGGTTCTCACCTAGAGAGTTGATGCCCTTGTTTTTCAGGAACACGTTGGCAAACTGGTCCACATCCACGTTTACTAATTCTCCCAGTTCTGAGGTTATCTCCCAGTAGCCTTCCTGCAACACACAGACAAAAGTTGCGTTTTGTTGTATTTCCTATGCAAAGTACTCCAAACCTGCATTACAAGCTGGTGAAGTCAGAGGATTAAAGTTTATTAACCTCTTTGCTGAGCTGACATTTCAATGTGTCGTCAGATAAAACCAGGTTTTACTACGGAATTGCCAAGTCCGTGGGATAACTAAAGATGAAGTCCAAATTCTTGTTTTTGGTTTTATTTTTGTTTCGTTAGATATTTTTTAGCGCCAACATTCAACAACAGGCGATGAAACGTGCTCCTCTCTTACCGAATGCTGCAGCTGGAAGATCTTTGTCAATCTGAGTTTGAGGGCTCTGAGATCGTCTGCCTTTTTCCTGAAACGTCACAGAAAGACACACAAAAGTTCATATCCCAAAAAAGCAATAAAAGCAGTTGTAAATTCAAAACACAATCATTTAGAAGTGCAAACAGAGATCTTCACTTTATGCCATAACATATGCCAAATATTTTATGCCAAATATCTTCAACATACTTAGTTAACTATCAGTCCATTCTTCAGTTAACATTCATGTGACTCAGCTTTGCTCAAACATTTAAAATATGAAGAGCATTTTGGCAACAACTGTTAAAAAAACAATGTGTGGACTTACATGGCGGGTGTTGTCACCGCAAATTGCCGAAGCATCATTCGTGATCGTGATCGGTGAGATGATCTGTCGATTGTATTACAAATCTCTGTAATGGGCTGTTCTTCCTCCAGTGCAACTTCACTTCGGTCCAAAGAACTGGACTTGGACATGGCCGTGGACACTTCTTCCTCCGGTACCATACCTTTGCAACTGCGTCGAGATTGCCAAATTCGAGAACGATAATTAGCAAAACTTGGTTCATCAACTGGACCTGGAGTGCTATCTTTAACTTGTACTTGTTGATCTTGTTCAATCGATTCATGTGGATGCAGAGAGCCTATGTGTGACGATATTTCATAAGGTGCCTCATCAGAGCCAAAGGAAATATGACCTGACTTCTTTTTAAAGCTGCGTCTCCCAAAGCTAAATGTTGTCGTCTCAGGTATCACAGTTCCACGAATGTCTGTGGATGACCATGTTTCTGCTCTTTCTTTAGGCAGGGACAGTTCCATTTCATCGAAAGAAGCTAAGTCACACGAATCACTTAACGGAGGTTTAGCACGAGCAAGTCGACCACGTTGTTTGACCTGAGGTCTAGTCGAGGGAGGAGGAGGAGGGGGAAGAGGACCACCAAATGATTTGTCCTTAAGTAAAGTGGAGGGAGGTGGAGGAGGAGGACCTTGGCCAAAAGCTCTGGCCTGAAAAGAAGTGTGGGAAGAAGGGCCACCAAATAAGTTGGATTGAAGACCACCAAATGAAAAGCCCTGGTGTGAAGTAGAGGGAGGTGGAGGAGGAGGACCAACAAACGATTGGGCCATTTCAGGAATGGTGCGAATACGACCACTTAATAATTGGGTCTGATGGCCAACGGAACTTGGAGGTGGAAGAGGAGCTAATGACTTGGCCTGAAGACCAAACAACGAAGATCCAGAAACAGATGAACACGGCTTGAAACCTGTCGGTATGTAGGCCCCAAAACCAGAAGGAGGAGGAAGAGGAGGCCGACCAAATAAGGACGGAACAAAACCAGGGGCAGAAACAGGAGCGGGAGGAGGAGGAGGAGGAGGTGAAAGACTACGTGTTTTGGCCTGATCACGACTCAAATAAGGTGGGGGGAATAACATGGAACAATCTTCGGCTGACGTGGAATAATTGTCGGTCATTAAAAGGTTATCAACACATTCCTTAGGCGCAAAAGAGGAGACGGCAGAAAGAGCCGTGGCCTTCACTTTCTTTCGCATCCATCCTGAAGCCCTCTTCGCCCCTTTTACCATTCTATGACCAGCACTCTGCAAAAGAAGAGACACAGAGAAAAGAAACAAAAACAGGACTTAAAACCTTGTCTGCACACAACCACTAAACAAAAAACATTTTCAGCTAAGGGTTCATTAAAGTTAACACAACCTTTTGACTTAATTAAATTCTATCACACAAATGTTGGTTAATGTTACTTGACCTGGTTGTTACCTAGTCTGTATTCTGAATATCAGTGAAGCAAAAATCAAAAACATCCTATGTAAATTTGTTCTGGAGTAATGACTTCCTAAAAAGAGAGTGAAGTCAGATTTCCTCTGGGTTTGTTGTTCTTGGCTCTGTGTTTATGTTTCACTCAGAGAGGCTCCAGTATGTTTCATTTATGTTTTGTTTTTATGTTAATCCCTCCCTCTCCAACTGTTAGCCCTGCCACCACATGGGGGAAAAGAAACAGCACTGCCCACTCCGGGCCGCCATTCCTAGGGGCATAATGACAGCGTTGTCAAAGGAGAACCATCAGAACCTTTCAGGCCCAGGACAATATATTCTCTTTGGCCTAAAACGACAAACACATAACTGAATCTACTTTGAGATGTGTATCATGACTGGTCTGCCACTCCCTCATAGGGCTTTCAAACTTTCTGAAAACTCCTGATATTTGCAGGAGGAGCTGCATGTGTGAACACAAAATAGCTGAATTTTACACTCTGAATTCACCCAGAGTTTCCTGCTGGCCCAAGCCAAGTCCAAGTGAGTGGATGTGAGAGCGCATCAGAATATTATCCAGAGAATTCACATCAAGCGAGTTGGAGAGGGTGTGACGTTTATACCCTGTGACTGGTGCATAGAGTGTCTGCACACGACCACTACTTCCATGTTGTTTTTAATCATAATGGTCGCCTTGGGAGACCTGTATCAAGTGCTCTAATATTCACTGGTTCTCAACTGGTGGGTTAGGACTCGAAAGTGGGTCGTGGAGCTGTTTTCAGTGGGTCTCGAAGGTATGCCTGGAAAAAAGTTGTCTTCTTAAAACAAGATTGTGTCGTTCGGTTTGTTTTTTTCCGTCACGTTTTTCACCATCTGAGGTCCAAAGTGCAACGTTTTTTATTAAATAAATCTGATTGAAAAATACACAAGAAATTTGGGTCACAATTTTGTGTTGGTGGTGGGTGATGACGCTCGACCAGTTGAGAACCACTGCTCTAATTAGACAAGAAGTATGAGAGCAAAGGGAGATTTTTAAATGACTGTATTATAACTATTTTTTTAATGAATTTTATTTATGAATTTGTAATCTGTAAGGAAAGGTAAACATGCACATGAGGAATCTGTGAAGCTAATTTGCATAGAAATGTTTCCTTCAATTTCCAGCCTGTCCATGCATTAACGATAGCAGCGCCAGGTCTTAAAAAACACTTTTGTTGCTGTGTGAAAGGACCAACCGTGGGTTCATATTTTGGAGAGACGGTCGCTTCCATTAAGCATTCTGTCATCATATGACGTATGGACAATCCGTATCCTTGTCCTCTTTCTTCTTCTTGTTCTTCTTGTTCTTCTTCGTCTTCTTCTTCTTCAGAAGAAGAAGAAGACGGATTGTTAAGACCTTCAGAAGAAGAAGTGAAAAGGCCCATGCCCTACAACAGAGAAACAAACACAGCTCATTGAAGTGGTTGTGAGTGAATCACAACAAATGTGCTCTTTTTCCTATGTCTTATTACCATACACAGATGTTCAGACCCAGAAGAACTGTCAACAGCGCAGAGATAATCATCTCCCACTTCCTCTACACTGCCCGGAGGAGAAATCCAGCTGACGTAAGGCAGGAAGTCCACATCTTCCTCTGCGATCAGCTTGGGGATGTCTGTGACGCCCTCCTCGCCTTGTTTGGAGTCCTAAAAAAAAGACAGATACCTTTTGTTTGTTTGGTACAAACCTGTCACATCCAGGGCCCCGTTCTAGACTCATCTGATCAGAGTAAAAATATTGCATTGAAACAAATATACAATAAATGTTGTTCAAAAGAAACTAATAACTCTGAAATAGATTTGAAACAGGTCATCCAATCTTGGTTTTTGAATGAAAACAATAGTTTGTGTTGATCAGGGATTCATGTAGACTCACACAAACAAAATGCAATAAAACTTTTAAACGCACAGTATGTAAATTCCTCCCCCAGGGGGCTCTCAAGCAAAATAATAACAAAAGATGACATCGAGGCTGGCGGGGAATCATGGTCGTGATTCTTTCTGCCTCCCCCCTTCAACCCCGATGAAAACGAACTCTAAAGACGAACGGGTCGATTTGAGGAAGAGAACATGTTTATGGACGAGATAAAGTATTCCGAGTATAATTCACATGGCGTTTTTATCTCAGCAGCACATACAGCAACAGAATGGCAGCTTTCAGTAGCAGCTCACGCTTCCTTATGTAGCAGTCTTTGATGTAACATCCGGTGTTTCCATAGCAACGATAAACAAGTCGTGTCTATCATGGCGGCTGCCACGATGACACGTCCCATCACAACTATTAAATTACGGATTTCTCTGGCTTTGATAAGTGTTGGAAATATTTGAGGTAATGTGGGTACACAATGTTAAGTCGGTTTGTAATTAATGTAGATATTTTAGTGTAAAAATTCTACATATTACACCTTTACGTAGGACAAATAAATCTATCTCGTTGATTCAGAATTTTTATTTTCTCATGTGCATGCAATACGTTCCCGTATTAGAGTATAAAGTACAGATACACAGTATGAAAATTTGCACAAACCCTTTCCTCGATGGCCACAAAGCTGGTGAACTGAGACAGGATGGAGAACTCTTTGCTCATTTCGATAACAAAGTCCTTCAACACCGCTTTCTTTCCCTAGAAAAGCAAAGAAAAACTCACTGAGTTAAGACTGAGCATGAGGTAATTTTGGTCTCACCTAATGATAAAAAAAAAAAAAAAAAAACAGACACACACAGACCTCATGTTCAGCTTCATTGGTATCCAGGCTTCCATCTTCAAAATCCCTGATGACGGCTCTCGCTGCGAGCTTGTGAAGAAACTAAACACACATCGTCACACTTACTGCCTCATCACCTTACAATAAAGCATTCACAGTTCACCTGTGTAAGTATTGGCTCGGTAGACTAGAATAGATGTGTATTGAGTAAAATGGTTTTACAGTATTTTAGTGCAATGCATTTCTGGTGTAGGGAAACACAGATGGTATTGCACACTTCACTGATTTTGTGCGTCTAAACAACAATCATCGGTATAAAAAGTGGTCTCACACACAGATACATTAGCTGACATTACATTGATTCCACAGGTGTTGTTGAAAGTGTTCTTACTGTGCCCTTGGTCTTCTGCAGCTCAGTGGTCGACACCATGGTTTTAAGCTCCTGACCGCTTATGTTTCCGAGCAGTGTGGCCTGAGTGAAATAACAATCACTGTAAATATGTCAACCATCTGCTTGCCTTCAGCTCCCTTTGATAAGATAATGTGCTGCTTTTAATGTGTCTCATGTCATCGGCTATTACCAATTGGAAAGAGGAAACAAGAAATTGGAAGATATCAAGTCATGTACCACTTATTTCGGATATTTTATAGACAGAACAATAAAAAAATCAACAAACAGGAGTTGACATATACATTATATATTTATAATTAATTACTTGAGTATTTCATTGATGATCAGAATGATGCACAGATTCACAAAAATATGACTGAATCTTCAAGAAGAACTTTTAGGTGTTACAGTCGTAGCTGTTCACCATCACAGATATATTAACCGGGTACCTGAGTGCAGTGCCGCACAAAGCCGTACACCAGTGTGTGACTGTCATTGAACAGAGCTTGGAGCTGTTTGGGGGCTTGCAGAGGAGAGGTCGCTGTTGGGTTGAACTGCTGCCACTTCACTGACACTGAGCTGCAGCCAGGAGACGCCATACGCTTCAACTGACGCGCCACCTGCCAAAGAAAAAGATTAGAAAAGTAGCGTAAGCAGGGAATTTGTGATTTTTATATTATTATAATAACATTAAAATTGAATCTGAAGAAATGTGTCAAGTCTTGAGTCTTGTCTGGTAAACCCAGGGTGAAGCTGTGTATGTGCAATATGGGTAAATGAGGACAACTACGGTGGCTGGGAAGTGCAAACCAAAACTACAAAATGTGAATCACAGGTGCAATTACAAACCTTGGATGAATTTACATTTTAGAAAACAATATTACAAAAGCAAAACCCGTTTACCAAGAGCAAAACACGTTTACAAGATGGGAAACATTTTTACGAGCGCTAAGACAAATTTACAAACAACAGAAATTTGCCGGGAAGGGAATGTAAGGACTCGACCCCTTGACCCAAACAGGAAGAGCGGTATAGATAATGGAGGGGTGGATTATTGTACAAGAGAAAATAATGTATGGATATGTTGACACTGTGTGATTATTTTTGATTTACTGGTAAAGTAGTCAGTCTCACCTTCTCTGCCCAGTTGTGTTTGGTTTTTGTGTCGAAGAATTCGAAGGCTCCGCCCCCTGCCTGGGCCAGGGCTCTGAGCATGTGTCGATTGGCTGTCGAGCTGATTAGAAAAAGAAATACATACCTTAAAACAAATGTTTGTAACCCGAGCCAAGCTAACTATTATCTGTTAATTAAACTGTCTGGTTTAAACCGTTTTCATCAGTATAAACCGAAAAATTTATTGTTTCCGGAGATTTGTAGGGAAGATTAAGAAAACCACATTTAACTTTAAAAAAAAAAAAAAATCCAAAGATAATATCCCGACACCCCCCTGGAACCGCTCAGACCTGAGGCCACAGGTGAAGAGGCGGCTGTGCTGAGCGTTTTCTCGGAGCAGCCTCAAGGTGACCTCTGCGTTCTGGATGTGGCCGTCCGACAGCAGCAGCAGGTTCCTGACGCCGCGTGAAGGAGGCAGCAAGCTGAGAGCTCGCAGGGGTCGCCACAGCTCAGTGCTGCCCCCTACTGGAGAGAAGCACTGAAAGGAGCAGAGCAGGACACACTCTGAAGTCACACCATGCAGTTCAGACTAATTGGATTTGTTTAATTTTGTAACAACTGTCTGTTTTGTATTTCTAAGAACACATTTTATACATTTAGAATTAAATTAATAAATGAACTCTGGTTTGCATAGTATTCACTTTAAGTAGCTTTTTAATCCTACTGACTTGTTAACTGAAATTTCTCCTTCTCCGAATTCATTTATTTGATTTAAAAAAAAAATAAGTCAAAACAATGAAGAATATTTCTATACACTGAAGATTATACACTTCCACATAAATACATCAGAATCTAATCAGCTTGGATTGTCTTGTTACCATTAGTTTCTGTAATATCTTATATAAATACTTACTTTTCCCCAGTGATAACTCACCTTGATGAAGCTCCTGGCTTCTGGACGAGCTTTAACAAGGGGCTGTGGCGTCAAGAAAATTTCTGAGTGATCTGAGAGACATAATAAGAGGGGAACTCAGGACAGTTGGGTTTAAAAATAAAACTGTATTTGATAGGAACAGGATGAGAAAAGGTTTAAATTATCAACAACAAGGGTTAATTAATAATGAGAGGAAATGCTGTGTTACAGGAGAGCTGACATCACCTGAAGAAATGTCTCAAAATAAAGTTCCAGTGTTACCCTCGTCTGTTATACACAGTGAGTGCCTGTTTCCCTCTACCAACGCAATCCCCTACCACTCCAACAGGAAGGCAAAATACTTTTTTAATCAAATTTACGGAAGTTGTGTGCACTCGTTAGGTTCACAAGCTGTGAATACAGACTTTTTTGACTGGGGCTACCGGACTGGGTCCCCGACTTATGCACAAACTGTAAAAACTTAAAAATAAAAACTGTCCCTGATTTGTTGGATGTCAGATGATAAAGTGAAACTTGTCAGCCACAAGGGACCAGGCCACCCTAACCCTGCTGCTGCTGTCAGCCACCCTCACCCAGAAATAGTAAATGATGTCTTGATGCTTTGCCTATTTCTGTGGTATTAAGAAGAGCTGAAACACTCTGCACTCAGTGTGTTTCAACAACAGACGAGTTCAACCAAAAACTGTTAGTTCCTCCGAGGTTTGAAACTGTATTTCTTGCAGTCTGTCCAAATTCTCAAACCTTTATTTTCCTCTCCTTTAGTGAGATAAGTTTACACCTTAACTGTTTTGTGACTGTACACACAGAGATGTAAAAGGGTGAAACTGACCTGTGCCAAATAAAATGACATTGAGTCTGAGCTTGTTGTCGAGATGTTTAAGGGCCTGCAGGGCTATTTTCTGAGCCATGCGGAGAGACTCTCCCTTCATGGACTCAGACGTGTCGATCAACAGGACGACCTCATCAGATTCTGAACAAGATTCAACATCAAAGTCCGGATAGAAAACCAGCATGCAGGCCTGGAGGAGAGAGAGAGAGATTAGAGAGATTCAGAGAAGATCCCAGAGAGAGAGAGAGAGAGACTAAAAGACAGACGGACAGACCTGGCTGTCCTCGTCAGGGTGTTTCTCCACCCACATCCTGGGCAGGTGGACCTCAGACAGAGTGACCAGCAGTTGGAAACCCTCTGGACTCATGACCTCATCTGGCAGCACGCTCACTACTGCTTTACAGTCTGTTCTCTGAGGCATCAAACACACAACAAAACCACAATCACTTTGCAAGCTTTGAATTTTTTTTTCTAACTACTCAATGCTTTGATGACTTCCTCTTTTAATATAGAAATCATAAACCAAATGAGAAATATGTCGCATTATGATGAAGACATGTTTTATGACCTGGTACAAGAAACAGCAGACAACAAAATGCAGCACGCTCTGTTTGTTTTTGTGTTAAATGTTGTTAAAATGTCGTCTTATCCAGCCCGTTTATAAGAATGTGTGAGTGTAAAGTGTAGGATGAAACAATTGAATCTAACAAAAAACTCATAATTTGTGATGAAGTTTGAATATAAAAATTTGTGATGTTGGACGATTAATCCTGTCAACATTATTAAGTATGTAAGTGCTTGACGATTCAACCCCATTTGCAGAAATGTAAGTCAGCCACTCCTCCAAGAACCGTCACCTTAACGTGGTGGAGGAGTTTGTGTTCTGGTGAACCCGGGAGCTGTGTTGTCTGGGGCTTTAGCCCCTGGTAGGATCTCCCAAGGCAAAGTTGTATCGGGGGAGGGTCCAGACTGAGAGCAGTACAAAAATCCCCATATGAAGCGCAATACATGGGAGCAGTCACCTCGTCAGGAAGAGGGAAACTGCAGCACCCTCATGGAGCCGGACACGGACTCCTGGAGAGGGGCTGGACTCTTTCCTTTTCTAAAGTTGCCCAGGGTGAGATGCGTCCGGGCGGGTGTGGGGATACTCATTAGCCACCCGGTTGAGCGCCGCTGTGTTGGAGTTTTTCCCGGTGAATGAGAGGGTCGCCTCTCTGCGACTTCAGGTTGCGGAGAGGAAGGCTCTGACTGTTGTATGTGCATATGCACCTAACGGCAGTTCAGAGTACACAGCCTTATTGGAGTCTCTGGGTGGGGTCCTGGAAGGAGTTTCGCCTGGGGACTCTGTAGTTCTGCTGGGGGACTTCAACGCTCACGTGGCCAACAATGGAGACACCTGGGGAGGGGTGTTTGGGAGGAACGGCCTGCCCGATGTGAAACTGAGTGGTGTTTTGTTGTTGGACTTCTGTGCTAGTCATGGATTGGTGACACCACTTATTTTTGCTTGATTTCCAACCTCATCAAGTTCAGAGAAAAATACATTGTAAACTTTGTTAACTTGGATCCGACAGAGAAAGAGAAAATATCTGGAACCCATGCTGCATTGTCTGCATCTTCAAAGAATACATTTTAAAATCTAAAAACATTTAGATTACCTTAATCTTGATTTGGTGAGTGAGGCACGTTAGTCTTTTGATCTCATTTGGCATCTCTATGGACATGTCGAGGGTGAACTCTCTGTGGGAAAAACAACACATTCAACACAGCTTCTTGATGGAGTGAAGAAATACATTTATCAAAAGCAACATGTAGAACAACAAACGTCTCACTCTAAAAGTTTACCTGTCAAACTGTTAAATTTTGATTACAAAAATAGTTGTTGGCTTTTAATATTTGGGGATCAACTGGTCAAAGGATCCGATACCTCAGCTATTCTGAGAGCTGTTCTGATGACTGAATGCTAATATCATCAACAACTCCAAAGCCTCCTAAAATGCAGTATCTGGTATCAGAGAGTATGCATCTTCTAAAAACACTTTGAAGTATTCAACAAATCTGATCCACAAGCTCTTTGTTCTGAGTGAGAGCAAAAATCCCTGTTAGTACAAAACCCTGGCTCTGTAAATCAGCATCAAACACAGTGGGCCACAGTGAGTCTGTTAGGCATTTCACACCTGCAGAAACGCAAACAGCCCAGAGTTTCCCCTGCCAGACCCCTGGTATCCCCGCTGCAAGTCTGAGGGATCTAATGTGAGAACGCAGCAGGATATTCTGCGGAGAATTCACCTCGACCTGCTGTGTTATTGTTTGTTTGACCAGCTTTTAGGAAAGGTTCAAAGATCTTCCTTAAGAAGCACAAGCCCCAGTTTCAAAGATGCACTCAGATATGAAAAATCTAATGAGGTTATAAACATCGCCTTAAAGTAGAATAATAACTCACCTCTTATTTGCTGCATCGTCAGTCACACAGACCTTCTCCACAGTGACCTGTTGAGAGATAATGAATAAAGATGAAGGCATTTCAATTTTTTCACCCTCAATGCTCGGCCATCAGGCATTAAGATAAAAGTTCTGCTGTGTCAGATACACTCTGAGAGCCTGCTATTGTGCACAAGTTGTGTTTCCTTCTTCATACAAGCGCTCCTGAGCGCACAGCCAGCGCTTTTCTACCCGGACAAAAAATCTAGGTGGACACAGGGTCTTTTTTGCAGGTTCTCCTTACTTGTGTCGTTTGGTTGAGTGCTGCACTCTCCTGCCACGGAGCCACACTGCCAGGCAGACTGAAGACAATACTGCCATCCTTGATTATCAGCTCGGACACAAAGGTAACTTTAATGAGGACGGTTGCACCAGGTGGCAGATTTCCCACACTGATGGTGAACACATCCTGCAATGAGTGAAAAAAAAAATACATTACTTCCAGCACATGAAGAGAAGCAGTAATTCAAACTAACGTTCATTCATCTATGGCTTCCCACTCAAAAGACATATCAGGAATAAGGCCGGATAACCTCCTCTGCATTTTATTATGTGTTAGTCTGAGAGCAGAAGTGGGACATACGGGGGCGTCCTGGTCCATGAGGTACGCTCCATGGCCTTTTTCAATAGCCTGCTTGTACTCCTTGCGAGCCTTCTCTTTCTCCTTGACCTGAGATCCAAAACAAACACATAATACAGAGTTGAAATGGTTTTGGATGTATGGTGGAAGAAGTTTGCTCCTTTAAATACATGAAAGGGTAAAAATGACATATTAAAAAGAAATCTCATCACTGAGCATTCAATGGGAAAAGAGAGGCCAGTTAATACCAGCTCACACTGTGGTCAAAGAAGAAAAGGAGAAGGACTTGAGCTTGTATAGTGCTTCTCTAGTCTTCTGACTACTCAAATCATTTTACACACCTACACATTCACACACTGATGGCAGAGTCTGTTATGTAAAAAGTCCATCAGAAGTAACTAATCCCATTCATACACCCATATCATATGCCACCGACAGGGGAGCAGGAGCAACTTGGGGTTAAGTGTCTTGCACAAGGACACATCAGACATGTGGCTGCAGGAGCTGGGGATCAAACCTCCGACATTCAAGTTGAGAAACGACCGACTCTACTTACTGAGCCACAGCTGCCCCTAAGCCACCGCTGAATTAGTGTTTATGGAAGGGAGCTTTGAAATTCAATCTTAACAAACTGTTTAGAATAAAGCTCAAATATACAAATAATAATACATAACAAAGAAACAAGACAAAACTATACACAAAGAAATGTGTGTAAATAACAGCGCAGCTACCTTTCCGATCACATGTTTTCCATTGATGAAGGCTTCAAATCCACATACTGCTGCAGAATCATCCAACGGGAAGACGTACTTTGCCTCAATGGGCACGGAGCTCAGATTGGTGTATTTCTGGAAAATGATGACCTGAAAAAAAGACAGAGGAGGGGAAAGGTGTTAAGGTCAGAGAGTTATAATCCAGTGAACACCAGCAGTTTGTAAAATCTTTATATCCTGTAATCTCAATCAAATCAACTGACAAATCACTGGAAAAAAAAGTAAAGGCTGTTTTTTTTGGGAACCTGAGAGAGCAGATCCATCAGCTTGCACTTCACATGGACGGCCTGCAGAGGGAGCTGCTGACCAGAGCTGTCCAACAGGCCAGCCGTCACATCCTCCAGCGGGTTTTTAACACTTTCAACCCCTTCAAACTCTGAACCAAGCTCTGAACACAAACAACACAACAACACATGTTTACATGAACCCTTACAGGAACAATACTTTAAAGCATTCTGCAGGTGTGTGGTGCTCACCTTGCTTAGTAGAGGACATCAAGAGCTCAGCCGAGGTGTTGACGACAGGACTGAACTCCTTCAGTTGGTCTCCCTCGATGCTGAACTTAACCACATACTTCAGTTTCACCTGATCAGGACTGTACACCACATACTCATCATCCTGCAACACGGGTGAGATGATACACGTTAGAGAGCACACAGGCCGGGGTACAGATGGGTAAGTGTTGAGTGATACGAGGGAGTGTCTCCACATAAAATGAGATTTCAGGAACAATATTTGGTGCTTTTAGATGACACTTAACATGAGAAGTAGGGCTGACATTGCAGGGTAAATCATGATGGGATATGCAATAGGTGGCCAACAATAAAGATCATTAACGTGATACAACGATTCTGTGATTACTGAAATGCAATGCAATCCAATAAATATCAGATTTACTGATGAATATGAAATGCCCTTAAAATTGTGTATTTTTGTGTTTTTATTCACAGCAATTTGGTGTCAGTTTTACCTCTCATAAAGCTTAAACTATCAACATCTATTCCTACCTGTCTGACATCTCCTTCTTTCTTTTTTAAGCTTTCATTGGACAGTGGATAGAGTCAGAAATCAGGAAGAGAAATAGCTCTGAAGAAATGATAACTGGTGGTGCCGGCTAGCCCAGCGATTGTATTGCGCTCCCCATGTCAGAGGCTATAGTCCTCATCGCAGCAGTTGAGGGATTTGAATCTGACCTCGGCCCTTTGCTGCATGTAATCCCCCACACTCACGTTTCTCTTCAGCTGTCCTCTCTAATGAGGCACAAAAAATGTCAAAAAAGTCAGCTTTTGAGATTTCACTAAACTTGAATTACAGATCTACAGAAGGCTACAACTTTTATCCTGGTTCTTTGGTAAAAAGTAAACTCTTGATTTTTACAACATGGAAAGAGGTCCGAACAGAAAAGGAAAACGTAGAAGTGAATCAATATAATCTACTCAAATTATTGTTAGACACATCATAACAATGACTCGATGTTTAAGTCGGGGTCTGGCCCATAAATTCAGTAATGAAACAGGCTGGTCTGAGCCCGAGAGAACATGCAAAAGCTCGAGTCGGTTCAGGCTGGATTTTTTGGGCCCGATCTATGCGCTACTTAGTGTGATCTTTTTTTCTTTCAGTTTCTCCACATATATATTGTATTTAAGTAAAGTAAAACATTCATTTTGTACCTGAAACTCAGAACGATTGGAGCGCGTACAGCGAACACCGTGCACACTGTCGTGTCCCACTGGAGCCTCGGTCATTGTGTGATCTCTCTTGTAGAAGTCCTGGCACTTTCCCAAAGCCACATCGCTCACCAGCAGCAGCCGGGAGCCGTCCGTCACACTGGGCTTTGAGTATTTCAAACTGGTGCTGTGGATGGACAAAAAGGTAACGGCTCCTTGAGATGTTATTGTAGTTCAAACTGTTCTTGGCTTACTCTGATTTTTACAGCTAAAGGAGATTATTGTATCATGATGTCACAACAGATGTACTACTAACCTCAAGACATCACTAAAGTAGATTCCACTGCCCAGGTTCCCAATGTCAGTTCTCTCAATCCCATGATGCTCCACTCCCACACGAGGCAGCAACAGACCACTAAAGACATAGAGAGAGAGAGAGAGAGAGAGAGAGAGAGAGAGACAGAAACCTCAGATACGATACTGAAGTCAAAGTCAGATTTAATTTTGATTGCAGACAGTCTGACTTTAAAAAAATTTAAAAAGGAAGATCTAGAGTACCTCAAAAACTGTGTGTCTGAGTGAGAACACCTGGAATGATTCCACTAATACCATGTCACTTTGACGGATTCACTAAATCCCAGGATGTGTGATCAGTTGAAATTGTTTAAAAACGTATTATTATCCTATGTGTTTTAAAGAAAGACACCTGCCACATTTTACACAAAAAAGTTTCCATGCAATATGTCAAATATACAGATATTATAAGATAAAAAATGCAGAAACATCTTTTAATTGAGGTGGATTGTGTGTTTGTGGATGTGTGTGTAATTGCGTGTTCACGTGTGTGATCTTACCGAGAAAGGACTCCTACAAAGTTGCTGGGGCTGGAGGAATGGAGGAGGGGCTTTATGTTCCCCAGCTCACTCTTAAACATTTGAAGCTCCACCCCTCTGCTGATACGAAACACCTGATGGATCTGCACTTTGCTGCACAGCAAAGATGGAAAGACGGGCTGTTAGATATTAGATACCACATGTCGATATAATAAATATATTAAAAGGGAAAGAAATCTTCAGCAGGGTCTGGACACTTTGAGGCAGTTGACCAACATAATTATGTTATACATCAGACATAGACGAGTTTTAGATGGCACCCTACCTGCCCTGAAGTGGGGCGGTCACAGCCTGAAACTCGGAACTGCCGGGGGACACGGTCTCAATGCTGCACCTCAGAGCTCGGTACTTCCCCAGAGAGGAAGACATGGGGCTGCTCAGAGTGATCTCACTCACATTCAGCACATCCCGGATTACCTTGACAATAAAAATGTTTTTTTTAGATGCATGTCAATAAAACAATGACTGTGGAAAAACACAGCCAGAGAACGATCACAACTGGACATTACAAGATTCTTCTCGGGGATGCCGGTAGCCAAGTGGTTAGTGCGCGTGCCGTGTACAGAGGCTAGTCCTCCAAAGCGGACAGCCCGGGTTCAAATCCAACCTGTGGATCCTTTCGTGCATGTCATTGCCCACTCTCTCTTTAGCATTTCTGACTCTATCCACTGTTCTATCTCTAAATAAAGGCATAAAAAGCCCAAACATAAACCTTTAAAAGTTTTTTTTCAGGTCATCATTTGTTTACTTTTTTTGATGCATTCAAAAGTTTTTAAAGCTGTAAACATACGGACAACTTAGATCTGTGTGAACACATCACACACTCAAACCTACACAGATTATCCATAAGTGTTTTGAGTGAATTTAGGACACAGCTTGCAGCTTTTTGGGGTCTTTATGTCATGCATACTGTTCATGTTTGTGCACGTGTGTATGTTTTGTGTTACCTGACAAAGGTCCAGTTTCTGAGAGATCAGCTTTGCGGTGGGAGGTAAGGGAGGTTCTTTGTGTGGCAGCAAGGTGTAAACTTCTTCCATGAGAGACGCCACTTCATTTTCATTTTTCTCCTTCAGCTTCCTCTGAGCCTGGAGCAACAAGCCCTCCACCCTGCTCACCTACACACACACACACGCGTTATGGGACACAAGAATAATTGTAATGACATCTATGAAAATAACGTTTTTGTTCCAAAGTAAATGAAACCACAGCAGCAGCAGACAGACAGACAGAGACATTACAGATGAATCCACTTTGAGAACCTCACATCGTTGAGGCTGAGCTTGTCGATGGAAACTCTGAGGATGTTCCTGAGGCATCCCAGGGCCTCAGTCCACAGCAGCTCCACAAACCCGCCCACTTCTTTTGATAAGCTTCCTGTGTGCAGTTTCTCCTCCAGCAGCAGCTGTCATTCAAACAAAGTACAAGCTCATTAGATTGCATTAGATTAGCAGTGAATTCAAATATCACATTTACACAACCTGGTTTATGTAACACACTGTGACTGAGACACTGTTGATGAGGACAGGAAACTACTTTGTCATGTCAGGTTATAGAATCAGTGCAGAACAGACTTTCAACCTTGCATACATGAGTGTCTTTAATACACATTTATGCACACTTGAATTTGTTCATTTAATATTTGATGCAAATGTTGGGAAACTGTTTTTACTAATGTATGGTCTTGATAATGTTTGTAATATATGATTATACATCTTTAACAAACTGTACTCATGCAACTCATTGACAGAACAATATCTGAATCTATTGACTTGTCAATTTTAAATTGTATAGTTTTAAAGGGACAGAAATTATTTCATTATTTGATCAAACAAGTTATACAGCCATTCTAACACAGTGCAGGCAATCAGTTGCAGTAAGTAGGGACCGACCGATATGGAATTTTTTGAGCTTATATCGATACTGGGGAGAAAAAAATCAGAAAACGATATATCCGCCGATATCATTCTTAGATCTATGACAGATCTGTAGAGATAGATATAAACATTTATTGCATTCAGCCCCATATCAGTAATACGTGTAATGAGTGTGCCAGACCTGCTGGAGGGGGTCAGAGCCCAGGGTCTGGACCTGTGGAAGAAAGTTGCTCCGGAGCTGCAGGCCAGTTTTCTGCAGGTTCTCCCTCAGGTCTTTGTACACCTCCAGAGCTTCTTCTGATGTGGACAGAAACACCTGCATGTCCATCACCGCCGCCTTCTGTTGGCACAAACACAGGCGTAGATGTATATATACAGTATATTCCAGTGTGCGTCGTGTTATTCTTTCACTCACGTCTTGACTTGATTTCAAAACTTTAACTAAATATTCCTCTGGGACAAATTGGCAGCTCTTCACTACTTAGTCCTTTAATATGCAAGATTCAGAAGCTAGCAGAGGAAAGTTAATTAAAACCTGAAGGCAGAATCATGAGTGACATTACAGGTACACAGCAAAATCCTCAACAATTTCCAGCTTAATTAAACTGGACAAGCAAAACACAGTCAGCTCAAATGAGATCAAGAGCATGGAATACACAAAAGCCAAACTCATGTCTATAGTAAATCCGGCAAGCCGTGACCCCACATGCTGACAAGCAGTAATTTACACAACGCTTCATACCTTGGACAGTACGTCTTCTTTCCGGTATCGGACCACTCGATACTGCCATCCTTTGTGTCCTTTGAAGCTCTGCAGCTCCAGCACACACCAAGTGTTGCTATTTACCTAGAGGGACATGTATGGTTTAAAATAATAGCGATGCAAGTTACAACTATAAAAGCAGAAGTAGAAAAGCTTCGTACAAACTGCAGCTTTACCTTCTCAAAGATTGAATACTTGGCCACTTGAAAGTTATCAGGAAAGGTTGGAAGATCAGAGTCTGTTTCAGTGTAGTTTCTGTAAAATTGAACACATTGTACACGTCATTTGGAAATACGAGGGCGTAATGTTTTTACTATGGGCTGAACCTGGAGGGTCAGGTAATACCATCTAAAAATAAAATCTCAGATTTCTAATGGTTATCAAATTATTTGATGCCGCTATATTTCCCTCTTTTTAGCTACTAGAATACTTTGTTTATCACTATCCTTTTTCCTGCATCTTATCCCATCTATCCCACTTTTCAAGCCTGATGGAGTTTCAGCAGATGGCTGACATTTTGGACATTTTTTCTTGCCACTGTAAAACCCTTTTCACACATACGGAAATCTCCTGAAAAACTCCAGAGATTTGGCTACCCGGAGGTTTTTTAGGCTATATGTGAACGCAAACAGCCGCATTTTTCAAGCGGACTTTACCAGGAGTTTCTCCGGCCAGACCCCTAGTATTTTAAATCCCCCGAGCCCATGTGAACGACTAGGTCGGGAGAATCTCCGGAGAAGTTCTCCTGTAAATATCTAGATATTATCCGGAGTGCTTATGTAAAAAAAGGCTTAACTTTGCTAATTTCAACCAAAATCTGGAGAAAATTACCAACCCTGCCTTTTACCTGACAGAGACCGCCCTGCCAGGGAGTGTGCAAGAGCTGCTCCCTTTGCAGCTGTAATCTATCTATCTATCTATCTATCTATCTATCTATCTATCTTCATAACTTACCCTCTTTGTTAATATAGCTAAGCATTTCAATGCTAACACTGAGATGATCGCTTTCCACACCTGAACTTTCCCAGGACTTTTCTGCTCCCCTCCAGAGTCTTTGCCTTCTGAGTCAGGCTGATAGATTCCACTGGCTTTGAGGGGCCTTTGTACGGCTCAGCGGGTGCTTTGCTCAACGGGCCTTTGTGCACTGCAAAGCACAAGACAACACATTAAGACATAAGAGACCCACCCGACTTTAACATTCATGTAATGCAGTACTGTAAAAGCACTTCAACTGGTGTGTGTTTAAACCTGACTGACACAAGCCGAGTAAGCAAGGTGATATATAGATACACTATAGAAAGCTTGTATTACACAACACTGCTGCATGGTTGAAATAGATCTAAAGGAAATTAGAATGTGAAACAGTAATACACACCCAGTGAACAAACACACCCATCCTCACACCTGAACACTATGTAGTTCAACCTGCTGACCGTCTTAAGTGTACTTTAATCAGACACTCCATTTATCAGTGTTAACTCAATCATGGGAGGACTATGGAACTAGTGACAACAATACAATACAAGAACTTTGTATCTGTGTTACAGTATGTGCAATTAAAGGCAAAGTACGGGAAGAATCCTGAGTCACCATTCAGACAATGCTGGAAAGGCTGATGCAATTTAGCATGACTATCATCTATTACTGGTGAGATAATGCACACAGAGAGAATGCTTTTACGATCCCACATCGACAAAAAAACACATTTAACAGTCTGCACATCTGACGTAAACACGACTTTTCATACAATAATTCTAAAGTTTGTTCCAGAAACAATAAGCAGTGTGTATTTAAAAAGAGTCAAATGTCGTGTTTGGAGAGCTGTGGCCTTTTTATCATCGGCATGATCCTTCAGTTTACTGCTGCAATAACTCCTCAAACCACAAGTTAGAGGTACACACTTCAACAAGCCAATTCTTATTTTACTCCAAAGATGCAGAAGTCTGAAATACATTTGATCAAATCTTTACTCTTTAAATTTCATCTGAAGAGTTTGTTGTTCAATCACAATTGTGTTTATTAACACTTTGAAGTAACTCTGAAACCTGGCGTTTAAATTGGGCACTGCAGTCCAAATTCAAAACATTGGAGGGCCGTTTCCCCCCCGCCTTCTCCTCCCTAGAGAAACATGCAGAGGCTTTTTAGGTCGGGTACAATCACTTCTATCTTAACCAGTTCTCTTGTCCGCTTCCATCGCTGCAACACCTGTTGCTTTGAACTGATAACTGCTGTCATATCTGGCAAACCGAGGGGTGTCCAAAACGGCCGTGTGTGTGTGTGTGGGGGGGGGGGTCTTAAAACCACCTACCTTCTCTGGTCCAAACAAATCCAGAGCATTCAGGACCAGAATCTAAAGTTAGAAGGAGGACATACTGGCTGCTGCATTGTTGTCATTGTTGAAGACAGCACCAGAGCATGTTTCCTCAATGTCTAATCATCAGTCAGGAGATATCGTATCTTACACATCGCTCCTTTAAAGGCAATTAAGACTTCTCGATCAGGAAGACATGTTTACCAGCGAAAACTTTGACAATATGACGATGCCTGTTTTACACTTGTTTTTAGATTTCATATTTCACACACAGTAGATCCTTAAAATTTCCCCCCAAGGCTCTTCCTATAATGATATAATAAGTTCCACAATGTAAATCCTGATCAAGCTGCTTTTTTAAAATGCAAACATTACATATAAACACATGTTGTTGGTTTTTTTTTTCACCACATGTGAACCTGACACAGGGTAATACAGGAGTCTTGTCCACATGAAAAAAAAAGAAGTGACAACAGTAGAAACTTTCAGGCTGTACCTTTTGAGAGTGAACTTTTCCCTGCTGAGGAGAGAAGGACAGGAGGTGAAGAAGCAAGCGGAGGGGAAGTATCCAGCTTGTATTCGTCCACAGGAAGAAGCACACCTCTCTCCACACAGCTGTACACATAATCCAACCCCACCACAGGTGTTTGGTACTTCTGAATATTACGCAGTCTGTTGGTGCTCAGGGTGGACACATCACTGACCACTATCAGAGAGCACTGTGGGAGATACGCAGGAGAAATCAGAAAGACAGTGGAGTTTCGTGAGAACATTTTAAAGGGCAGAAGTGCTGGAGATAGAAAATAACACAGAATGGAGTGCAATTCTCTTCAGGTTTTACTTCTTACTTTTAAAGCACTTCCCACTCTGGCCCTAGAATATATTTCTGACCTGTTGTCCCCTTACCAGCCAGTGCGCAGCCTTAGATCCTCAGGCAGGAACCGCCTAACTGTTCACACCTCAAAACTTAAAAACTAAAGGAGATCAAGCATTTGTAGCTCGGGCTCCTCGGCCACCTACTTAAAGAAAAATTATCAAATTCTCTGACCTGTTTATTGACCACAAAGGAAAGGCTGCCTCCATTGTCAGTTAAAGCTTCCTTCAGCTTCTTCTTCTCCTTGAAAGGCACATTTTTCAGTTCCAGGAGCACAGAGCAGTTCTCAAAAACAGCCATGCCTGCAGAGAGACGACACACCCAAACACTGATTCAATTTCGTGAAGCGACTGATGGCTTTTAAATGCTTTTATTTTTATGACTGTCATATCCGGTTTACAGTAGAGCCCATGTTATGCAATGTAAGACATTTACGACTGAACGGACGCACCCACCCACTGCTGGGAAACAAACGCGGAAACAATCCTCCAAACTATGCAGGTGTGTCAGTTGAATTCAAGTTTAATCCACGGCCTGTAAATATACATTTTAATCACATCGGCCTGCATTGGAAACTGCGTTAATGTCCCATTATGTAGCTACGTCACGTCAACTCTCAGAGGTTTGTCCCAAATAATGACGATAAAACAGTACTGAGCAGGTTACAGCCCACAAATTAGACTAAAAAACAATACCCAAATTCACACTATCATAAACATGTCCAATAATGTAAATGACATAGTAGTGCATGTTAAGCATAAAAACAGCTTTCCAAAACAAAAGTAACAGCTCAGTAAGTCGCTATCTAGGTGCGATCTGTCGTCGTCCAAAGTCTGGTTAAAAAGAGGAATTATTGAGGTTTACTTTAAATCAGGTATCCATGCAAAAGCTCTGGTTGTTGTCGAAAAGATGAAGACGACGATAGCTCTTGTTAGAGGAAATGCTCCATAATGCAGATATGACACAGTGTAGCATCAAGCCCACGGCAGAACCATTGTCTCTTTCCGGTGAGTCTACAAAATAAAGGCTGTGATTTAAGAAGTAAAACGCAGCCGCCCTGCAAAGACTTTCATAAATAGCCTATGACATCTCTCTTTCAGAATTGCGTTAAAGAAATGATTCAGCTGCCTGCTGTCACACCATACTCTTTATCTTCCCTTTTGATAGTGCCTACAGTTCTTTTGTTTTGTTTGTTTGTTTTTTCCTCTCATTAATCTTTCTGTCTTTTCTTTTAATGGGGTTTTGTGTTCCTTTAATGCACGTTGTCTTTATATAGGCTATGAATGTTTGTGGTGATTGATCCAAATATTCAACTCATGTTATCTGCTTTTGGAAAAATCTTAATAAACAAAGTGAAAAAAAAAAGCCTTTACCTTGAAATCATCCTGCTTTTCCCCAAGCTTTCCTGACATAGGTATGATCATGTTTCATCTTTGCTTTGACAAAACTGGACAAAAATAGCCCTCCTTCCAACTGATCTGTAGGCTTTCAACATCTCCTGGTGAATGTAATTGAGATCTTCTGACTCAATCTCAATAGAGCTTTTTTTTTTTACTTTCAAACTCCATGCAACTGCAGTTTTCAGTTTCTTCCATTCACATTAGTGCATGCTGAGCTGACTGGTTGCAATAATGTTCTGCATACTCATTCCATTTGCAGTGATCTCCTTTTTGACCTTGATATCGTTTTCATTAATAGACTCATGGTGACATTTCTCATCCCTTACCATTTCCTCTTTTGAGCTCAGTGAGGTGCTGTTGAGCTTCACATTTGTTTAGCATATTCCTTTTGTTTTCAAATGACAGTTTTAAACTGTATAACTGTATAGTCCATGATGCAACAGCTCCACAGATTGTTCTGCAATTTCAATGAACTGTAACTCCGCTCCTCGCATTTCCTCTTTTTCAGATTATTTTCATACTGCTTTCCCAATAGAAGTTAACAGTATGACAGCCACCGTCTTTAACATTTCCCTTTAAATCCTCACTTGAGCCAGTGATTACCCATTCTCGATAGCGTTTTCATTGCAAGGGATCCCTCGTCCCTCACCTTGACTTGAATTCATGCCACTGCTACAGACGCACTCTGACAAAAAGTCACACATTGCACATTAAAGGTTTTAATTTGATGTGAAAATGTTCCTCCAGCTCGGAAGATAAGCTCAGAGTCTAAATGGGCTTGAGCTTGTACAAAGCTTTTCTTCTGACGACGACTTAAAGCGCTTTTACACCGCAGGTCACACCTATACACATTCACACACTGATGGCACAGGATATGTACAGTAAAGTGGCCATCAGTATTAGCTAAGCCCAAGGACACAACAGACGTGTGACTGCAGGAGCTGGGGATTAAATCCCCAACCTTCCTGTTAGGAGACGACCTACAGTACCACTGAGCCACAGCCGCCTGCAGTGTAATTCTTGCCATTACCTATAAATGTCTTCAGGGCAAGACTCCTATAATACATGCAAAGCTTGTTTTTTTTTTTTAAGCAGTGAAGTTATGGACTACTTCCTGTTTCAGGCAGTGTAAAATGCACATCAGATTTTGACCCTGAAGTTGCAACTTTAAAAATGGTAGACGTCCTGTCAGAGATAGGGGAGTCAAGACACTTTATTTTAGAATTTGATGTGTTGATTATGAACACCAACTTTCACAAGGTGGAAAAAGGGGCAGGGGAAGTTATAAACAGAAAATAAATATATTTATGTCGTAAAAAGTTAAACATTTGTATTTCAATTTATAAGTTTCATTTAAAAAAAGGATGAGGATTATTCTTCACGCTCTGCACATGCGCAGTTCTCTCTACAGGTGCATCACATCAAAGAGGTAAACTCTGACACTGTGTTGTGATCATGAACTTCTGGGGAGAAAAAAAAAAAAAATCACTGTATCTTTTTTTTCAACCTGTTGTTTCCTCGAAGCTCAAACAAACCGTTGCTGAGCAGGAAGAGTTTCGTTTCTCTGAAGGCCCCGCCTCCTGTCAGCCAGAGAACCAGGAAGTACCCGGATCCTAAATGCGACAGCCACACACGCTGCTGAGAAGTTTATTCACCTGATGAAGATGTGTACTGCTGTGTGTGTCTTCATCCTTTTGGTTTACAGTCTGAGCGGATCCTCAGGTAACGTCATCACCTGTGTTGTTGTTGTGTGTGTGTGTGTGTGTGTGTGTGTGTGTGTGTGTGTGTGTGTGTGTGTGTGTGTGTGTGTGTGTGTGTGTGTGTGTGTGTGTGTTTGTGCTTGTTAGATTAGTTTATTTTTCTTGTGTTTTATTTTAAATTTTTTTAATTATTCGTCTTAGTTTGTATATTGTTAGTTTTAGTTGATTTGTCTCTGTATGGTTCAGAGAAAGATATCAAACAACTTCTTTAAAAAATACCAAATAAAATATTTTATGAGCAGGCCTAGGCTGAGGGAGAGAAGATTTCATTTCTGTTGTCAGCAAACGCATCCAAAATGAAACTGACGTGTCTGAGACAGATTGTAAGTTAGGCTTTATGGGTCATATGATTGTGTATTTGTATTTTTGTTTGTTTTTTAAACACACAATACAGTTTCCATGAGCTGTTTTTTAGTAAAGCTTCGTTTCTATTTTACTTTCAGTTAGCTATGTGTGTGTGTGTGTGTGTAATCAGGAGGGACCTTTTTTTTTATTACTGAGTCACAGTGAGCAGAGCTGACAGATAAGTGAGGCACAGAGCGTGTGTTTTTTTTTTTTATCACAGGTTATTAAATATTATTAAACAGCAACTGAGAATCTGTTTGGGTTTTTAATTTATTTTTGGGCTTTTTGTGTGTGCCTTTATTGGAGAGATAAGGGAGAGAGAGAGAGAGCGAGAGAGAATTGGGAATGACATGCAGGAAAGGAGCCAGAGGTCAGATTCGAACCCGAGGCACACGCTTGGAGGACTGGGCTCCGGACATTAGGGCGCAGGCACTAACCACTCGACCACCGTGCGCCCCAGTAACTGAGAGTTTTGATGTGTGTTCGTTCAGGTGATCAGCTGATAACAGTCTCAGAACAGGTGGTCATTGTGTACATGAGGAGGACAGCAGCACCTGTGCTTAATGTGAATGTGGTTCTTTATTCTACTGTAACTTTATAAAAGACTCAGGTCAACATAAATGATTTCAGAACAAAGAACAAACAGGAGCAGAATAAAACACGACCAGAAACTTTAAATATAACTCCTGTTCAGATGTTGTTGTTTCGGGGATTGTAAACTCAAATAAATTACGTCTACTTCTACTTCCTTTACTGCTATAACTACTGTACTACAGTTGAAGTTAATTTGATGTCTTGCACAGTCAGCCAGCCGTCTCTATGTCTCCAACAAGGGGATTGTTAGCATGTTAGCATGTAGCAATAAAACAATTATGTGTGAATAAATTGGCAAAATGTAATTTTTAGAGGCATCGAGTCAGCAGGTAAAATAAATCATATCTCTTTAAAAATCTATTTAAAAACAAATCAACATGTTTAGCCAAAAGCATCAGTAAGCAACATGAAGGTCTAATAATAATAATAACAATCTGTCTGACTGTGTAGAGTCAGGACTTGTCAGCAGACCTTCTCGTGTCCGACTCACCTCCTTCAACATGGACCTGGTGCTCAGGTGGGATCCACCTGCAGGAGAAGAAGGTGACCTGAGATACACGGCCCAGTACAGGTGAGTGCTGACATACTCAGAGGAAAAAAGAAAAAGTGTGGTGTTAAGAGGCATGGGCGTAGTAGACTGGGGGGGGGAGTGGGACTGACTTCCCAGGGCCCCAATGGAGGAAGGGGTTCCTTATTAGTCCTAAAATAAATCTAAAGTTTTTTCTCACCTCTTCCTCTCCTTATCTCCTCCCCTCGTCTCCCCCTGCAGAGTTGTTAGCACTCACAGAGAGTTGGAGTGGATAGCTGTCTGTGTGAACGTGTCTCGCTGTGAGTGCGACCTGTCCCATCTGCACAGTGTGTTTGGGACGTACGAAGGCCGGGTGAGGACACAGAGGGGGGAGGAGAGCTCTGAGTGGGTTAAGAGTGACAACCTCACCCTGGACAGAGACAGTGAGTACAGTAAACAATATTACTGCACTGAGCTTTACCTGCTCTCACAGGTGACTGTCTGTGTATCACTCATCTGTATCTTTACCTTTTAGACTGATGTCAGTCCTCAAAGGGTTAAAAACCATGAACTCTGATGTTCAATACACAATTCATACATTCATCATAGATTATATAGAGATAAATGATCAATTCAAACGGCATTATAACCAATTAAAAGGTCAGAGAGGTAGGATGGAGACAGAAGCCTCTCTTTTCTGTAATAGGATTTTGTGTTTAACATGTCTTGTGGCATTTAAACACCCAACTGTATTCTGTAGGTTTGTTCAACTTGAAGTACTTGATAATATTTCTATTCATTAAAAGTTGTGCTTTATCTCTTCCTCAGCCATCATCGGATCGCCCGGCGTCTCTCTCCTCTCTCACGGACAATACATAGAAGTGAGCGTGACAGATCCAGAGTTCTCCAGCTCTGCACTCAGGACAGTTTACAGCTCCCCAACCTACAACATCACCTACTGGAGGGATGGACATAAAGACCAGGTGCACTTTGTTATCAAAGGCATTTTCCAAACATTACCAAAAATAGTTTTCCTTTAATGACTGCATAATTAAATTACTCAATTAAATACACTAATTTGCTCATGTTTAGAAGGTGCAAAAGCCTCACAATCTTTTTGTGAATCAGGCCCTGAGGGTACTTAGAGACAGTTGGTATATGTGTTTATATGCATTAGGATATATTTAAAAAGCTGCTTTGTCCGATCTTCCCCTCTGTGGTGAGGTGGAGGACACTGCATCACATTTGAGCTTCTCTCCTTACCTGCTGCAGACCTCATGCAGACCTCATCTGACACCCTCTCTGCTGCCCCCCATAGGCCAAAAGCATCACCAACATCCAGCAGAACCCGGCGGTTTTAGATGAACTGGATGCCCGGACTATGTACTGCGTCCAGGTCCAGATCCACACAGACACAAACCTAAACCCGAGCCAATCCAGCAGGACCGTCTGTGAGAGCACCACCAACAGTAAGAGCTACCACAGGAGCCGTGTTTATTTACCTGTACAGACACCTGAGACTGTGGGCACGCACACGAAAGGACGTGACAAAGCAGAACACTATGGTGTCATTTTTATATCAGATCTCGAGAGCGTAGCGTTCCCCTTACATAGCCAAAGCTGTCAATCAAGGTTCGAGGACTCTGTTTGTATGGGCTTGGTGGTGTTAAAAGTGACAAATCATAAATGAGCCAGTTATAGGATAATTTATTGTTTTTAATTACCAAAAATTGCAGGCAAACTCCTGCACACTGTCTAAATTGCAAAAATAAGTTGGCAGACATTTTTACATTTACCCCATCACCCCCAGTGTTCTCTCGCTTTTACTCGTGGCAGCTTTTGGTAAGAAATAGGACAAAAAAAATAAAAATCCTAACCCAATATTGGGTTTTTAAATTAACAAAAATGCCAAGAACCAGCAATGTTTCTGTACCAAGATGTTGCCAATTTTGTGCACAATTTAGTCAGTGTGCAGGAGATTGCCTGCAACTTTTTATGGACTCGTTCCGCTCCTACACACGTCTCATGAAATAGATATCGTTTTTTAAAGTTGTGGTACTTTTTGGTACTATATCAATAAAATAACAGATTGTTGTAAAACACGTGTTATTAAAAAAGCATCAAACGTTATGACCATTACAGCATTACAGCTACAAACCTCAGTAAATGACGTAGTTAGCACATGCAACAGCTCATGCAACAGCTCATGAAACAGCGGTGTAGTATGTCATATTTCTGTTTTAATTTATAGGCGAGTCCTCTTTCTGAGGCCATGTTGGAGCTGAGCGGAGTGAGGTGATGGTTTAGTTTGAGGAGGTGTTGAGTTTTGACTGTTTTCTAACCCCCATTCATCAACACACACAACGGTAAAAACACACTGATGCTACAACTCTGCTGAGAATTGTTCTGCTCTCTGTGCGTTCTGCAGGAGAGGAGGCTCCGTGGGCTGTAGCCGTGGCGATATTTGTCGTCATGGCGATAGCGATGGCTGTGGTCGTGCTAGCAGTCGTGTATCGCAAAAGAATATCCCACTTTCTGTGTCCAAAAGTTCCACTGCCTCAGGACTTTGTGGTATATTGCTCTGTTTCTTTATCTTCATAGATTGTCTGTTTTATAAACGTATTTCAGCTGTATGCACGCTGTCCGCAACATAATCCTTAGAAAGCTGTTGTTTTTGTCACTGTCGTGCTCAGATTGTTATTCGAAGTGTCTGACAACATTTCAGAAAGGATCATGACAAAGACAGACCTTTTGTGTGAAAGAGGAAGAAGATAATTTTAACCACAAACAACTGTTACATCACTCTCTACAAACACACCAGACTGCACTGATAAAAACACAGATTTAACCTCACGGAACACACTTGTTGTTGGTCTACTGCTGCTTTGATTATTTAGGTTTTTTTGTGTTATTGTTTGACTGATGATTTTTTTTCTTTATTTGTTTTTTCCAACGTTAACAAACGTAAAGCACAACAAAACATACACAAACACACATCAATGTAGTGAGGGGCTCCGTCTCAATATTTCCTCTTACTAAGTCTTTTCTGCACAGCAGAGATCACTATCCGTCTTTTTATGCTGGTAATCAGTCCACTTTTTCCAGTGTTGATCATGGGTCCGTGATCTAGTTAGTAGGTAATGAGTCAGTTTTTCCATAGAGAAAATTTTGGAGGATCACTTTTCAACCAGTTCCTTGTCATGGCCTTTTTACAAGCAAGAATCAGGATTTTAAAAAGGTAGATATCCTTCTTATGGATCAAGTCATTAGGGATCAGGCCCAGATATACAATCCGGGGGTCTCTGGGAATCTTATAACATAGAATATCTTCAAAGGACTGAATAACCCTATCCCAGAATGTTTGCAATTTTACACATAACCAGAAAATATGTGAGTTATTGACATTCATCTGCCCACACTGTCTCCAACATTGCTGTGGAGTACCGAGTTGCTTATTTTTAATTTGGGGTGTGACAAAAAACATTTTTCCACCTTCTAGAGCTCGTGGACGACTGTTGTGTTTCACAAATAGAAAGCCAGTCACTCTTTGACAAGTTTGTATTCAGTTCTAGTTCCCATTTAGTCTTAACATACCATGTATTGCTTCCATTCTGTTTCTGCAAACTTCTATAAAGTTCAGAAACAATCTTTGATGGAGTGTTTTTGTAAGCACCAATCAGAGTTTCAATCACCTCGCTACATTCAGCTGAGATTTCTTTTCTTATTTCTGTATCATAGAAATGTCTGAGCTGTAAATACCTAAGTAGGTCCCCATTCTCTAGCTTACATTCTTGTTTAAGTTTCTCAAAAGTTTTAAACCTTTTTCTCTCTGAGTGTACATATAGCTGTTATTCCCTTTTCACCCCACTTAGCAAATGTATTATCCATCACTCCAGGTTTAAATCTAGGGCTCTGAGAAGGCCATATCAGAAGTTTACTATCCCCTTCCAGTTTATATTTCTTAACAACTTCATACCATGTTTGACTGATGAGTTTTAAATCCAACACGATGTTTTTTCAACAAACAATGACACAAACTAACAGACGCATATGCAGCTGTAGACCAACAACTCCTCTGTGCTTCATGATTAAATTACAGTTTTTTTTAATGGAGTCTTTGCAGAGATTAATGTAAGAACTGTTACTGCTCATTTACAAAAAAAAAAAAACAACCCACTGGAGCAATATGAAATCTATGTGTACTTTTCAGTCATTTCTAGAAGAACCTGACTAAGTTTATCTTTGCCCCCAGGACCATCTGGCTCCACTCAACTCTCACATGTACAGAGCCATGCGGGACTCTAAAACACCTGAGGAGATCTGCCACCCAGTGTGTGTGATCGAATATGACAGGACTAAGGAGGAGGAGCCCCCCCTGCAGGCAGACAGGAGTGAGGCAGAGGAGGGCCCCCTGCAGGCCGACAAACCTGAGAAGGATGGACGCCCCCTGCAGGCAGACAGGACTGAGGAGCGCCCCCTGCAGGCAGACAGGACTGAGGAGCGCCCCCTGCAGGTAGACAGGACTGAGGAGCGCCCCCTGCAGGCAGACAGGACTGAGGATCGCTCCCTACAGGCAGACAGGACTGAGGAGCGCCCCCTGCAGGCAGACAGGACTGAGGAGCGCCCCCTGCAGGCAGACAGGACTGAGGATCACTCCCTACAGGCAGACAGGACTGAGGATCGCTCCCTACAGGCAGACAGGACTGAGGAGCGCCCCCTGCAGGCAGACAGGACTGAGGAGCGCCCCCTGCAGGCAGACAGGACTGAGGATCACTCCCTACAGGCAGACAGGACTGAGGATCGCTCCCTACAGGCAGACAGGACTGAGGAGCGCCCCCTGCAGGCAGACAGGACTGAGGAGCGCCCCCTGCAGGCAGACAGGACTGAGGATCAGTCCCTACAGGCAGACAGGACTGAGGAGCGCCCCCTGCAGGCAGTTGAAGATTTTCTATATGTTTTTTTAAATAAAGAATAATTGTTGTTTACACTGTTGATTTATATAATTTCAAAGGAGACTGTGTCTCCATGTATGTGGTGTTCAAACATTTAAACACTCACACTACTCCTGAAAACTTCCTGAAAATGTTCAGGTTAAGCTCCATGTGTGAACACAAACAGACACATTTTTTATTAAGTAACAGTGGACCAGCTTACCCCCATGTAGTAGTGGAGTGGTCTTTGAAGCAGTTAAAGGCACACTTGTTTGGGAGAGGTCAAGGTAGACAGTAAAAAGGGAGTAGAAAACGCAAGTAATGCCTGTAACCACATCCCGATCCACCCGATCCACTACTACACAGAGGTATGCTGGTCCACTGTTGCTTTTCTTCTGTATTTGTCCCCACTACAGCGCACCTTGTATTACAGATAATTACCCGACACTCAGTGAGCACAGCCAGCTGCCATCCATTGTTTACACATTTTCAATTCTGACTTCATTCAGACTTTTTTCAGCCGGACCCCCAGGAAAATGTCAGCTGGAGTTGGGGTGTGTGAACAAAGCAGGAAATATAAAGGATAATTCGCCTGGAGCGAGCAGGTGGTGGTAATGGGTGCACATCAATAAGAATTGGCACATGACCATTGTCTCTAACAAGGAGCATCCTCCGGTGTTGAAAAATGAAGTCATTGCGAAAGTGCAAAACCCTGCAGTTTGTTGAGTGTCCGCTTGAGGCTGAAGTCATATACACACCACATTAAAAAAAAGCCTGTTTTTACATGTTTACAGCCTGATACAAAGAACTAAATAGGTCTGATACACTGGTACATTGATGAATATTTCCTGCTGTGTTCGCACATCAGCTCACATCGATTTCACACCAAATATTTACTTAGGGGTCTGGCAGGAGAAAGTCTGTGTAAAGTCCGTCGGAGTAAAAAAAGAAAAAAATCATCTGTTTTTGTTCACACAGAATTTCAGGAAGTATTCTGGAGTTTTGTGCAAGTGTGAAAACAGCACCTGATGTGCAGGTAAAGGACTGATGCCTCGTCCAGGTGGAGGCGTCTGGGAGTTACTCTGAATATCTGTTCAAGAAAACCTGAACATTAAACCTTTTAAAGAGCACCCTCGATGAAACACTGAGGTTCATGTTTACTGCCAGTCTGAAGGTTTTATGAACAGAAATAACTCAGTGAAACCAGGAGAGTGTGTGTGTGTGTGTGTGTGTGTGTGTGTGTGTGTCACAGCTGAGCCCTTCACGTGGTTGTGCAGCTCAAAGTTTACACATTGAGCTTGAATAAATATTTGAACACTTTCTGTTTGGTTTAATCTGACTTTCAAGCTTTGACAAACAGAATGATAAACTACTTTAATAATCAATCGTTCACGTCAGTCTTTCTTTAACCAAACACACATTTGAGTCCTGCAGCTCCTCCAGAGAGAAGATTTCCTTTTTCCAGATGCAGAGTGAAATGAAAATAAAAAATGTGTCTGCATATTTAACTTTGATCATTAAGAGATCAAACAACAATCTGATGTCACAGTTCAGTGTGACCGCAGCTACTGAGGCGAGTGTGTACTCTCACCTTTCTATATAGAAACTATAAACATAAATAAACTATTTACAGAAAATAAAGGGACTGTAACCCTGGTTCTTTATTCTCTTGGTTGCAGATTGAGCTCCTTGGTGCTGGCTTCATAAATTAATTTATGTATTCGAAATGTCACGTGTTCCTTCCGCTTGGGCGACAGTCTTTGCAGGGAGGGAGCCAGGCTCCTGAGGAACATCTCCATCTTACTTTGCTGAGAATTGTGGGCTTGAAGACCCTCGGGCTGCAGAACGGGCAGTGGATTAAACTGCAGCAGACGCCACATTTCTCCACAGGAGGAATCCCATTTCTTGGCTGAACGGTGACGTGTGGACCTGACAGGAGCGGAGAGGACTACAGTACAGTGAAGTGGAGTGACGGCAAGATCCAAAAGTGGCATTTCACTTGGGGAGCAGTGACATGTGGCGTAAATTCGGCGGCATATGCTTCTTGTGCCGTGGCTGATGGCGCGCCACAAGGGGACCAACACCATGTATCACTGCTGTCACACCACGTCACGTCTTGCACACAGTTTAAATTGCACAAATACATTGGCATATTTTCAGCACTGTTTCAGCCAAATATTTCACTAAAAGCTATATTGCAAGAGAAAGGGAATGCACAAAATTGCACAAATATGTTGTCAACGTTTAGGAATTGCTTGCAGATTTTGGTAGCTGAAATCATGAAATTACATAATATTGGGTGCCAAGGAGGTCTTTTCTTGCTGCTGGGGTAACGTGTATCGAGGGGAGGAGTCCTAACCACTTGAAAACAGGTTTATGAACTCAATAGAATCTCACTGAAAGAAAATGTAAACATCTCAATATTACTCCAGAAGTGAAAATATTGAGTAGCTTCATTTTCTAAACACTTGTTTCTGACGTGTTATAAAACAGACATCTTCACGGCGTACAGTTAGAATGGTATGTGATACTAATGATACTCATAATAATGAGCTCACCTGGTCATTCAGTGTTTCCATAGTGGAGCACGGACATGCAGAAAATAAATAAATAAAATATATATATATATTTAAAACTCCACCGCAAAGTGAACGCATCAATTTAACTCGATGTATAATACATTTATTAAGTATCAGATTCACGTTAGATTACTTTAACAAAATGCGTTTAAATTCCTAAACAGGGTTCATAAAACACACCCTCGATACTACTGAGCAGATTCTTCTTCTTCTTCTTCGGCTGGTAAAGAACGTGTCAGCGCATTACCGCCACCTACTGGTCAGGAGTGTACCGGGAACCATCGACTGTATTAATTAATTATAACTAAACATCACAAAAATAAAACAATAGAAGGGATTAAAAACTCAGGACGTGGTCGAAAATCTCAAAATGTTTTACTCCCTATTGTTTTTTTCTAATATTGATTAAAACGGTGGATGAATTCCAACCAGCAGGTGGCGGAAGTGCGCCGGAACGCTGATTACGCTTCCTGTATCGGGAAATAGCGCGTCACAGCAGGAATACTGTACAGCCGAGCCGAGGCGAGGTGCGGAGCGGAGCTCAGGAGACATGAGCTCATGAAGAGCTGTCAGTGTTATTTGTTTAGACCCCCCTCCATCATGTCGATCTCATCGTGGGTCTGTCTGCTGCCCCTGATCTTCTACACCTGCTTAGGTGAGTGTTTTAGCCGCTATTGTTACGAACGCTACGAAGCCGCAGGTGTTTCGGTGTAAAGAGTGACCGTGTTAATTGGTTACTTCCAGCTGTTAAATACGCCAAGAGACGAGGCACCATCAACGTGCCTGCCAACAATGTTCATGTTATTTTATCAAATACATATATGATGACTGTATGTTGACACTATAACGATAAGCCAAATAAAAGAGACATTATTGAGGATTAATGTGTTGTTATTACAACAGCCACACGGCTGAAAGACACCAGTTAACGCGGTCACTCTTTGAATCGTAACACCTGAATGTTAGCATGCTAACGTTGTGATGTGATATCTTCTGTGGCATTTATAAACTGTCTTTTGTCAATGTTAAGCTGATATAACGGGTTTAACATTGAGTCTGTCTTCAGGTGTTCTGTAGATTTATGTATCCTTGTTAAGTTGGTGTTATGGAGTGTTTATGTCAGTTAGCTAGCCGCACGGAGGCTGATGTTCAAACAGCTGCAGTTGTTACGCACTCATTAACATCAGCTTGTCTGACAATCGAGGTGCTTTTAGGGCTATAGGACAGGAATGAAACACGTATGACATAACGTGAGTTTTACTTCAAACATAAAGGGTTAGCTAAAGACAGGCTCGACATAATGAAATGTGGAAACAGAAAGTAAATCTGCTGTTTCAAAAGAGAAAATAAGGTTGACATGTTCAGAGACAGGACCAGGTTTATTAGGCTACTCTTTTTTTGTACACTTACTTTTAACAAGCTTTGTTATTATGGTGTGTAAATACGTTGGAATACAATTAAATCGAAATCATGTGAGCAGCAGCACTTCTACACTGTCAACAAATCTACAACAAAAGATACATTGATGAAGTGATGTTAAAGAAAATATGAACAACATTTATTTTTACATGATAGCCTAACTGAAGAGCAATACAGATCGTGCAGGAATGTAAAAAAAAAAAAAAAAAAAAAAACATTTTCTGGCTCCAAAACTCCACCCCCTTTTGGAAAACATCTAAAAATATCGTTTCCTGTTTGATACCAAAACTGCAAATATAAGTTAGGGCTTTAATAGCCCTTGCGCAAAGGGTGCGGAAGCGGGTGGCCTGGGTAATCCAACCTGTGGCTTCTTACCCTCATGTCATTGTCCACTCTCTGTCTCCGCGGTTTCTAACTCTATCCACTGTCCTATCTCTAAAATAAAACCCCAAAATAAATCTTTAAATAATGGATAGATAAAATTAGAAGCCCTAGACACCAAATGTTGGGTAATGTATTGTTGTTTTGCAGGTGTGGGTGGAAAAAAATAACACCATATTTACATTCCATTGAAGATTTTGAAGTCAGTGTCTCTTTACTCACACAACACAGAGCTGTGGGAGAGGAGCTCCCAGAGCAGAGGAAAGTCTCAGTACAGAAAACATACGTCACGCTACTTAGCAACAGAGAAGCTATCTCTCATCCGAGAGGCCCAGTCGTGCCAGCTTCCCAACAATCTCTTAAGGACACCTGCTTACTCCCACTGATCTTATCAAGACCTCTAAAAAAAAAAAAAACACCAAATCATTTTATGAGCAAAGCACTCAATTAAACAGTATTTTTTCCATCAGCAGGCAAACCCCTGCACGCTGTTTTAACTCTACAAATATGTTAGCAACATTAAGACAAGATGGATGAGCGAGGAAGAGTGAGCCCTCGCTCCTCATCAGCTCCTCCTATCCTATAAACTTAACAAAAACAATTTCAACCAACAACGCAGTCCCTGAGCCCGACGGCATGTTTGAGACCGGCAGGCCAGCTGCAGTTTGTCTGATGGATGTTTCAGGGAGACCTGTGAAGACGCTGTTACAGTGATCAAGTCGACTGAGGGTAAAGGCATGGACATGTTTTTCCAGGTCCTGATGAGTCATAAGTCCTCTAAGTCTTGATGTGGTCTTCAGGTGAAAGTAGGCAGACTTTGTAACTGTCTTAATGTGGCTTTTAAAATGTAGGTCTGAGTCCATCACCACACCCAGATTTCTTGCCTGGTCTGTGGTTGTTCAATAATAATGACTGAAGCTGCGTGCTGACTTTTAATCGCTCCTCCATTGGCTCCAAAAACAACAACCTCAGTTTTGTGTTTGCTAAAGAAAAGGTTAAAAAAATAAGAAGTTACATGTAGTTTAATTGGATTGTTTTAAGACTAACTCGTTCCTGGCAGGCATCTACGAGTTCTCCCAGCAACTAATGAGCATTCTTATAATTAATTAATTAATTTATTATTCAAAATAAAGACAGTTTCATCTGATGCAATATGAAAGATTAGATAAGACATGATAAGTTAAACCCTCGCTCCTCTCCACTCTCATTACAAATGTTGCTAACATATCTGTACAATTTAGACAGTGTGCAAGAGTTTTTCTGCAGATTTTGATAATGGTATCAATATTTGTTGATTTGTATAAATATATTTAAGTGTGAACTTCTGGTATCGTGATTCAAGACTTCCCTAGGTGGTAAATTTGTCAGACTGGATGTGTGTAGGAACAGACCTACGATGTGTGTGCAGAAAAGAGGAAACAGAGCGTGTAAAGTGGTTCATCATACGCACTGAAACATTAGAAACGTCCAGAGATCCCATATGAGAGAACCTTCTGTAACCCCGTGTTATCCTATGTCAGTCAATGCGTCTGTTAATAATAGATTATTTCTGTTCCTCAAGTCTACTCATCAGATCGTTACTGTCATCGCGGCTTCACACTCTCTATGACAATGTATTCATAGAGAGTGCGATTTTTTTCAATTATTTTTGTTACCACATGTTTTAAAACGATACCATCTGTTATTTTCATGGTTGATGGAATAAAAAAGGACTTGACCCTTGAAAAGAACTGAATAGATCTTCAGTCAAAAAGGAAGGAAACTCTTGTGCTCTTGTAATGTATTTCTACATTTTGGACATTGTGCAGGAGTTTGCTTGCATCTTTTTGTCTTGGGCTCCTCCTATTTTTGTTGCTATGGTAACAAACAGGTATCGGCATTAGGGATGGGCATTTGCAGGATTCTAAATACTTGAGTACCCTCATTATGTTATGTCTGAGTACTCGCTCGTAGAGAAGCACCGATTGGGAAAATCAGGGCCGATGCCGTTACCAATGTTTGAAAAGGCAATTTAGCCGATTGTCGATTACAATAACAATGTTTGTTTCATGACTTCTTTTGGTGTAAGACTCCCACAATGGCACACATTTCTCTCATGTTTAACGTTGAAAACAAGTCAGAGATTGTTCAACAGGTGACTTCATCTGTACAAGAAAAAAACCTCTTCTCTGAATCAGAAGTTAGGTGCACTAGATGTCAGCATTAAATTGATTTGGTACAACCAATAAACATCGGCTACTGACATCCGTTCACGCCCACACTGCCAATTTGTCCATGTCTGTCAACAGGGCCAATATCGACCAATCCCGACGTTGAACCGATGCATCCCTAAACGTAATTGACACTTGGCAGTTCTGCTAGATTCTGCTGCTTCTTTCCTCATTCATCTTTTCCACTCTCGTAGCTTTTGTTCTCTGTGATGGTGTTGTTTACTCCGGCTCCAAAAACCCCATCAGCATGCTGAAGCCTTGGAAGCACATGTCCAGTCTTCATTTTGTTTCATTAGCAGGTTAATCTTCTCCGCCCTGGTATCATCACAACAACATGTGCTAACACAGGATGTCAGGCTGCCTATTGTCTGTCTTTGCTGGTTTCTGTGGTTAAGCATCAAAGACATGCAGGTTTAAAGTCGTATATCTGGCACTGCTTTTCGTCTTTTGTTTAGTTTTTGTGCGCTCGCCTTTGAAGTTATGTGTCGTGTCCTTTGAGAGTTATTGACACTGCTGTTGCATGTGACCTCCGGGATTCCTGGAGCCAGCCTCAAGCAGACACTCGACCAATGTGCAGGATTTTGCACTTCTGCATTGGCTCAATTTTTCAACACCGGAGGTTGACGCCTTGGTTTGATTCCGAGATAGCTCTCTTGTTCTTTCAGTCACAGTAACTATAAAAAGTCTGATGAAGAAACAGAGTGGTTTCAGTTCCTTTTATTCAGGATCTTGTGATTCAGGCAGGGCTCTGTTCCCCCTTTTTTTAAATTTTTTTTTACTTTTCATCTGTCTCTTTGAACAATGGGAACAATGTCAGCAAGAGCAAACGATCAGCTTTGTGTCCGATTGGACACACAGGTGCTGACAGGCATTGCACAGAGGCAAAGCACCACATTGATGGCAGTTCTTGAGAGCTCTAATCAGTATAGAAACCATTTTATAAGTCATCGTTATCAAACAAATCCATCGTCACAACCATCATCATCATCAAACATATCGAGACCATCGTCATCATCATTAAGGTAGTAGGTGCTCATAAAGAGCTGTGTCTTTAGCTTTTTCTTAAAGGTGCAGTGGGACTCTGCAGATCGAATGGAGTTTGGCAGCCCGTTCAACCACCGGGGGGGCGACAGAGGAGAAGAGTCTAGTCAGCATCTTAGGACCCTGTTGTGAAGGTTGGATCAGACGCCTTTGAGAGCGTAGTGGGTGGGAGGGAGTGTAGACCTGGTTTATAGAGATTAGGTAAGGAGGAGCCGTTTTTGACATTGTTTTGTAAGCGAGCTGCAAAAGAGTTTTACATTTGATGCGAGCAGTAACTGGGAGCCAGTGTAAGGAGATGAACAGCGGAGTGACATGTGCTCTTTTAGGAAGGTTGAAGACCAGTCGTGCTGCTGCATTTTGTATCATCTGCAGGGGTTTAATAGTGCATGCATCTTTAAGTAAGGGATTAGAGAAAAGAAGAATAACATACTGTACTCACTTTCTATTTGAATGTCACGTAAGCATTTTTAGATCATGGTCATTCTGTGTAAATTTACATGCAGTGTGAAGCTACGAGCTAACTAAAGAGCGCTAACATTAGCATGCTGACACAACAATGGAGCTCGACACAAGGACAATTTGACCGCCGCTTGCTCTTAGCGCTTAATAGTGGTGGTAATAACGCCTTCGTGCGTACGCGAGTGGAGAGGAGTTGGAGGTGTGTAGCTATAGAGGTGCGGCCAAACAGCAGTTTGTTTTGGTTTCATGCTGGTGCTCAAGGGCGACATCTACTGGATCAAAAAGTCGCACATGCTTCCTTTAAATGAAAAAAACAATTAAAAGACATTTCATGCATGCTGTTTGTACCTGACCTATAAAGTATGGATAAATTGTGAGAACTTAAGACGATAGTTTGCTGTGGAGTTTGTGTTGCATTCAGCCTGCGTATTTGTGTCTTTTTTCCACCACTCTGAGACAATGCCACAATAAGAGCAGCTCCTGCAGAGAATGATACATTGTTGGTTATTTTCAGCCTCCAGACGGTGTGGAGCTCTGTTTTCCTAGACGTCAGCAGGGATTTTCCGTGCTCAGAATGAGGCTGAAGTGGTACCTCTGTGCTCACACGATGTGTCAATGTATCGATCATAACGGCTCAACCAAGCACTTCCCACAAGCACGCATTTTATAGGAATTGTGATCAGAGCCCGAGTATGTTTCTGTTCGATGAGCAAATAAAGAAAAATGTTTCACCAGGTGAATCATTAATGTGTGCTCCACCTGTTCTACCTGAGCTCAAGTGCTCCTGTGGAATGTGTTTCCCTGTTTACTGCAGGCTTATTAAAATACCTCTGATATATCTGACAGCAGGCTGAGTCCTGTCGTATTCCTCTCTAGTCAGCACCAGAATCATTAGTCAGCTAAACAAATGATTCATGTTTTGATATGTTGGTCCTCAATGACAGTCACATGTTTATACTCAAACTGCAAAACAGCCGCCCGAAAGTAGTGTTGGTGTTGGGCCACGCAGGCTTAGGACAGTCAAACAATGGACTTGGGCCTACACCTCTGTAAAAGCCTCATTTGAGTTATTCACTGAGATCACAAAGAGGCCTAAAAGGACTCTTAATCCCAGAATCCCCTGCGGTACTTCACACCTACGCGTGAAGTAAGGGGGGGACCGGAACCTCTCTCTCCTCATTGGAGGGGACCTGAGGTAGACCCCCCATGGAGCAGACCAGGCTACAAAACTTCAAGACTTCCATTGCTCGACCTCTTTCACGCGCTCACTTCTGGTGCTCGGAGACCCAAGAAGATCTCCTGTTTCCTGCAACAATCTTCCTTTGTTTTAATTTTTGGCGCGCAGGTAATCCGCGGCCGGCAGTGTTCTAAATTCCGAGCTCGGATTGTCCAGTGAACGCATCTCAGTTTCTCGGAGAGCGTCAGACTATAACAGATTATCAGAAAGATAACGGTCTTATTCCGTCCTGCAACTAAAGGACATCAAAGGACATTTTTCCACTCGACGGAGAACCAACGAAGCCGCTCTCGCCGTAAGGGACCCTCGCCGCCATCAGACGCCTCTGCACCAGGACGGACAGAAGATCTGTTTTATCGCCGGACTCTTTTCCTTTCACCAATTGCGGACAAAGCGATTCACAAGTGAGGCTTAATTAGGTCTGGGCAGAATTAGCTTTAGAGAGTGTTTTTAACAATTGTTGATCGAAGCAGAAACTGTAATTTTTATCTTTGTTGGACCGCTGCGTCCTGAGTTTTAACTGTTTAAAACTCTTGTTGTTGTTTCGGACCGCTGCGTCCTATATGTGTTTAGCGTAACAGCGTTATAACCGGGTATTATTCTTCTGATCAGAAAGGCCAGTGTAAGCCGTATTAACTTGAATTCGGCTATTGGTTTGTTTCTGTGAATGAAGGGAATTACTCCGAGTTGTGGCGCGGGAGTCGGACTGTGATCCGGCATCTTCAGGCACGCATTTCTCTTTTATTCTCTTTTATCCTCTTTTATTTCCCCTTCTACGAACATACACATACACACATATTCCCGTGTAAACGTACATCTGGAGACCAACTCCACCACCGCGCCATTACGCACAGAGATCTATACACTCGCGGCTATCCAGACGCCTCAGACACAGGTCGTGTAGGGCCGAACTCGGTCTCTTTTAGACCTTAAGGCCACATTTAGGCCTTTGTTAGGTGTGCGCCATCGGAAGGGCAACCACGTGGGACGAAGTAATCTCTCTCTCTCTCTCTCTCTCTCTCTCTCTCTCTCTCTCTCTCTCTCTCTCTCTCTCTCTCTCTCTCTCTCTCTCTCTCACACACACACCTACATTCACACCCCTTCCACAAGCCTTTGCTTGATAATGTTTGTTGCTTAGATTAGTTTATAATAGTTATTTGTTTAATTAAGTTCATTGATTTTGGATTGATGTTGCTTTGTTTAAATACATTCTGTTATAATTTAAGAGAGCAGTTGTTTGTGGTTACTGGTGTATTTGCATTGTGATATAAGCTGGGTGCGAAGGCTTTGTGTACGGATTTCACGCCTTCAATTTATTAAATATAGTTATTCATTATTAATAATATTAGTAATTAAATAACTAATTTGAGACTGATTTGAGTGATATTTTGGTTATATTTACCTGATTACAGGTTGGTGCCCCAAAACGAGATTAAACATAGTTTAATGATATTTTATTTAGATTATTAATAATTAAGTATAATTATTAAAGAATATAACCAATATTGGCTTGATACATCCCCAACAGTAGTCATAAGCCGCTTTCACGTATGCACTCCGGATAATATCTAGATAATTGCAGGAGGACCGCTCCAGAGATTCTGCGTTCACATATGCTCCTCACAGCAGGGGACTATCCCTGTCAGAGGGGAGGGGGATCGGGGGATTTCTTGAGGTAAGACGTGAGGTAGTTAAACAACGCGGAAGTAGCGGCCGAAGCAACAGAGTCCGCTACACGACGTTATAATGAGAATATTTGCCTTTATATCAATGCTGTGTAATTCAATGGAATGACAACATCCACAAAAGAGAGGAGAACAACATACTGATGAACAGAAAACAGAATGCAGCCGTTTAAATACCTGCACAGAGATCGTAGTGGTAGCGTGCAGACACTTTAGGCAGATGACATTCTCTTCCTATTGGCTCGAGTTGAAATCTCTGGAGTATATGCGGCCGCGTTCAGACATCAGCTCACTTGGACTATCTGCGTAAAAAATACTAGGGGTCTGGCCGGAGAAACTCCGGGTAAAGTCGGTGTGAAAAATGCAGCTGTTTTCGTTAACATATAGCCTAAAGAACCTTCGGGTAATCAAATCTCCGGAGTTTTTCAGGAGATTTCCGTATGTGTGAAAAGGGGTTAGACTGGTTGTAGCTCTAGTTAATGGGCCTGCTCTCCTCGCTCTACTACCTGGATGTAAACAAGCACAATGACCAGATAGCATCTGGAAAGAGCAGCAGGGTTTGTCAGTTTTTTTGATTGATTTTGTGTAACTAGCACAGGCACATGGACTGAAGGGAGGATTGAAGGCTGGTGGTTCTAGCACTGCTAACGTTAGCCATAGTCTGCAAATCAGTTGAAATCCTGCAGACAATTGCAGATACATTGTGCACAACTTTGACTGTTTTCAGAGGTTTTCTTACCTTTTAGTCTAGTCTGAAATAACATTTCTGTTTCACTGAAAAGGAAATGAGTCGCCTTGGAACATTCCTAGTCACATGCCAGAGAGAGCGCATAACAAAAAAGGTCAACTGTCATTCAAGCAGCCAAGTTGAACAGTGTGGGATGAGGGTTAAAATAATGCTAAACAGGTGTACCTTCTGTCGTTGTAAATTAAAGTAAAGTTATAACAGGGGTCACCTCGGCCAAGATGATCAGCAGAACTGGACCTAGTCCACGGGCTGGTTCATGGTGTTCACTTCATGAAGTCGTGCTCACCTGACAACTTCATGTAAAGACATGAAGTCGTCCCATGAGCACTGAGCACACAGAAGGAAGTGGCTGTTGAACACAAATGAAAATATGTGTAATAAAAAAAGCTGTAAAGATATGAAGAGTCTTCATACTGTATGTCATGATTTACCTGCTCACTGTGAGGAGGTTAATACTGGACGTAATGTTCAATGTTAATCAGGCACATACCTGCACACCTCCTCCATTGCACCTTTTTGTAAATGCCTTTGTTTCAGACACAAATGCTGAGTTTCTGTCTCGTCCCCTCCTGCAGCTGTCGTACTTATCTCACACAGTTTTTGGACACATGAAAGTATTTTAAGTGTTTTTATAGACGTCAGTCTTCAGTAACCAATGGGATATGAGCTGAGAGCCATAGACAGGAAGTGAGACTGACATTCATTTTTCCAGTTGATAGTAAAATATGGATGATTTCTAACCTTTATCATCTGACATTTATTTATCTGTTATAACATGACAGTGCTTCCTCAGTTAATAATATATTTTATATTCAGTTTAAATTACACTTCCAGGCGTCGCTGATCATCATATTTGTTTTTTTAGTGATGGTTGTAGCATGCAGTGTGAATATTCATTTAGGATAGGACATCATTCTGTTCAAAGAGATGAAACTACAGCCCGACCGATTAATATCGGCCAATATTACTGTGTCTATAGTGACTATCGGTATCGCTACTTTATTGCAAATATGTGCAGATATTACTCTATTAATTCACCAGTTAAAAAGTTTTTCATTTTAGTATCAAGAACAAAGATCATGATGTTTTCTTTCTTAGAAACTTGATTACTTGAGCTCATGTGGGTTTATTAATACTCAACTGATTGATGAGGTTATAACTGTTCACTGTGTTATGTTTTCTTTGTGTCTTCAGCAGTGGGAGCAAAGCCGGCATCTCCTCAGAATGTCAATGTCCTGAGTCTGAACACAAACTACACTCTGACCTGGGACTGGGACTACAACTCTTCAGACGCTCTCCCCGTCTCCTTCACCACAGAATACATCCCGTGAGTTTCATGTTTGCACATTCTACTGTTACACATGCTATGCTGTTTGTATTGAACCCCCTTTTTTTTCCACATGGAGAAACAGGAGGTTCAAACTGAGCTCAAAGAGGGTGGTTGTGTGGAACATGGCGTGTGAGGAGTCACCACGCAGGTCATGTGACCTGACACCGTTGGACCTGCACTACCTGAGCATCTTCATCCTGAGAGTCCGAGCCAACGTGAACGGGAGTCACTCAGACTGGGTGCAGAAGAAGTTCTGCCCCGATACAGATGGTGAGTGAGAGAGAGAGAGGGGAGATGAGTGTGTGTGTTTTATACTTTCAGCTTACAGGAAATAACCTGAAGTGTCATGTAACCTCAAGCAAAACACAATCAGCACAAAGAAGATACACACACACACACACACACACACACACACACACACACTCTGACAGCTGAAACAAGAGACAGGATAGAGAACTGTGTGTGTTACTGTCTGACCTTATCCAATCACACAGAAGAGACTCGCGGAGATTCAATCACAATTGTAATCTGTTGATAACACAGGCGGTGTCACAGTGAAGTCAGCTCTAGCTAGACAGTTCTAGCTTTGCAACCAAAATAATAATTTAATTCTTTACGCTTTATGACTTCCAGGACTATGAGAATTATCAGAAACAAATGTAACACTATGCTACATTACAGAGACGCACATAACTAATAGTGAGCCTTAAGACACAGCTTTGGTACTTGATTCTGATTGGCCCATTATGCTTAAAGAAGGCACTGCTATCTGTTGATGGATCCCCGTTGTTAAGACGAACAAACCGTTACATTGAAAAGGAGATGGTTGCTGTGTTTTCCGCTCTAACTGTGGATTCCAACAGATAAGATGTTAATTGGGAGAAATACAATACACTTTTTAAAATCAATGAAATAATTGACAAATCATTATTTTGTATCAAATGTTTGATTGCCTAAGAAGCCATGTAAGTAACGGAATAACGTAAAGTGAGCAAGATGTTAAAGTGGTGAGCAGGACCCCTCTGATCACCCTGTCATTTATTATTTATCTAATTGTTTTTTTTAATTTGTTTTATTATTAGAAATCTTTCTGATTCATTACAGAGAAAGACAAAAACCTGTATTAAAGGGTAACTAAACCCCATATTTTCAGTTGTACTGCTCTACCCTGGAATTTCAAAAAAATGCATTTAGAATGTCAATGTATCAACTTCGAGAAGGGGTGGGAGGGTGTAAGACACGCCCACTCACTGCTTCACGCCAGGCGCATGTGTGTGGGTGGGGGGAGCGAGCGAGTGAGTGAGGAGAGAGAGAGAGAGAGAGAGAGAGAGAACGAGGCGAGTGTGTGTGTGTGTTCAGCAGGTGTGTGTGAGAGGCAGTGAGGCACGTTATGATGCCGGGGACCAGAGCAGAATAAGCAGGGGAATTTATCAACTTATAGAGGGGGGGGGGCCCACATACACTTGACTCCCCACAGTTCGCCGAGTCGGGTGACGAGGCTTTTATAGGTTTGGTGATGTGGGGATGCACTCCTACGTAATACTGTACTCCACACAGCCGTTAGAATTTTTCAAACGGAAGCGCAGACACTATGCACATTTCTGACACAACATTTCAAATTTCAATTCTTTGTACTCAAATGTCGAGATTGGGACTTGGATTGATCCATAACACTACTTAATACTCAAATACAGAGGTTTATAGTTTATAGTTGAATAGTGGTTTAGTTACTCTTCACACTATCACACTAGCAAAGTTGTCCTGTACCGTGCTTAAGGTTGTCGATTGTCCCCCCTCCCCATTCCCCCGCTGGCCTGCGCTCACACTGCTCCAGGACTAACCGGGCCTGAGCACAGTTACGTCTTGTACACAAAAGTCATAATACAACAAATGCATGTCTTTACGTAATTATGAAGTGTGATTAGTTTACAAGACAGGCAGACACAAGAAGAAAAACAAAAAAAGAGAACAGAGAACACACTTTACTGACTTTGAGCTCATTTTTTGTCAGATACAGCCAGAACACTCATTCTTGTGCTCGTGTATGAACTGTACCGCGCTGAAGCTCACCCCTTAGAAGCGTGCCAGGGCCGAGTGATCGGAGCACTCACACTTATCAAACGAACTGGACTTTAGGGGTGAAGCGTGCTTTGGCACGGTATGGATTGCCTAATGGGAGATAATTGATATTAAACAACCTGTCTCATCTCTCTGCCTCTCTCCTGTTAGCTGCTGTGGGTCCTCCGTCCAAAGTTGATCTAGGTCCTGCAGGAGGACACCTGGATGTCTTCATATCTGACCCTCTAACCAGTGCCAACATCTCCATGAGGGAAGAGCTGCAAGAGCTGTACTACCACATCCTGTACTGGGAGAAATCTGAGGACACACAGGTAGGAACATACTCTGAAGACACACAGGTAGGGACACACTGAGGACACACAGGTAGGAACACACTCTGAGGACACACAGGTAGGAACACACTCTGAGGACACACAGGTAGGGACACACTGAGGACACTCGGGTAGGAACACACTCTGAGGACACACAGGTAGGAACACACTCTGAGGACACACAGGTAGGGACACACACTGAGGACACTCAGGTAGGAACACACTGAGGACACACAGGTAGGAACACACTGAGTACACACAGGTAGGAACACACTGAGGACACACAGGTAGGGACACTCTGAGGACACACAGGTAGGAACACACTCTGAGGACACACAGGTAGGAACACACTGAGGACACTCAGGTAGGGACACACACTGAGGACACACAGGTAGGGACACTCTGAGGACACACAGGTAGGGACACACTGAGTACACACAGGTAGGAACACACTGAGGACACACAGGTAGGGACACTCTGAGGACACACAGGTAGGAACAAACTGAGGACACACAGGTAGGGACACACTGAGGACACACAAGTAGGAACACACTGAGTACACACAGGTAGGAACACACTGAGGACACACAGGTAGGGACACACTGAGGACACACAGGTAGGGACACACTGAGTACACACAGGTAGGAACACACTGAGGACACACAGGTAGGGACACACTGAGGACACACAGGTAGGGACACACTGAGTACACACTGAGGACACACAGGTAGGAACACACTCTGAGGACACACAGGTAGGAACACACTCTGAGGACACACAGGTAGGAACAAACTGAGGACACACAGGTAGGAACACACTGAGGACACACAGGTAGGGACGCACTCTGAGGACACACAGGTAGGAACACACTCTGAGGACACACAGGTAGGAACACACTGAGGACACACAGGTAGGGACGCACTCTGAGGACACAGGTAGGGAAATCACACAGCTTATAAACACTTGGCCCTGTTTATTGTGTTGCCTTTAACTTTCATTCAGACTAAATATTTGAATGCTTGCAGGCTAATCATCTTTTTATAGCAGCTTTCTGTGACAAACATTCACCTGTTTCAGTTCCTATTAGAATCCTTTGGTGAGGTCATACAGATCCTGTTTGAAGCACCTGTTACAGCAGGAAAAAATACCTAACACTTTCTGCTGTTCACACTTCTCCTTTTCTCTGCAGTCCCCAAAGGCAGCTGCTGAAACCCATAACCAGATAAATATATACAAATTAAAGAGAGCATATTAACTATAATAACAGTTTTAATTTTTTTCCCAATGCCTTATTGCTACTTGTTCTTCCTAAATCTGAAAAAGGGGTGATCTGAGGGTAGCTGATAGCTAGCTTAAGCTTCATCGGCTGCAACAATATGGTGTGAGAGCATGAATGTTAAGCCCAGGTTTTCACCCAGTAGTTATAATGTATCCATGCTCAGTGAGAAAGCATTGCTCGTTTACAAAAAAAATTAAATCTGGCGACGTGTTTATTTAGATTGCTCACATCACAATAACCACAAAATTGCAATTAATAGCGTTGCCCCACTGTGTTTTCTCATCAGACCTGTTTAAAGACACGCCTGCTTCATGCTGTATAAGAATGCAGCTAACAGGAAACTATGGCTCCAGATAAAGAAAAGTTTTTTGTATCTCGTGAGCTTCGGTCGCCTTGAGGCTCTCACAGGAAACCCTGTCTGAGTGCACATATGCACATCCTAAACCCGCATACCACAGAGACACAGACAGGTGCTCTGCTCGAGGCTCCCTCTCGCTCACTACGCTCTGCCAATGAAAGGCGTCCGGTCCAACCTTCACAACAGGGCCCTAAGTCTCTCTCTAGACTCTTCTCCTCTGTCGCCCCCTGGTGGTGGAACGAGCTGCTAAACTCCATTTGATCTGCAGAGTGCAGCTTTAAGAAAAAAACTGAAGACCCAGCTCTTTCATGAACACCTTCACACTTATTGATATTAGTGCTGATGATGACAATGGTTTTGTTTGACAATGAGGATATTTAGGATGATTTTGATGCTGTCGATGTTGTGCTCTGTGTCAAGTCACTTCCTGTCATTACCTGTGTGTTCGATCGGACACAAAGCTGTTTGTTTGCACTTCCTGAAGTTGTTTCCTCCTCTCTAGATCCTTGCTTGCCTTGTACTTACTCTCTGATGTTCATCACTTTGGATAAAAACATCTGATGAATGAATTGTAGAACTGATTGAAAGTGTGACAGACTGAGAGGTTTTAAATTTATATTGGCAGCATGAGAGAAAAGTGGAGTTTCATCAAACAACAGATGGCACATATAATGTGTATATATATATATATATATATATATATATATATATATTATTTACATGCCATGTAAGCCTTTAATTAGTATGCAAAGAGAAAACATTGAGTTACGCTTTAATTCATTATGCATAGAGTGCAAGAAATAATAATTGACAAATTCACCTTAAATACCTGAAATATCATAACTGATGCACACACATTCAACATGATTTCACCATAATATAAGACATGAAATATACGTCCATTTGACTGTTTGTTGCCTCAATCCAGTAAATACCCTCATTGAACTGTATGTACCTGGTTGTATTCATCAGGGGTTTCTTTAGGGGAAAATGATCTCAGTGAGAATGGAGAGGTATCAAAAGATTGTCTATCGAACTTGATCCATTTGTCTTAAATCAAAGTGTGTCTGTCTTCTCTTTCAGGATTTGAGGAGTCGCTCTTTAAACAGCAGCGTGAATATGGTGACCCTGCCTAACCTAAAGTCCTGGACCTGGTACTGTGTGAGCATCCAGACCCGCTACGACTTCTACAACAAGTTCAGCAGCTTCACCAACCCGATCTGCATGCAGACTCAAGGTGAACCATTGACACTTAACCGAGGGGCGGGATGGGACAGTGCAGAGACACACTCACACAGGGCGGATTGTTTAATTCTTTTATTCAGAGTACTTTCAAGTATATAACATACCTTAGAGGGACCTTTTACTTGTGAGAGGTCTTCAGTTTTAGATTGCACTTTGACTCTGACATTTCTGACTACTTTTTCAATCCACGCCATCAAGTTAGTGTGGTTGTTATTTTGATTTATAAGCTTGTGACTATAGAAATGAAATCAGAAATGCACCATTGCTGTGACATGGTTCAGGACAGCTCTGTCTGTGTCTCTTTGTGAACAGGGACCCTCCCCTGGTGGCAGATCGTCCTGTACTTTCTGGCCTCTCTTCTGGTCTTCTTTGTCCTCATGCTGTTGATTCTCTGCGGTTCCTTCTGGTGCTACAGGATCGTGAAGTTGACACTTTACCCGCCCATCCACCTGCCCAAACACTTCCAAGAGGTACGAACCAGAGACTGATCGATGTCAGATCAGCTGCATGTTTGATCACTGATTACACTTAGAGGAGACACTTGGTGTGAACTTTTTTGAGAAACTTGGGCACAGTTTATTGAGCTTCTCACCCTCTGATCTCTTAATCCAACCCCCTTTAGTATCTCCAAGACTCCCCCAGCTCTGATGTCCCCCGCCTCCTCACCCCGGACTCTGAGTCAGAGCTCCTGTGTGAGGTGACTGTCTGCCCAGAGCCCCTGGTCCTGGAGGTCCACCAACCACCCCCTGAGGATCTGGAGGAGCCCCACCCAGACCTGGAGCCCGACATCAGGTGTGCTTTATCTCTTTTTTTAAGTGCCTTAATGTAGGAAGGACTACTTCCTGTGATGATGAAAAAACAGTTCACCAACTTGAGGGTGGGAGCAAAATGTCTGCTGGAGATGTAATTTGTTAAATCCATCTGAAATTAAAAGAGCTAGAGCAGGAAGGAAAGGATTCTGTCTTTGACAACATCAAGTTGAATGTGTTCTCTGATCACGTCATTATGTAAGCGCTAATGACACATACAGGTGTGTGTTGTTGTACAGGGTGTTCTAATAAAAATGATCTCATGTCGTGTGGTGTTTTGCAGACACAGTCGACAGGACAGCGGCGGGAGCAACGACTCAGGAATTTACTCCACAGGAGGCAGCTCCGGTCTGAGGCCATGCCCCTCACTGTCCCATGAGGGGGGCCGAACCTCCTGTCAGGACATTTATGACCCCCAGCAGGTAAAAATGAAGGACATGACCCCGGGGATCAGGAGTCAGCTGATCATAGACGAGGGCGTTCTCGACATGAGTGTGTGACGAGGATTATGAGGAGGAGGAAGATGAAGCGGGGGTGAAAAGGATGAAGGTGTGAATATGTTAAATGTGATGAGTTGTGCAGCGTGCCTTCGTCTTAGTCTTCGTCGTGATCAGAGGATCTAAAAACTTATAATGAAGAGAGAGACGCCCACCGAGCACGCTCCACTGCCGTGTGGACAGGTGCTTCAGGTGATCAAGCAGGAAGTGATGTAACATGTAGTGCAGCCTGTGAGTGATTGGCAGCTGATCTCTGTAGGTGCTGTTTGTCTCACAGTCATATTTACCTTGTTAGCATACGTAGCTTACAGCATGAGTAGACCTCCATCCATCCATCCATCCATCCTACACGCATGTGTGTATATGTGTGTGTTGTCATGCTCTCATTATGATTCTTATAGAATCTGGGATGTCAGTTAGGTCGTTTTTATTTGTATGTTTTGTATGTTTTTTTTTTTTTTATTATGTTCTGTTTTTTATATTCCTGAATATTATCATCATGTTTCTCTGCATCATGTATGACTTCACACTGTACAGTTTCTTCTCTGTGTTCTTATACAGTCTATTACAACTCTGTCATTTTCATGGAGTTATATTTGTGCCCAACTCCTGAGCAAGCAGCGAGACAACATAATGTGTGAGCAGAGATGAGATTCATCAAGATACATCCGGATTTCCATGGGAAGGGGTGATTCTCATAAATCATGAATATTTGTGTAAAAAAATAAAAAAGAATAAAAAGAGGTTTTGACACAATTTTCAAAGAAAAGGGGTAATAGGCTGTTGAGCTCTATCTCTCTCTCAACTTTGCCTAAATGCTCGCTCAACATGGCACAGCCTCCCATTTGGAGACAGAGGAAGGTACATTCTGATTGGCTGCCTCTCCTCTGTATTGGGTGCAGTCTAACCTCACTTCTGTTAAGCTGAAACAGCCACACCCTCAAATATACAGAATCTCATTTTAGCCTGTAAAATGTTTGTTTCCCTGCTCATAATCTCAGGGTTTAGGTACAAATATGAACCCTTACAAAACGTCTTTATTATCAATGTGTGGGCGACATTTAGAGACAACCAGTGATGTGACTTAAACTTTAAATAAACTTTATTTAACCCTGTCACAGAACAGAACAAAGAGCCTTAAAAGAGAGCATACTGGACTTCATGAATAATTCATTATTTATCTTGTAGAAAAAATGACTTCCTGATGTTTCATTGACAGGATTGGACGTCTCAGTCTCCTCCACATGCTGCCTATTGTCATAATGAAAATTGTGTACTGCTCTGGTTTTAATGTAAAACATACAACTTTAATAAATCACCTCGACACAGAGCTTCAGTGTGTGTGTATGTGTGTGTTTGTATGTGTGTTCATCTCGTGATTTTTCTGTTTTCTCTGTGATTATTTGTGCTGACATAAAACCAGAAATTAGTAGGCCTAGGCTGTAAAGTTAAAGCATATGGTAGCTTTCTGTTGGAGCCGTGAGGTAGGTTACTGTCACTTAGAGAGAGAGAGAGAGAGAGAGAGAGAGATCTTCAGTGCTATCTATGAGAGGGTTAGAAGTGATTCAGGCAGTTGACTTTAAACCCTCCTGTAAGATTGTTTAACAAAACGGTGGATTAAAGGAATTTGTTGTGTAAGTTTTACTTAAGAGTTCTGTAGAAGTTTTTTCCTCTTCAAGTGAACATACACGAGTAAATACAAGGCCATTTGATCTGCCACCCACCACAGAAGTGTCAAGCCCCACCATAAGGCGGCCCTGTGGGGCTAACCGCAAACCATAGATTGACCCATTAAAAGACACTAACCACCTTAACAAAAGTCAAAACAAAGGGATTTATTACAATATGACCCACTGAATGATAACAAAGATCAAAACAGAAACAAAAGACAACAGCCAATCCCTGACTGAGCAGCACAGCAGTCCCAACTCAAAATGCCTCTCTTTCTGCAGCCAGCACTGGCCTTTTAAGCACTGAGGCCAGGTGTACCTCGTTGTGCAATTAGTAGCTTCACCTGGGCTGGAGACAACAGAAGGGACACAGGGCACAGGGACACATACAGCCGTAACAGAAGTCACATGTTAACTTTCAGATGTAGGCTACTTTATTGACATTTTGCAATTTTAAATATTTTGTAGTTGTCATTTAGTGAAAATGAATACTGAAACATTTTCTTTTTGATGCAAACAGAAAGTCCCTTTGTTTTTACACATTTCAAACACAGCAGCAGTTCTAAGAGCTGCACAAACCTGTGACCTCCATTCAATGTAACACTGATGGAGCTGGGAGCTCAACCTGGTACAAAGTTTTGAGATTCATATATTTTACACACGGTCCCTAAACAAGTACAATAATACAAATTACTCAAATAAACTAAATAACGAGCTGTAAAAAACTGGTTAAAATAAGATTGAATGCATACAAAGTTAATCAGGAAGTAGTTATCTCACGTAAACAGGAAGTAACTCTGATGTAAACAGGAAGTTGCTCTCTGATTGTCTCACTCAGAACTTCTTCTTTATTCTGACGGTAATCACCCTGTGAGGGGAAACTGAATGAATTTATACTCTAAATATTTTGGAGAAAGATTCATCTTCAATAAAGTGTTTTTTCAAAGTTAAACTTGATGTTTTCTAAAATGGGATACAATCACACTCAGAAATGATTATCTATAACGTTTAGAAGCCATTTCTGTCTGAAATTTTTACCAATAAAACAGCTTCAGAAGAATTTATCAGGTCCACAACTCCTGTAGAAACATTATGCTCCGCCCCCTTTAAGTTAAAAAAAACATGAATTTACATTTAAATATATATATTATTTATATATTTTTTTCTTTCACACCTTTACCTGTGATTTGCTGCAGGTAAGATATTTAGACCATAATGATACTGAAGAAACGGCAGAGAGTAAGGATTGTGCCATCAGTCCCCGGTTTCCCCATAGTCACATTTACAGTAAAGGGGAGTGTCCGGAAGTTTTCCCAGCAGGTATTACTCATGATGCATTCACTTGTTGTTGGACTAATCGGGCAAAATAAGGAAGAAGATAATGAAGTATAAATGTGAAGAAAAAAGTTGAAATGTTGAGTAGCTGAAATACAGTGTCAGGGCACATGGTAGATGAACTTGAGCTTGTATAGCGACTACTCAGAGCGTTTTTATACCGCAGGTCACACCTACCCATTCACACACTGATGGTAGAGGCTGCAATGTGAAGTGTCCATCAGTATTAACTAATCCCATTCAGACACATTTATACACCGCAGACGAAGCAGCGGGAGCAACTTGGGGTTAAGTGTCTTGCCCAAGGACACATCTGACAAGTTGCTGCAGGACCTGCAGGACTTTTCAGTTGAGAAACGGACAACTCTACCACTGAGCCACAGCCGCCCTCATGTACTGTGTATGCAGCTCAAATTTGAGAACAAAGTAGACATTTTGCGAAAGTGTATTTCAACCCTGATTTTTTTTTTCTACTTTTGCTTGATATTTTGACTTAATTCTCAAAATTGTATTTCATCTTCATTTCCAACATTTGAACTATTTTTTCTTGACTTTGTTCCTCGTTATTTTGACTTTATCCTCAAAATGTATGGTTTAGATCTGCATCCAAACTGGACAGACACAGACTGCAACGAACAATCAGGACTGCAGAAAAAAAAAATCATTGAAAGTCCCCACCCAGGACTTTCATTGGTCCAGGACCAGGAAACGGGCAGGTGGCATCACGGTAGACTCCTCACCCCGGACTGTTGTCTTATTTAGTCGTGTAGGCGTACATATTAGTCTTTGCTTATTTTATATTTGTTGTTAATATTACATTTGTATACATTGTACATAGAGAGCACAGTTCGCCGAAGCAAAAAATCCGAGGAGCCCCTGAACGCAGCACACTCGCTGTTATTTCCCAATCTGGACATAAAGGAAGTGCCCGCTGTCAGGACTGGTATCAATGGATTAAATTCAGGTTATTTCTGTTTGAATATGGAGACAGAAGAGTCCGGACCCTCGTTACAAATGTATATATGACGTGACGCCACGATGATTTTGATGCTGCTGCTGCTCTCTCGAGCCTTTCTCTCAGGTAACTAACGGCAACCAGTTTGCCTTCAACCAAAGTAGCTAAAGTTAGCCAATCATGCTAAAACTACGAGGCAACATTCAGTCCGTGTGTTTGTGAGAACTGAAACCTAATTTAAACTTAACTAAGATACATTTACACACAATGCTAAAAAGTCAAGCCTCCTTTTATGAACGATATAACCAAACAAAGCCTGGCTCTGTTTTTTATTTAGCTGCTGAACTAGCAAACCAGACCCCGTTTAAAACATGTCTGCTTTAAGCTTTCTGCGGGGCTGGACGTGCAGAACAACACGTAACTATAAAATCAACACATAACAGGGTGCAGTGGTAATATAGGGGCATACATTTGATTATTCTAACAACAAGTAACAAGTAAGTTGTTTATAGAAATCAAACAGGCCAGGTTTCCACATTTGTGCCTGACCTAAATTTAAAGTGGAGAGTGAGAAAAAAAAATCGATATCAGGATTTCTCTTAATCGATATCGAATTGGGAAAATAATAATTGCAATGAATTGATATTTTTACAGTAGATACAGTATGATCACAATGTAAACACTCCTCTCTGTTTGCTGTTTGTCATAAAGAGTGACAAAAAAAACCCAACAACCAACTCGGGTTGTTATAATTCTAGTGAAATAAATCAATATCGACACCTGTTTGATACCACGGCAACAAAAATAGAAGTCCTAGGGTTTACAGCAAACACCTGCACACTGTCTAAATTGCACAAATACGTTGGCAACGTTTCAGTAGCGTCACAACTAGGGATGCAACGATTCACGATACTGGGTTCGTGATACGATTCTCTCACGATTTCTTTTACAAAAAGAGACTGTAGACTAATTATTACTGAAAAAGATTCCTTTAGGGGCTGCAAACCCACTTGTCAGGGGGATTTGGCCTTTTAATGTGTGACACATTTCAAAGAAAAAGGGGTAATACGCTGTTGAGCTCTATCTCTCTCTCTCTCTCTCTCAACTTTGCCTAAACGCTCGCTCAACATGGCACAGCCTCCCATTTGGAGACAGAGGAAGGTACATTCTGAGGAGGAGGTGATTGGAGCTTCTCATTGTGGTGTTCGATTAAATGCTGCATCATGTTGGTTGTGTTATTAGTGTAGTTCCCTTTCTTCTTGCAATATTTGCACACGGTTTTTGTCTCGTCCGTTATCTTCTCACCGCTTTCATTTTCTGTCTTGGGGAAGCCAAAATGCTTGCACACCTTCGATCTGAAAGTCGGTGGTGCGTCCTCAATTTCAAAATCGTGCTCTGCAGCTGCCGACCGCCTCTGCTCTACAGCTGCTTTACATCCCTAATCAACTCATCCTTATAATTGTTCTTTAGTTTCTGTGAGACAAAAAAAAAAGTCTGTGTGAAATAAGGCGCTAACATCATGTTCGTCCTCTGTCTTAGCGCTGAGTGAGGAGCCTCCACCCCCCCCACAGCACGTACATGTTAATAAGTGGCTGCTGACATGGACCCCTCCCACCGCAGAGACAGACCTCACCTACACCGTCCAGAGCAGGTGAGCTCAGCCTCTACACACAAACATTATGTAAATGATCAAATGTGTCACTTAAAGATTAATAGAATTAATCTAAGACAAATGTTGTTGATGCATTTCCTGTTGCTGAAGTGATGTTTAGATCCAGACTGGCCAATAGAGAAGAATTTTACAGCCAAGGTCCCGCCCACCAGATTAAGCGTGACCCCAAAAATATAGAAATACATTTTTAAAAATGTTTTTAATTGTGTCAGTTTTTTATAATGTAGAATGTGACGTTTTCATCTTCAGTTAATGCATCTTAAGGACACATCAGTAACCTGATTGGTCCTCTCCTGTTCGCAGTTTCCATAGCGACGAGTGGACAGACGTCCCCATCTGTGTCCATACGGCCTCCACCTCCTGTGATGTCGCTCTCACAGCAGCAGAGAATGAGCATGGCTGTGTGATGCTGCGAGTGCAAGCAGAGAGACGGGGACTGAAGTCGACCCCAGTGCAGGCCTGCAGCTCACAAAGTGAGATAACTCACATTTGAACTCACCTATCATTTTGAAACTGTACCGTGAGTTGCGTGCAATTCTCTGCAGGCAGATGTTTCGCTGCACAACACCTGTGCACACAACGAGGGGGACAGAGAGAGTGCATGTCATCCGTCCAAATGTAACTTTGTTAACCTGTGCAGTGTGTGAACAACACTGCAGACTGCAGTCTCTGACAAACAGACAAACGGCTCCAAGCAGCTGCACTCGTCACTCTAACTGCTCTGTTTATTATAAACTGTAAACTAGTCATGTGTGAACTTTGGATGTGAAGTGTTTTTAAAATAGTAAGAGCTGCTGTTAATGATCTCATTATTAATAATCCTAAACAAATCATATCAATAACAAAATTGAATTTGCACAGCAGAGAGTATGAAGTCATCCGACTGGTCACAGACTTCTCTCAGCATCCCCAACTAAACTCCAGCGTCCCTGTCTGACACCTAGCTCCTCGTTGTCATGGTGATAGTTTTGAAAGGTGGGGTATAATAATTGGAGGATGAGGAGGAGCAGAGGGTATACCAGCTGTTTGGTTTCATCTGAGAAATCTATGATGACTTAGTTTTAACTGCTGCTTTAGTGAACGGAGATCATTTTATCAGTCCAATAATAGAGTATTACCTTATGTTGTAGTTGAAAATTTCACCACTAGATGTCACTGTTTTTCTTGTACACCAACTGTAAATGAAGGCTCTAGGCACTTCATAATGCTTTGTCATATTTGACAAACATTTTAGTCTCAGTTTGCTGATAAACATCAGTTAACAGAAGTTACACTCCATTAAGTAAAATGCTGCTCACTGATTGGTCACATGGAGTTCAATTCTCATTTCTGACACAATATTTTTATTTATGACGTTACGCTCTGCAAGTTGAGATGAACCTTACGTCTCCGTGGTAACTAAACAATGACACAACAAGTTTACATGCAGGGTTAAGTGCGGACTTCAGACCAGAACTGAAGACACAACTTAAACACAGGAAGCTGGTGTGACATGAGATGTAAACCAGGTGTGAACAGGACTCTGTTTGTCCTCCTGCAGGTGACTCCTGCACACCTGAGGTCAGCCTGTCAGGCCGGCCCGGATTTCTCACCATTCACCTGAGTCGTAACCACAGCCTGGCTCAGAACCACGCCGCCCACGCTGCGCACAGAGTCCACTACAGCAGAGAGGGAGACACAACACAGGTGTGTTTACTGAACCCATCCAAAGCTTGCCAAATTACCCCTCTCTGTGTCTCACCTGTTCATTTACCTCTCTTTCCTCTTCCTCAGCTCTCTGAAGACTCCTACTCCTCTTTCACCCTCCCACAGCTGGAGCCGGGGCAGCGTTACTGCGCTCAGGTGGAGTACATCCTCCACAGTCGGCCCGTGGGCCCACCCAGCTGCTCCCTGTGTGAGCTGGTCCCCTACTCAAGTGAGACTGGTAACTCTTATACTGTTTACTAGTAGGAACATTTAATCAGAGACTTTTATACAATCAGACTGCTTTTGATCCGCCCCCTGGACATCAGAATCTCTTCATCAACACATCTAGCATCGTGTGTGTGTTTGTGTGTGTTTCAGGTACAGTGGTGAAACCAGTTGTGGTAGTGTGTGTGTTCATAGTTTTGGTCCTCGTGTTGACCGGCACAGCTTACGTCTTCATCTGCCAGCAAAGGAGGATCAAGCAGTGGCTCCGCCCTCCATATGCGATCCCAGAAGATGTAAGCTCACACACCGACACACATATATAAACACGACACACATATATACACACAGTGACCCACACACACACCAGACTCCGTTTTCACCGTGTTTGTGTCACATAGCTCAGGCTCTCTGCGTGTGTAAGATCCTAGGTGAAAATGTGAAGTTTAAAGGGACAGTTCAGATTTTTTGTGAGTAAATAAAGGGACGGGGATCGTTCATTTTATTGAAACCATTATCAAGATTCCTTTTAAGGATCAGACCTTATCGATACTTTTCTTTTATTTGGCGGAATACAAAAAAAGACCTCTGAAATTTGTCTTCCAAACAAGTGTAATTATTCAAGTTTTTACATCATGTAAAAGTATGTGATACCATTTAGTTAGCTAACTAGCTTTTATGCTGATGATTTCAACATTGCATTACTGTTTTTAACTAACAGAACTTTTGTTTGGGTGATTTTACCACTCTGCTTTGAGTAGAGAAGGAGCAGGATGAGTTCACTGAGTATTTTTTTACCCTGAAGACAATCCATGGAGCTGCATTTTGGTTTAATTTGACGCCCTATGATGTTTAGGCTTGTTTGCTGGCATTTCCACTTCATTCAAAAACTTAATTGGACGATATGTGTTTGTTAATGCGTAATTGATTTCATTTGAAATACCTGACTTGACTCCAGAACTAATAAGATCTGTTGAATGAGAAAAGTGAAAGTAATCAAAAGTTTTCCGTTGGACACTGCCAGTGTCTCGTAGAACTCCCTTCTTCCTCGTTCCACATACCAGTACATGTCTTTGCATGTGACAAAAAGGAAACTAGAAACGGCGCAGCGGAGTTGCTGCTTGCTGCTTCTCACAGTGTCGCTCGCCGGCTATTAGGACACAATGGATCAAGCTGATTTCTTATTGAGCAGCATGCTGTTAAGACACAGTGTTACATACATCATCTCCAGCTGTGTAACAATATCTTAAGTTGTGTAAAACGTCCTCTGGCTGTGGTAACATCTGTTTAACATGCATGTTCTGATGTCATCTCGCTTCCTGTGCAGACATGTCGCTTATGTGTCTTTAAATTGCACAGATTTATTTCACTCCTCGCCTGCGCGTGTCTCCGTATAATCTGTAGAGAGCAGACCATTTTAATTGAATTATTTTTATTATGTTTGTTTGTTTTCCTCTCCTAGTTCCACTGCCAGCGTCACTTCCCCGTCTCCACCTACAGCCCCACTGAGGAGCACTTCGATGCCATTACCTTTGTCACCCCAGTGAGATCACTGAGACCCACCTGAGGAGGATTTCACTTGAGGAGGGAGAACTCTAAATAGAAAACAGTTGAATATGATCTTCATTCAGCAGAGGAAAGACTGAAGCACACACACACACACACACACACACACACACACACACACACACACACACACACACACACACACACACACACACACAGGTATGATATATACCTGTTTGTTTTAGCATTAAGTGGTGTCTAAAAAGATTCAAAGAGTGAAAATTATTTCAGTGAGGGAGGTTTTGTTACACTCATTCAAAGATCTTTTACAGAATTTTTAAACTGCATTATTTTGTGCGATTTCATAATGTGCCATATATGCTTGCGACTTTAAAATGTAACTTCAAAACTAATTTTGCAAGTTGTCCTCATGTGTCTTTTGCCATTTTAACACACATTACACAGGGGAGGAGGAGGGGTCTCAGGAGGCAAGACATGACCTTAAACTGTTTTAAACACGGACTAAGGCTCAGTGATGTCGCCCATTGGTTACTGAAGTGGGCTTTGGAAGCCAGTGAATGGCAATTGCCATTGCCAAATGCTTTCTCAAACACATTTTCGGTCAACCTAACAGGCGGACAGCTGACGCCTCCTGACAAACGGCTGCACTGCGTCCACCCAACAGTAAGATCAGGTACACGACTTCATATAAACAAAAAACAGATCAGTTACCGTCCTGTGATGAGCCTGATGAAGGCCACGAGACAAAATGCGTCGGTCTGAATTGTTAATAAAGTTGATCTTCTTACTACAAGTGTTGCTGGAGCATTCTGACCTCTTCGAAGCCTTTCACTCTTCATGCACCTTGTCAGTTGGTGAAGTTTGTGCCAGAAAATCCTCTTCTTTTTTTTTTTAACCAGACTGTGAGTTATGTTTGTTTTAAAAACAGGCTGGTGTATTTGCCTTCAGGGGCTTCTGTAGCCAGCCTCAAGTGGACACTAGAGGAACTGCAGGCGTTTGCACTTCCAAATTTGCTTCATTTTTTAACACCGCTACAACATGACCTAAAAAGAACGAAACATAATAAGCGGACAAAGCAACAGAGACCGACAATGTGACGTTGCTTCTTGTAGTTCAATGAACAGAAAACAAAATGAAGCCTTTTCATTACGTGCACAGAGATGGAGTCGGTCATGTGACTTTCTGGAGCCTCTGTAAATAAATCAGGCAGCACATTTCACACAATCAGCTCAATGATGATATATGTTTATAGATTGATAAGTGGGCGTAAGGTTTAAATGCCTGCGATCGTCTGTGATTCAGCTGATAGATGACTTTAATGTAATGTATGAAATACACCTTTCTATCTTGTTGTTTCAAAGATACTAATAAATGTACACAACAAGAACATGAAAAACTTCCAGTATTTTCCAACAGGCTTTTCTTTATTTCATGTGTTTCGAGCTCTTTACAAATGAGACTACTGATTACAAAGATGACGGGATAAAACCCTGAATCCCACAACCTCATTTTTGTCCTCATTTTTCTTCTATGCAGGTCAAAACTTTGTGGCACGATAAAAAAAATGTTTTCTGTGTCTAAAGGTGAAAATCCAGAGGATCAAATCCTCTGTAAAATACTGAAACTACAGCAGTCTGCTTCACTTTGTTCTAATCTTAAATACTTAAAATGTCTTAAAATGACTAAAGTTTATCTGTACAGAAAAAAAACATGAGTTCTTACATCTTAAGTTACATGGCCAGCAAAAACAAGAGCGGCAAGACAGCAACACCTTAATGACATCTGACCCTGAAACAGAGTGACAGAGACTCACCTGTCGACAGGAGACACAGACGCACACCTGCCGACAGGAGACACAGACGCACACCTGCCGACAGGAGACACAGACGCACACCTGTCGACAGGAAACACAGACGCACACCTGCCGACAGGAGACACAGACGCACACCTGTCGACAGGAGACACAGACGCACACCTGTCAACAGGAGACACAGACGCACACCTGCTGACAGGAAACACAGACGCACACAGACGCACACCTGTCGACAGGAAACACAGACGCACACCTATCGACAGGTTTCAGGAATGCACACCTGTTGACAGGTTAGTCAAGCACCGCCCTTTCCACAGGAAACACAAACGCATACCTGTCAACAGGTTACAGGAAAGCACACCTCTCAACAAGTAACACAAACGCACACTTGTCAACAGGTAACACAGATGCACACCTGTCGACAGGTAACACAAACCTGTTCTCTAAAACATAATACTCCAGTGAGGTGTGGACCAGTTTGAGCAGCTGACTGACTTCAGTGCGTTTAGACTGAAACATCTTAAATAAATATACAAATATGAAGTCCCTTATCTAAAATACAGGCTTTCAATTATTTCTTGTGAAGACACAGAAACAGTTTGAACACAAACAAACATTTTACAGCAGGAAACATGAAGCGATCCAGTAAAAAAGACCCACAACACTCACTGTCAGTGTGTGTGCCTGTGTTTGTTAAAATACACCATCTACCCCCATAGATCTTCAGTGCGGCCAAACTTGTAGACGAGTGTGCTGCAGGGGAGACAAATAGAAAAATTGATTACAGCATCGAGTGTCATCAGTGTGGATCAATAATTTGACAGGATCAGAGCTTAGCTACAATCGTTCGCTCTCTTCAGACTCCTAGATAAAAACACACATCTCAGCCTCAGTCCAGCCACACAGACCACAGGACCGACCGCAGAGAGAGCTCAACGGGTTCCAGGTTAACACTCAGTTATCTGGCTTCAGTTAGCCTGACAAACATCCTCACATCCATCAGCCCACACAGATTCAGGTTCACGCCTTACTCACCTGAAAAAGATGAAGGCGTTCTGAAAGAACACAGCCAAACCAGGAGCCACTTGGTTCTCTGAAGAACACACACAGAGAGAAAGTCAGACACGCAACAATCTGACACAACAACAACGAGAGAAATGGGGAGAGAATATGAAAACTCACTGGGCACCACGTATGCTCCAAACAGGATCCAGATGGAGGCGATGAGCGAGCCAAACATCATCATGAAGCCGATAAACAACCAGAGACGAGCTCCTGCGAGGACACAGATATCTTCATCATCATCATCACAACCACCACCTTCATTGTCATCACCATCACCTCTGTCACCATCACCACAGTCATCATCATCGCTAACAGCAGCAGTGTGTGACACAAACAGGTCAACATCATACACGAAGAAAACGTTAACAAACACATGCATCCATGCAGGACACTGAGCTACACACAGACTCAAAGATAACATCCAAACATTAAAGAGTGACACACACACACCTGTCCTGCCCAGACAGCCCTCTCCATACGTGTCTCCTCTCACCTGGCCGTTAGACACCGCATTGATCCTGAAACAAACACACACAGGACACAGTTACACACAGCAGACCTGCACGACACAGACTAAGTCCCATCAGTCACTGGATGCTTACTTATATCTAAAAGCTTTTCTGCTGTGAGTTTTAATTATTAGAGTTTTAACTTTATGTGTTCCTTTTTTTTTAAAGCCAATGATGTCATTATCAGTCTGGGTAATTCTTCTGTCTTTGTGAAGCATTTTGTAACTTTGATATCAAGAAGTCCTCTGTCAAAACTTTGTTATATACATGAGGATTGATGGGTGCCCTGTGCACAGCCTTGCTACTTCAGCTGGAGCAGGAACAGACAGCTTTCAAGATCAGAGTAATCCAGCATGTTCATATATTCATGAAGAATATCACGATGGAGGATGAGAAACTCACATGAAGAAGGCTATGGTGGAGAAGACGCCGCAGGTGTGGAAGGCGTGGTTCATCTGCTCCTGTAGCGGATACGTCACTGCTGCATCGATCATGATCCACCAGCCTGTGAAGAACTGAGAGTGCAGAGAATACAGAGGAAACTGACTTTGAAGAAAAACTTTTAGAAGACTAATGTCTGTCACCCTCTCACATCTAAAGACAAGGTGTCAGCAACTCCCACAGTTTTTAAGTCAGAAACTAAGATCTAGCAAAGACTGGGGGATCATGCAAAGTCACTATCACTAACTTTAAGACTTGAACTAGATTCAATTTCCCATCACGCATCTGGTTACTGACCAGAACTCCAGCCCCGATAGAAGCCACAGCATTCCTCCTCTCCCCCCAGTCGATGCACTCCCACTCCGGCCAGCGGAAGTTATCCAGAAACCCGGCCATCTGCAGCGATCCTCAGTCGGCCTGTGCTCAGGTGAACCAGGTGTCCTCCTCTGGGTCTGTCTGGGCTCAGGGGACCCAGATGTTCTGTTATTCTTCAACCTGCCGAAGGTACACAGACTGCAAGCTGCTCTACTCAGAACGTCAGACCTGCCTGTGGGAGACACAGAAGTTATATTCATGCCTGATAAACGTGTTCTCTGCACGGGGTCTGACCTGATGAGTGACAGTGAAGCGGCTCGGACATGGAAACAGAACCAAGATCCATCAATGAATCAATCAAAAATTGCAGGAAAACGTCTGCAGACTGTGTACATTTCCATTCCAAAATATTGCCAATATTTTAACAATGTGATTGATATAGGTTGACTTTTACTAGAATCATATTCAAGTTTTCCCTGCTTATGTTTTTTTTTTTTTTTAATTATTGCTGTCCTTGTAAAGCACTTTGTAACTTTATTTTGAAATGTGCTCTATAAATAAATAAATAATAATTATTATAAAGAAGCTGCACAGAAGCAAACATTCATACCATAAAATATGGATTATATTATAAGAATATAATAATATACCAACTGTTATTATACAAAGTGAATAAGTGGTGTCAAACAACCCGGTGTACCGGTAAAAAGAGTGACCATGTTACCTGGTGACTGTCAGCCGAATGCGTCTGTAGTTGACGTTTTTCTTTTTTCCTGATTAATATTTTTGTAATATTTACTTTTTATTTATTTTGATGAAACTATAACTTGTGAAACACCATTGATCATTGCTGTTATTGTGTTGATGCTTTGGCAACATTGTTCATATAACATTTGACACATAACAACGTCAATAAAGCTTTAGAAATTGTATTGATGAAAACAGAAAGAGGATCCTCGTGAATGTTTGTTTGTATATATTATATTATATCAAAATAAACTTGTAGAATATATCTTTAAGGATGACAATTATCCACAGACGCATTCGGCTGACAGTCATCAGATAACACGGTCACTTTTTACACCGTAACACGGGCTGATAGCTTCTATAGGCTAGCACATGTCAGTCTGACAGTATCATTACTAATTTCTGAATGCAGTTCGTCAGCAGCACTGAGTTAAAACAATAACTCAATGCTTTGTTCTTCTGTTTGCTTCATTAATTTATTTTTCTGTCCCGGTTTAATCAAAGATAACGTTAAATGAACGTGAGGCAGCTAGCAGAACATAAAAGCGGATATAGGCGGCTAACAGCAAGCTTAAAACACCCATTAACACCCTTACATTGAAGTTAACATTATTCAGCTCAGTTATAGCTCATGATGATTTGTTTCTTTATGTAATTTAACATGAAGATGGTCCCACCTTTTTCAAATGTCTGAGATTATTGCTTTCAGTTTCCATTCACAGACTTCCTGTATTCTTCGTCTTCTTCGGAGTTTATAGCAGGTGGCAAAAAAACATCCGTACTTGTTTTGCATCACCGCCACCTGCTGGATTGTAAGTCCAATGGCGCAGATGTTTACAGTGTCACAGAGCTAATCTTATTTGGAAACATAAACTGTAATCAGTTTCAGTGTATGTATGTTTGATTGAATTCATTTGTGTATTTAAAATATGTTCTTAATCCATAATAAATTGTTAAAGATTAAAGAACAGAACGCGAGGACGGAGACGTTCCTAAAATAAACTAAATATTAGTATGATTTATGATTTATAATTTGATAAATTCACAGAATCTGACTGTGCAAACATGTTTTTTTATTCCCAATGTCTCACCTTTTAAATTTCCTCTGTGGCAATATTTTCATTTTATTTTAATCCTCCGTTGATGCTGTAAAAAAAAAAAAAAAAAAAAAAAAAATACAAAAGTTTCACACATCACATTTCACATCTGGAGGTTGGAATAAAATGCTGTATAAAAACATCACTTTGCATGTTATTCAAAACAGGTCACAAATATGAAAGAAATACATGTTACATAGTTTAATTCAGGAACTGTCCTTCCTGCTGACATGTATGAAGCATGGTATGAAGGGAGGGGGGTGGGGGTGTCAGGTGTTTCAGAGGGGGAGGGTCTAACTTGTTTGACTTGTTGAAGAAGAGCTCGGCTGACAGCAGAGGACAGCTGAACGCTCACACAGACAGAAACACTGAGACTAAAGACTTCTGAATCTACAGAAGTACAGAGCGAGAGAAACATGGTGTGACTGATCATCAACGGTGAGTCCTCTCTATCTGATCAGTAACCTCTGAATACAAACTGTCTGTTTCAATCATAGACTGTAAAAATAATCTTTCAATCTGCTTTTATCAAAGTGTTTCACTGAAAATACTAAGATCCTGTTGATCGGTATGAAAGGAAAACAACACTTGTATTTCCTGTTAAAAGAACAGCTTCTGAGTCAGAATCACAGCTGTTAAACCGGTTAGTCATGTGAAACAGAGACTGTCACAGTGACTCAGCACTTTTTTTGTCAGGAAGTACATGACTGACTGATGTGGTAGTCACAAAGAAACAGAAATATTACAAACTTCAAACATAGTTAATGTATTTACAATAAATAACTAAGCTCTCCTAACCCCTGTGTTTGTCTGTTTGAGAAAACGTGTTATTTCAGAGCAGATTTAACATGTTATCCGAGTTTGAGCTCAACTGTTTAAAACCCCATGATGTTGCAGTGCAGCTTAAAACAAAGAGTGCTATGAAACTGAAAATTGACCAAAATACCCAGAGATTCATGTTTCTAACATTGAATGATACATTTAAATAGAGAAAGACAGGCTGGTCTAAGTAATGAGGCAAATTGTAAATAAATTCTCTGAGCGTGAAGTTTCATTATTTTTGACTTCCTGCACCCAGCCTAACAGAACTCAACAACAGGGCCTTCACACACTTTGTAACCTTAATAGAACAGGACATCACTAAACATCCACCTCACCCCACTTCCCTCAGGACAGAGGTACAGAGCACTGAGGTGCAGAAGGGCCCCCCTTGGGAAAAGCTTAATCCCTACCTGAGCAAAAAGGCATCGCTGAACAGGCCAGAGTGGGAACTCTTGATTGTTGTTTGACTGCACATATAATGTCACTCTGACAGAAAGCCTGCACAGTGTGTTCACACAGGTGATTTTTATTTAACATAAACTGAAAGACTTAAAGGTCAGATCAATAATTACCAAGATTATCAGATGGCAGAGTGGAGGGAGGTGAGAGTGAACTCACATGTCACACTGAGACACAGAGCTGTAAAGTTGAGATTCAGTCAGTGCTGCAGATATGTAGACATTTGCTCTTCTGACAGTTTGTTGCTGTTCTCAGCCTGCAGGTTCGTGGCGAGGAAGATCCGCGCTTCGGTGAAAGGAGAGGCACAGCCGGAGAAAACCAGCACCACAACATGTAGAGTGACCAAAGGTGATCAATGAGTCCTGCTGAGGCGGTTGTTTGACGCATCACAGACCCTTAAAGAGTTAAATGCTGCATACTGTGATCGACAGTGGTATGTAGTATGACTGCCAGGCGGTGGTTATCTTGCAGGATGCCCGGCTAGGCTAAGCTGGTTTCTGGTCTCGGAATGAGGAAGTAAACAACAGTCAAGCTGAAAGGATTTTAAGAATTTAAGATTGAAGATTTTTTTTTAGATTGGTCTGATTGTGATTATTTCCCTGTTATGATGGCCATTGCTGTCAGTCATTTCCATCTCTGACCTATGTGTACAACAGTATGTGAGGGAGACTGATCTGATGCAGACTGTGATGTTTTTCTCAATGGTCTCCTCCTCCCAGAGTTCCCAGGGGAAGACTGGGAGGAGGAGACCATTGAGTTTTTTTTTTTTTTATCAACGAAGAAATCATTCCCCTTGGCGATCTGTTTTTCCTGAATCAGTACGACATCCTGTGGGTTGCACTTTTGTTTGCATACTGCATTTTGGCCAAATCAGTACTTTCTTTCTACTAGTATAGTAGCAATTTGGAACACAGGTGAGACTAATTGACAGAGGTGAAAACAATGGAGTGGAGGGAAAGCACACCAAGGGATGAAACAAAACTAGACGAGACATACTTGGGAGAACTACAAAATAAAACAGGAAACACTAAAGACTGGACTCGGGAATTACTTTACTATTACTAATAATGTGTGATAAATTCGACATAATTAAACAAGAACTCATGACATCCTTCTCCAGATTACTTTAGAGGTGTATTTAAAAAATAAAAGCGCAGGACATGCAATAAAATACAAATAAACTGAGGGATGTGATCTGACTGTCGGTGTGTTTTTTTTCTGCAGCTCAAAGGGGCGTCAAGATGAGCTCTGATCATCCCGCCTTGATTCAACCAGAATCCTCTGTTGCTCGGCAGAGAGACGACTGTGGATCCTGAAAGTAAACTGACAGCCGGATGTTCACTGCGAGGAGGAATACACACACACACACACACTACACACACGGTAACACACATGCACATCTACAGCTCACAACCTTTACAGACTCCTCCATTATAAATTAATTTCCACTCATAATTTATTAGATTACTTACCTCAGTAGTAAATGTTTCATACTTCAGACATCAGAACTTCCCCTCTGCAGATTTTTTTCTGCATTCACGCTCCATCCCCAGTACCATTATCACACACACACACACACACACACACCTCATGTCCTCCTCCCATCATCCAGCTGTCAGGTTTCTCATCCTTCCTGTGTGAATTGCAGTGATCAGTCTGATCAGCAGAGAGAATGAAGGTCTGATCACCAAGTCCTCCTCAGAGGAATCGATCAGACTGGATCAACATGAAGACTCTGCTGAAGAAGCTGCACTCACTCATTCATCTAAATCAACCAATCAATCTTTATTTGTATAGTGCGTCATGATTTTCTATCTTTGCTCTTAGTCAGATGATCAAACTCATCTCTGCCAAGTTTTCTGGGTCAGTATTAAAACCTCTAAACTAGTGCAGCGGTGACATTTAATTAAGATGTATCAGGTAGATAGAGTTGACCTGACTGCAGCCAGATGATCCTCATGCTGCATACAGGACTGGGATGTTAGCTGACAGGATAAAATAACTTGTTTGTTTTCATAGGTTCATTGTACATATGTTTCATTAATTGCACATAGGTTCTCTATTCTTATTCCTGCACAGGTTATGCACATTTTCTTGGCACAGGTCCAATTTTTAAATTGTATGGGGTAAATTTTGTTCTATTGCAGGTTTCCTTAAACCTTTGTTCGGTTAATAAATATGGGAGGGGGGACAGTGGCTGTGTTAGATGGGACAAATATCTCATGTCATGTGTGTGGATGCTTGGAATTTCCCTCAGAGTTAATGAAGTATCCATCCATCCCTTCCTCCATCCATCCATCCATCCATCCATCTGCTGGATGTCAACATGTTTGTAAGGCTGCAAACCAAAAAGATACATACAAAAGATGGATGCACCTAAAAATTCAGCCGGATATCCTCTTCATGAACAGATAATGATGATTCCTGCCGTCATACTTTTGTTCATTTCACTCTTTATGTTGTTAACGTGTTTGTATCTGTAAAACCAGGTAACAACAAACAGATACGAATATATTAGCTTTTATTATTAAATTATGCATTTTAACGATAGTCCCCTGACAAAACTGCAGTTGTACAAATAATACAGAAGAAGAATAATTACATGACATGGTGCAATGTTTGTACATATAGACATTTGTGTAAAAACAAACGTTTTCCCTTTATTCAAATAAATAAAAAAAACTTATAGACAAGTTAAGTAAAGTTACCACGTGCCTTTTACTTAAAGCAACATTATGTAGGATTTGAGAGACACGGCGCCCCCTGCAGTATGGGAGGGCACATCACACCCTCATGTAGACATAAAAGCCAGTTTGAGATTTAGAAGGCAAAATGACAGGATTTCACCTCTCTGACAAACTTTTAGACTTGGCAGATTAATTAATATTGAATGAGAGAACATTGGATTAAAACAGGGAAAATTTATTTTTAATGTCATAGGGGACTTTAAGTCTGTCATTCAGGAAGCCGTGCTAACTCAAGTTGCAAAGTCCATCTGAACAATGGATCAGAATTAAAGAGGCTCCAATCTGCCTTTATCAAGTCACTGTTCCATCAAACTGACTGTAAAGCTGTTATTTAACACTAACAGCTACATATTGTTGCTTTAATCAGCCTGTGTAACTACAAACCGGGTAACTTCACGATTAATTAGTTGTCCTGGTAGGTTTCTCTTTGAACCATTGCAAACAGTGCAGAGAAAACCACTTAGTGAAATAAAAAAGGTTTCTAATGATCATAAATGGCTAATGTGGTAAAGCTACTGTTAAAGTTGCCATCTTTCTCCATTTGTTTGGATTGATAGATCACTGATGAATATCTGCATTTGAAGGGTGAAAATCATTAAAAAAAAAGTAAAGTATAGAAAAACAAACTGAAGGAAAGATTAGGCACTGGTACAGGAGGCAGTATTGTATCACCTATCTACAGAAAACAGCAGTGAATGATCTCAGGCCTACACTTGACCTCCACACATCATAAATATATTCTACTGAAATGCAGCAATAATCAGCATTTGAAGTCAGTAAGAAAAGGTTGTGCACATTTTGGAAGTGCAACAGGCTCAGTTCTATTTCCTTTCACCAATACGCTGGATGAAACTCACAGCGGCTATATTTCTGACAGATTCCCACATAGTTTACAGACAAAACCAGAAAGATTGCAGTGCTTTCTTTACTGTCCACACAGAAGAAGACACACAATCTGTGGAGCTGCTGCTTTCTGTTTGTGAGGAAACCATCCACACTGTCAGCCCCACAAAGGAGAGGTATGTCAGAGAGAGAGTACTCCTTTGTGTACTCAGACTCAGAACAGAATCGAGTCACATTTTGTAATCCTTGGTCTAATAGTCCTGCATCTAGTTTTATCTGAGTCCTTTGTCTAATCAGATGTTAAACTCGTTCTTTCTGGATGTATGTAGTACTCCATTTTCTAGTTGTACATTGAAGTACTTGATCTGGTCAGAGGATGTAGTCCTTTGTCGATTAAGATTCTGTATTCCATTATTATGTAGGGTGTTGTAGTTCTTTGTCCCATAGGATGTGTAGTCCTTTGTCTTGAGGATGCTGTAATTCTTTGTTTTAAGGATGTTGTAGTTCCTTGTCCCATGGGATTTTGTAGTTCCTTGTCAAATGATGTTGTAGTCCTTCGTACCCTACGATGTTGTAGTCCTTTGTTCTGTAGGATGTTGCAGTCCTTAGTTCCCTACGATGTTGTAGTCCTTTGTCCTGTAGATGTTGCAGTCCTAGTCCCCTAAGATGTTGTAGTCCTTTGTCCCCTACGATGTTGTAGTCCTTTCTCCTGTAGATGTAGCAGTCCTTTGTCCTGTAGGATGTTGTAGTCCTTTGTCATGTATATGTTGCAGTCCTTTGTCCCCTACAATATTGTAGTAGTCCTTTGTCCCCTAGGAATATCTAGCTGGAGGTTCTACTTCTTTGTTTAGTCTTATGTGATAGGCCTTCTCCGTGTAAGATGCTGTACTCATTCTTGTCGTCAGATGTTCTACTTGTTACGACTAGCTCGATGGGGTACTCTTTTGTCAACTCATTATTACTTCTTTGTCTAGACTGAAACAATTGTCCTTCATCTACTCTGATGCAGTGCTTTTTCCATTCCGTAGGATGTTGTTCCTTGTCTAGTCAGAAGTTTTAACCAGTCTGATTTTTTGGATTATGCACCCCTTTGTTCTAGTCGGACATTGTAGTTTGTCATCTTGTTAGATTTCATACTCCTTTGACTAGTCATGAAGGAGTAGTCAGGTTTTTAATCCTTACTCTTGTGGGATATTTTACTTTCATCTTGTTGGTTGTTGCTCTCTTTTGTGGGGTAGTACCTTGTACTCCTTGGTCAAGTTGGGTTTTGTAATCCCTTTTCTTATTAGATCAGGTACCCTTTTGTCTTGTAGATGTAGTACTCCATGTATTCAGATGTAGTACTCCTTCACATTGTCCCTGACAGCGTTGTGGAGGTGAAGCTCCGTCCTGATGGGGGTCTCCATGCTGTGATGGTGCTCCTTCTCCTGCATGCTGTCATTGTTCTTCTGAACCTGTCTCAGGTACAGGAGACGGGTCACCACGGCCAGGATACAAACAGTGATGAACACTGCTGCTGTCACCACACCTGAGGAGTAGCAAACACGTACACATTAAAGGTGCCATTTCAGATACAAGCAGATGCATTCTTGGTGGTTAAACTTAATAATGTAAAACTTGTTCACTGTTTCCTTTATACTTTTTTCTGAACCCCTTTTTGTTGTCGAAAGCTTGAAAGAGAAAGTTTGGAGATGGAGTACCTTGAGAGGACACTTTGAGCAGCAGAACAACTTTTTGACTTATCACATCAATCTCTTCAAAGAATAGCGACCCAAGGCTGGTCAACCTAGCAAGCACCTTTAGGTCAGGGTTTTAAATGATGAGGACGATCAAACTGATCTGTTTTTTTTCTTCAAGTAGACAAAGAAGAAACTCACATATACCAGTACCTGTCACATCTGTCTCTAGAAATCCGGATGGGAATTGTGTTGTTTTTACATGTTAGGTCAAAGAAAAATATTAGGGTTACACAACCCTGGATGATCCTGAGCACTATCTTTCAAAACATGCACGGTTGTCTCAGAGTAGTTGCTCAAAGCCCTGAAGAAGGACCTGAAGGTCATGATGTCCTCAGATAACATTATTACACAGTGAGTGGAATGATATTAGTGATATTAGTTCAGCAGTAGGCACAGCCCCAACAGGACAAGGTGTAGGAGGACTGTTGATACGCTTGATTCTTCCTTGGTTTGGTTGGATGGTACTGTCAATTTTTTTCACTGAGCAGTCTCTTTAACTTAGCCTGACCAAAAGTCCACCTTTGATCAATTTGAACTGTATAAAAAGTATACACACAAAAAACTAATATAGAGATAAGACTAAAATCGTTTCCAAAATGGAGAACTTCTTTTGCGTGGACCGGGGGGCTGTCCATCTTTGGGAAAGCGGTTTCACCACCATTTTGCAACAAGAGACAAAGAGACTAAGTACCCAGCTACTGAACTGGAGTATCTTTCTAGAAAATGAGCCAAGAAACTTGTCACTTGTCTTTTGTCCTGATAGTTAAGATAAAGGTAGATAAAGTGACTCTGGTTTAGTAACCAAACTCAGAATCAATAAGCCAAAAAGAAAGATACAGACCTGCTATAACAGCCACATCATTTTGTGTATCCTCGCTCTGCTGCTTCTTTTCTTTGTCCACAGCTGCAGAATCATCTTAGGAGCAAAAGAGAGAAACTCATTCCCTTTGTATAAAAGTAAAAAGTTATCATTGTGTAATTCATTATATAAGCTCCCTGCTGTTGAAAATGAGACATGCATGAGTGTGTCAGATCTGTGTGAATCAAACTAATGTCACAATCACACTTTAACATTACAATACTGTATATCAAATGTGTAAATTTCTAAAGACAGTGACCGACCATGTGTTACATCTCAGATTATGACTGACCGTGTGTGTTACCCCTCAGATTATGACTGACCGTGTGTGTTACCCCTCGAGTTGTGACTTTCAGTGTGTGTTACCCCTCAGACTGTGACTGACTGTGTGTAATCCCTTAGGTTGTGACTGACGGTGTGTTACCCCTCACACTGTGACTGACCTTGTGTGTTACCCCTCAGGTTGTGGGATGTTATGGAGTTTGCCAATGTCCCACAGTTCGATTGGACTAATGAGCCTCTAATCGTGACCAATGAGCTGCCTCGATTCTGCAGTGCCGCTTTCAGAGGAGCCACGTGATTGAACTGGACCGAAGATAGACAGCCGACGAAACCCTCGGAACCTGCACGCACCACCTCTTCATGGAAACTCTCTCTCCCTGTTCAGATAGACAGAGAGAAAGTCAGGAAGATAAACTGATAGAAAGATTAACAAAGAGGCTGATGTCAAAGATGTCATTAAACAACAGTTATCCATACAGTCTCTGTAAGATGCACTTCTTGTGAGGTTTTCCTGGTCCTCTAAAAGACCACACTGAACGCACAAAACACTGTTCATATTTTGTGCTGTAGAAAAATATGTACTGAACCGTATAATGATTCTACCTAAGGATCTAGAGGCCCAGTTTGTTCCACTAATATTCAAAAACAGTGCTACTTTCTGTCACTGTCACTCTGATCTAATAGGTTTGATTGTCACATGTCTTCTTGTTACCTGATATCAAAAAAAAGTTTTGAATCTTTCCCAAAACACCAACATTTGTTGAGGAAAATTTCAATTCCAACGCAGTTGATCTTGACAAGTGGATGATATTTTACAATACTACGCCTGATTATTTGCAGTACAGAAACTTTCTGTTCAGGGAGATTTGAACTCGGTGAGAACACTTACTGATGACTTTTCCCAGGGTAAGCGACCTGAGATAGATCAGCTCTGCTTCAGACGACAGAGAGAACTTTCTGTGGATGTCCTGATCAACCTGATGGAGAGGATTCAGAGAAAAACAAGAATTCTGAACTTAAACAGCCCTTTATCATAAACCATCAGTCCACAATCCAACCTTCAGACCTTCACATGCTGACTCTAATTCTCTGATTTGGAAAGATAAAAACATCACTCAGTACATTTACATGATGTTGAAGAAGGTTATATGTTCATAAAATAAATGTAAACATGTTAGTCTGACTGAAATTGTTGAATTTCTCAAAGTTGGTACTAGATACTGTGTTATGGGGTCGATTTACTCTTGCATGTATACACCTCAATCTGACCCAAACTAGACGAGGCGCTCTGAGCCAGGTTGAACAGCATACATTTGAGGAAGAAGCTCGAGCAGAATACAAGACGAAGGAATCAATATGGACAGTTTTAGAGAGAAAAACAGACGAGGAGAGACAGGACATGTGTCAGCTGAAAGTAGAGCTACGAAGTTGTCCATGTTTTCACCGTTTGTGTTTGGTATGTGACATAATAGGTCAACAGAAAGAAGGTCTAATAGTAACTAGCTGAAAAGGGGCATATCACCACCTACAATAGAGGAGTCAAAAATACATCTGTCAACAAGTGGATTCTCATTCTGAACTTATATAGGGGGACTAGGACAGTAGAATGGTTAAATGGACTGATTGAGCTGATGGCTCCACTTAACTGTATCTCACCTGTACGTACAGGTCTCTGCCCTCACGCTGGATTCTGATTCGATGGAGTTGTCCGTCTGCCAGACTGCTCAGGACCGGACTGAACACATCCGGGTTCCTGGAGTCTGCAGGTGGTACCAAATCTGAAGACTACCTGGACAGAAAATCACACAAACAGCGTGAAACACCTCAACATCCTCACCTTCTGACTCTGGGAAACTTCATGTTTGGGATGTTCAGTATTTCTTGAGACACTGTCTTTGATTAAAATCAATAAAGAAAAATGAACAAGGGACCTATTGTCTATTGTCTATGTGTTATCTCTGCAGTTCTTGCAGAATAAAAACTAAATCTCTTGACAGCAACAGATTTTGCAGCCGCAACGAGACGGAGACACAGACTCACAGAACAGACAAAGTGGGCTACCCACAATGAACCCTTCAGATTAATCAGGAAATGTCTTCATTTGAACAGAGAGTGTTTTGAGAGTTCCCTTTGACCTCTGTGTCAGTGTGCTGTGAAACATCTGGGGTGTGTACCGTTTGTGGTGAGGATTACGGCGATGTACTGCTGGCTGAAGGTGCTGATGGTCAGCAGGTGGGCGGGGCTATGTGAGGTGATGAAGCTTAAGGCTACGTCCTCTCTCGTTCCGCTGCTGCTGCTCTCCCTGGAGACGCCGGACGTCTGGAAGCTTCTGTTCTGCATCACAGAGAACGGCTCCTGAAAGGTGAAGGTCAAAGAGGACTCTCGGTGCAACCTCACCGACACCTCTGAATACACACACACACAAAGAATACACATACGATTACATATCATTCCACTCTCCAAATAGCCCCCCAAAAAATGTAAATTACATGACTGAGGGCATGATTTAAAAAAAGGAAATTGCGGCAGTTAAACTTGCACAGAGACGAGCAAATGTCGTCTCTGTGCACCGGTGGTGTTTGTGCGTATTTCAATAATCATTATGCATTCATTTGGAAGTAAACTGCCCCCTTTCTATGTAAATCAGCCTCATTGCGAGAATTGAGCACAGTTAGAGTGAAAAAATTACCATCTGCTAAGAGTTGGTGGTAACTGCGCCCCAGTATTTTTGACCTTAGTATTATAAATATAACTGGAGGTTGAATCAGTCCTGGCTGTCAGGGTCTCCACACTTCATCCACATGTACGGAGACTGTCTGGAGCAGTTATTGCAGTTGAACCCATACTTGCTCTCACCTTCTCTACAGGTGGGTCCTCTGAACGCAGAGGTGGAGCAGTCGCAGGTGTAGCCGTTGCTCATCTCGATGCACCTCCCTCTGTTGTGGCAGAGGCTGCTGGAGCCACTGCAGTAACCCGGACAACCAGAACTCGCCCCCACCACTGTTCTCGCCTTCTCCTCCAGGTCAAACATCACGCCGTTGATGTTCAGAGTCCGCATGCAGCCGAGGAAGCCTCTGAGCCTGGATGCTGATCCACCTGAGACAAAAACACACCCGACAGAGAGAGTGTGGAATGACGTGCGAGAAAGAAACCACAGGTGGGAATGAACATGGGCCGACCACCTGAAAACAATAATTATTGACTAAATTAAGTTATTAATTTACTGTCTATTCTAGATGGTTATTAGAAAGTTTTACCCACAACTCTGTCAAACTCTGTCCTGATGCTTAGACTCTGTCGTACCTACAACCAGCTGTCCGTTGAGACGAAGGCGTCGGTGTCCGTCAGCCGGAGCCTCCAGCAGGCGGAGGGGCAGCTGGTCGACCTGCAGCCACACCTCCTTCACATTACGCTCCGCCCTCACCTGGTGCCACTGCCGGTCGTTCAGAGGGAGGGGGGAGGTGACCGCAACGACCACGGGACCGTCTCCAACATCCAAAGAGAAAGTTACCACTGAGGGAGCTGAGACACACACAAACACACACACACACACACACACACACACACACACACACACACACAAACACACACATTCACTCATTTTTATGATCTTCTGTACCTTCAGATCTCTACAGTGAAACATTTGATCCCAAACCTCCTGAGAAAAGCTTCTGTGATTTGTAAAATATAACAGGGACATCAGGTAAACTGATCCCACAAGTCCCACAAACTGCAATCCCTCTCGTGTCCACTAGAGGCTGCCTCCTGCAGTGAGTCAGTCCCAATAGAGCCCCATGATAAAATGTCCAACTTTACATCAGAAATAAATGTTTACAGCCTGGCAAAAAAGTGTTATGAAAATTTACTTCTGAACATGTGCAGTGATGAAATGATGCTCTGCTGTGGGTTTCTGGGATATTATGTCATGTGTCAGAGAATCCATGACTCACAGCTGAGCTCCAGTCTGATGAAGTCCTTGTGTCCCAGGTTCTCCAGAAAGACCCCTGAAGGAGCACTGGTCTTAAAGAAGAAGGAGAAGTCCGAGGAGAGCTCTGCCTGAAGCTGGGGGAACAGGAGCGACGAGGACTCCTGGAAGAAGGACACTGCGTTCCAGATCCACCCTGAGAGGAGAGAAAGGACACGTACAGGAGCTGAAAACCTGCAGGGCGGTTGACAGCAGAGAAACCAGACAGACCAATCCTTACATTATTTGTTGTAGTAATGAGATGGATGGTCCGTGTCTTCTAAGTTTTATGTCCTTGCTGTTTGCGAGGCAGTACGTCGGCCCCTTACACACATTAAACACCTGACAAAGTATTCAATGTCCTGGACATGACTATAAACTATAAATGGCAATCGATTTGTAAACCTTGAGTTTTTCTTTACTATAGGCAGTGGGTTTCTCACAAAGGAAAACAAAGATGTCCGTCCGCTGTAACTTTGTCTGTTTAGTTTGATCGTTGAACCACTGTCACTGAGCCGAGTAAAGCTAAGGAAGCCTCCGCCTGTTGTTAAGGGTTAGCTTGTTACTAAGAGACAACAAGTCTTCTGCTGACCTCAAGCTACCGCTAGCTAACTTTCTGTTAAATGTTAGGCTCCACCACATCATCACTGTGTACTAACACAAAAATGGTCCTTCCTCCATTGAGTCCTTGGGTAGTCATCCAAACTCCCCTCCCACTATAACGCCCATGGTTAAGGGTTTATAATCAGGCAGACTTTAGGATAGGAGAGACTAAGGATAGGCCTATTTAAAGCCCATTTTTAGATAATAATAATTGGTTTGTTTGTACAGGGATGACAGCGAGCCGGTTCTGTGTTTTGGATGAAGAGAAGCAGTGAATTCTCTCAGGCATGAGAAAAAGAACAGGACATGATGTTGAAGTTAAATATGATGATTTAAATGAGCTGTGTCCTACTTATTAAAGTCTAAATTTGCCGACAAAATCCAAACACTGACTGAGAAACCTACTGTTTCCATAGCAACGCAGCGGGCCGATGCTGTAGACGGCCTCTGATCCGGTTCTGTTTGTGTCGCCAATCACGATGTGGCTCACAGGGAGGTGGTTTTTATATGACAGGATTCCTGAGTCATTAGTCCTAAGACATAAGATATAAAAATACATTTTTAACTCTTCTTTGCTGTTTTCTTTTTGCTTGTAATCATATCTCCTCTAAAGTCTTCGCACCATGATTGTGAGTCTGCATCACAGTTACAGAAGTAGTTCATGTCGACACAGTTCTGCTCAAGGCTGCAGGAGCACTGCTGTACCCCCGGCAGGAAGCCTCCCCAGTAGCTCCGCCTCTCTCCGCCCGGGTCCACCCACCATGACATCGGGCGGCCGTCTGCAGACACACACATGTAGAGAAGAAGAACAGAATCCTGAGTTTACTGTAATAATACCTGAACATAAATCTGTTTCAGGCTAAATTCCCATTACGATACATCAACACAACAGACATCTTTACCTTTGGTGTTGAAGAGGCGGGACTTCCTGCAGCTGTAAACCACTTCCTGCTGGCAGTGCTCAGAGCTTCTGATGATGGTGTGCAGTTGTTTGGGGTCGGAGCTGTAGTTTAAAGTCATGATGTGAGGATTCTGCAGAGACGAGCCCTGAACTCGGACTGGAGCGCTGACGTTATGACGCACCACTGTCCACACACGCTCTTCTGAACACATGTTTAAGCATGAAAACACACACACACACACACACACACACACACACACACACACACACACACACACACACACACACACACACACGGACAGTCGGAGAAAACTCTGAGTTTAAAGAAAACAACAATGAAAAATTCTATATTTGATTTGGAAGCTGGAAACAAGGGGTGTGTTGTTTGGTGTGTGTGTTGCTCAGTGTGTGTGTACTGTTCAGTGTGTGTGTGTGTGTGTGTGTGTTGCTCAGTGTGTGTGTGTGTTGTTCAGTGTGTTGAGCAGACACGTTGCACGTTGATGCAGAGATCTGTGACAGACCCGACTCTGAGCTCTGATCCCAGAGGAACCTGAGAGACTAAAGTTGACAACACTGACTGCACTCACCTGTCATGTTGCAGTAGACGGGGGCGGGCCCCAGGGGGCCACTCCCATCTGGATCAATAGAGTAGAAGCCGGAGGAGCCTCCAGTCAGCCTGTAGGCCTCACAGGACGACTCGTAGAGGGCTGCAGAGAGGGATTAATCAGATATCAGCACAGAGCTGCAAACACTGTCATTTTAAGAAGTTATCCTCTCTATGAGGTGGAGGTCTATCTTTCTCTTAAAGCCTTTAAGAATCTTTCAATCTTTAAGTTGGCTGCAATCCAAACCTCCCTCCCCCCACCCTTCTGTACTTTGCCTCTATATTTTCTGCGTTTAGCTGAGAGCACATGCCCTTGAAACTTTTTCATCTCATGCAGGATGCGCCCAGGCTCATGTCGGCTGATGAAAAATTCACTGAAACTCGAATATAACAAACAGTGTGCATGATGTGGGAGCATTTTTGATTGCAATACAATTAGGTGAAATGATTTCAGATAAATTGGGACACACAGAGACTCACGGTGGTGGCAGACGGCTCCAGAGTATCCGGTCCCTGAACAGTCACAGGAGAAGGAGCTCCAACTCTGCAGACACACGCCTCCGTGTTCACACAGGTTAGGAACGCACCTGCGCAGGACGGCAGAGGACGACAGAAGACAACGAAGGACATGGAGGATGACAAAGAACAGAGGATGACAGATGATGACAGAGGACCACAGAGGACGACAGAGAAAAGCCGTTTATGTTCCTCAATATTTATCAGCCTCATGGTAAATCTCTCTCTCTTTTTTTATCCTTATGTTGTAAATATTTAAAACAATCTGCAACAGAACACAAACTCTAGACCAATCACAGATCCCGAGAATCTACGTCTAAACACACAGATTAAACTGTTAATAAAATGACTAATAGCCTCTTCCTCCAGTCTAATATGTCCTATCAAGCATGCATGTAAACTTGATGACAAAAAGGTTTGAGCTGCTGGTTTGATAATTGTCCAGTTTTCTTTCTTAGTCTTCTGAATCCTCTCCCGCTGACCTGCACAATAACTGCTATAAAGTGAGCTCTGAGAGAGGAAAGCAGATTATGTCTAATGTGGGATAATATTCTCATCCTCTTAACAAAAAGCACTGAGCTGGCTTTATTATCCCAGAATATAATACATGCTGTGTTTTTGTTTTATAAGCAGATTTCATGTCCGTTTGTAGTTTTAAATGTTCAAACTAAAGCTGAGCTGAAAGGAGAATTGGGGATGAATTTTTGTCTTACTGTGTGGACACTGAAGCTCCTCTCATACTGAGGTCCTTCAGCTGTAAACAATCAGACTATTCATATGCTGCTATTGTTTTTATACTATGCACTAAAAAATCTTACATCACAAGAACATCACTTGTGACCTTATGGATAAGTCTTTAAAAACAGTGATTGAATTGAATCAAACTATCAAACTATGATTGATATAAAAAAAACATGGACAGGTATTTCAGGCCCAAAGTCACAGAAAGCTCTCTAACGTCACCTGGAAATCAACCTATTACAACAAACAGTGTAATGAGCAGGTGTTAAAGATCACAAAGCAAACATCTGAGATTCTTACAGGTGTTCTGTTTGTGCTCACAGATGTTTTTTGGAGTTTAATTTTGACCAAATACTCCTAAACAACAGCACTGAACAAGGTCAGGTCAGTTATTCTGACTGTATCATCCACCTGTGTAAATTCTATCTTCTATTTGAAGAAGCAGAGAGCTTCAACTTTCCCACCGGCTCCCCTGTCAGTCAACCCAGAGACGCTCCTGCTGTAAAAATTGACATTTCAGTATGAGTGTTAATGTGACTTCTTCAGCAGCCACTAGTTGCCGCTTGCTTAGGACATGAAACCAGTGTAGGAAGACATAAAACCAATCTTCTCTCTGGATTCTGAATTTCTTTGAGAGCTGTCTTTTCTTTCAGGGAGTATTACGAGAACATGAGTAAGCAGCTTGTTTACCTGTCTCTGATGCTGCATGTGTCAAACTGAAGATCACTGTAGACTCCCAGCATCCCTTGCTGCACATGATGGAGGTTGATGGTCTGGCTGTTGATGGAGATGAAACGCATGCAGCCCTGGAAGGACACTGTCGGCCTGTGGCGGGCTGCAGGAGGGCTGCCTGGTGGAGATGACAGGGGAAGAACAAAGATCTTCATCTGAACACACAGGAGGAGGACTCACGCTGATGCTTTAGGAGGAAACAGTTCAATCAAAACGTACCTCCAAAGTAGAAGCTCCCTCTGACCTCCAGCTGCTCCCACCGCTCCAGGGTGGAGGCGGGCTCGTTGTCCAGAGTCAGACTGACCTGAAGACCTCGAGTGTCCAGACTCACCGAGTGCCACAGTCCATCATTGACTCTGTGCCCTGAAGGTTAAACACATAACTGAGGATGAACACAGGAACAGCTTTTCTGCAGGACTAAAGAAACTTTTAGGCACAAAAACATTTCAGAGCAAAACTCTAAAAGCAAGCAAGAAAAATGTCTCGTTATTAAATGTAAGTTGGGGAACAGAGAGAAGTGCATGTTTCAAAAACTTAACACCTGATTTTTGAACTTCACACCATGGGTGTAGTAAGAGCCCTTATCTGTCCTGAAATACATCTATAGATCCTCTTTGGATTTGTTTCTCTCTAAGTTAGAACTGTCAGAGTAAAGAAAAAAAGGGACGATTAAATGAACATGATTCTTAACTCTGCAAACAAAAAGAAAAAGTCATTTTGGGCAGGCCGTCCACCAACGATCCAGAAGAAAGATTCAGTTCTTGTCCATAGTGTGAATCATTAAAACTACAGAGATTGTATATTATTTTAAAATGTGTGGTATCAAAAAGTTGTGAGTAAGTTGAGTGAAATGTTGAGGACCTCAATTTCAATCTTTTATTGGGCCATGTATGTTACAGAGGTGTGGTTATAGTGATATCTCAGTGTTGACTGAGGCTGTGGAGGAGCCAAATGTGAGATCTCTTTCATGGAGCCCAGAAATCTGGAGATGCCCCTGATCCTGGTTATCTGTACTGTGTGTGTGTGTGTGTGTGTGTGTGTGTGAGAGAGAGTGTGTTTTCTGACCTGCAGATGTCTCTGCTCTCTCTCCCTGGTCGTGGATGGTCAGTATCAGCCGGTTGTTTCTGATCTGTAGGTCCAATCTTTGGTTCTCTCGGCTCAGTCTGGCAGACACTAGCAGCCCGTCGGCGTTCCACGTTCTGAACTGGAACCTGACGGAGAAACCTCCCAAGGTGGTCAACGGGGAAGCCATGGGTAAGGACAGGAAGCTTCCGCTGGAGCTCAGGAAGGTGACAGCGACCAGTGACGGCCGTGAGCATGTGAAGGTCACGTTCCCCTGAGGGACCAGAGACAATGTACACCAGTAAATATTTGTTCACCCTGTTTATTCACATTTCTGTTTTATTTTTTTATTACTTTGATCAGTAACTCTTTATCCCAATACTCACAAAGTTTTTGTTCACTGGCTGATTTTAGTGTGTTTGAATCAGACTCACCACGCTGTAAATCTGTGGCTTGCGTCTCTTAGCGAGGTCGATGATGTTGATGCCGTTGTAATAAAGGTTCTCGATGCAGCCGTCAAAGTTCCTCCTGAGGAAGGTGCCGGGTTTACCGGGCAGAGGGATTCCTCCAAAACTCAGCTGGAATACAGAGCAAAGGAAAACACAGACAGGTGCAATGTGGTCACTTCTCTCGGGACGCTTGAAAAGCCTGGCAGCAGCATTTTGAATTGACTGCAGTCTTTGGATGTTATGCTTGCTAGTGATGAAATAAAGAGCATTACAAAAGTCAAGCCTGGACAAAAATGAAGCAATGATGCCTTTTCCTAAGTCACCAGGAGAAATGGTGAATGGCCTGATTTTGGTTAGGTGTCGTAAGCAAAGAAGGACTGCATCACTTTGGTCATCTGGGTATCGAAAGATAGCTGGGAGTCAAAAGTGACCCATAGGCTGTGGGCCTCCTTGCAAACATTATTTGATCGGGCACCCAGACTGCAGGAGAGATGATTAATGAACTGGGGCGAGAGAGTAAAAATAAGAACCTTGTAGTCATTGAGCTGTAGAATTTTTTTGACATTCAGCTTTTGATTTCTTCCAGACAGAACATAATGTGTGAAAGATCGGAGGAGTGTCAGGCACATTGTTTTAAGACACACATGTGCTGGGACTTTTAATGGAATTCATTTGCTCGTGCAAGTCGCACTAATACTCTGACCTATTTCATCATGAATAATGAGAGCATTTTAACTCACACAGTGAGGAACTTTCACTCTGACAACAGTCAGCTTCCACACTGAGCTTTGGTGAGGCGAGCTCACTCTACCCTTCCTCTAAAACTAATCCATCCCAAACTGCTCCACATCATAGACGGTATATCAAGATGGACGGAGAAACAGCTGTCTGGGAGGGAAGCCAAGACATGTAGAGCTCCCCCTGCTGACTAGCTGCAGTATAGGTCATAAAAACCCTGCCTCCCCATGGTAACAGATGGGACATGTATCAAACTATAATAATGTGAAATATGATTATATAAGTTAAATACACAACTCAAATCTTTGTTTCAAACCCAAATCTGTTGTTGTAGTTACTTCTTATTGTGCTTATTTATCTCCAAGTGTTCATTTTTCTGAGTAGTTTAGTTGTTTATTAGTTATTTGATGCTATAGAGAGCACATGTAACATTGACAGCTCTGTGGACAAATGAGGCTCCTTCAGTGTTGTGTGCAGAGAGTAGAGGAAGAAAACCAACTCAAGAGTCATTGAACTTTCCAAAGCCCTGAGTGTCTGCGTCAAATCGACACAAGTATCTGCTCTGCTGTGGACTGTACCTGAGGGACCTTTGACCTTTGATCAGGATACTCAATGTGTGGTTAATGGACGGAGCAAGACGTCAATACTGCGGTTCCAGTCAGCTCCCTTCTGCTCATGTCTTGGCTCTAAATTTAGTCTCCAACAAAATATGTCAGCACCCGTCATGGGGCTCGCACACGGGAGTTGGGTCCCATTGTTCACATAAAAGAGCGAGCACATAGAATTCAAAGAAAACTTCACACAGCCAGTTCAGACACAGCCATATGGTTGATTATAACCATTTGTGATCAGGTGTTTGGATAAGTCGACCTCATGCTAAAGGATCTGTGAGCGGCCTGTCACCTGCACAGGTTGTACTGACCTCATAGTCGACTTCCAGCGAGTACCCCTCCCCTCTGGTGGTGAAGTGCTGCGTGTGCGTGTCCACGCTCAGGTTCACCTGCTTATTGAAGCGCTCGATGGTGACCGAGTGCCAGTGCTGGTCGTCGAGCAGAGAGCCGAGTGTGACGGCGACTCGACTGCTGCTGAATCTCAGCCGGGTGTCGTCTGACCGAAACAAACAAAAGATGAGAAAATCAACCAATGACTGTGTGTGTAAAGCACTATGATAGTTAACCCAGGGGTCTGAAACAGATCAGGTAGGTCGCAGGGTGTTTCAGTAGTTTGAGTACAAAAAAATCTGATGACAGTAAACGCACCTTAAAAGCCTCTATCCACTTCAATCAAATACACAGATATCCTGCCTCCTCCAATACAAAAGAATAGGATAGGGCTATCAGATGTCACTAAAAAGGTGACAATCAGGTCAAGTTTGTCAGCGTCAAACTCGACTAATCACAGCCATGAGGCAGCAACCTTCATCGACATGTCAGGGCAGTTACTCCGTACGCTAAGGAGTTAACAAGCCCGTTTAGACAGATTTATGACAGACAATGAAGCCGGCCATCCTCATCAACAGAAGGAATTGGAAAACAAAGAATGTACAGGACCAGTGTCTGTGCCACGTCTGCAGTATCACAAAACAAAATGCAGAGCACCACAACACTCAGGTCCACCGTCATTTTGCATGGATCTTTCCTGCAGGCAGCACAACATGAACTGAAAAGGTGAACGAGCTGAAAGCAACACTTACACAAACAAAAAACAGCAATCTTTATTCATCCAACCAGCTAAGAATGTCAACGCAGCAATGTGGGCCTCATGTTAAGTAAAGCACAAGAAGTCATTCCCCAACGGCGGGATGATAAAAGAAGGGATGACTGCAGTGGCTGAGACGATATTCAGGGACCATAGAAGTAAGACTGAAATAATTTATTTTGTTTCTGAGGTACAATTTGGTGCAAACACAGCGGCTGTGGGTATAGTCGTCTTGTGCAAGTACCTCTCGGCCACTCTCCTTTTTCAAAAGTAGCTCTCACATGAAGAGACATTGGAGACCCCTGGGTTAACCTGGGACAAAAAGGATTGCAATTATGGGCTCACTCAGCTGTCAATCAAACTGAGGTGGTTCAGTCAGCGTCTCACCCAGGTTCAGGTAGAGGGCCAGTTTTCCTCGGTGGAGCTCCAGGGTGATGTAGTCGCCCCGCTGCCCCTCCCCGTGCAGTAACACCCCCTCGGCCTGTCTGCTCTTAAAGCGCAGAGAGATGACGTCCTTCACCGTCGACATCGACTTCTGATTGAAGCGGTACAGCAGAGAGCTCCTGCCGTCAAAGTCCGCCACGTCAGACTCTAAAAGGAGAAGATCAGGACGTTAGAATATAACAGAGTTATAAAAACACACAACACAGAAAGATTTCAACTAATATAATTAACTACAGGCTTTGTCATTAATTAATCGCAATTAATTACACAAGTGGATAATATGAGAAGGATTGCATTGCAGGTATTTACTGCGTGACCCTGTTTCCAATTAGTTATTTCTAGCTTCCATATTTTAATTTTACTCTTCACCTTATTAGGAGTTGATTCACAATGTACCTAAGTCCACTGATGAAGTTGTTTACCTTCATTTTCCTGTGATTAATTAATCCAAATTAGTGTGATATTTATTCTGTGACTAAGTCATCGAAAACAATTACAGCTTTTTATTACAGTCCAAGTAATGACACACTTAAGTATAATTATTTTTAAGGGGGTGGGGGGGCTTTTATTGCAGAGATAGAGTTGGGAATCAGGGAGAGGGAGTCAGATTCAAAACCGGGCCGTCCGCTTGGAGGACTACAGAATCTTTACGTGTTGTGTGCACTAACCACTACGCTACCTATTGTTGTTATCAAGACCACACTAACCGAGACCAAGAGACCGGAGTACTCCGAGACCGAGTCAAGACCAAGACCATAAATATCACTGCAAAATCATCATCTTATGTGCAGCAGGTATGTCACTCACTTAGACCGTAACACAGGGAAGGTTGTAGGCATAACCGGGGGATAAAAATCAAACTACAAATTAATTGAAGTTATTTGTTCAGTTAGAAATGGGTAATTTCCTTCTTATCACAGTATTGACGGGAGAGTGATGGTCTTGACCGGTGTCAGCCCGGTAGATAGATTTAAAATGCTTTCGATTCTGAGACGAGACCTTCAAAAAGCAGTTTTGAGTACTACACCACTACTACCAGCGCCCCCATATACATATGATCCTTTTATAAGCTTCAGACTGTGAATAGTCCTGAGTCATGATTGTGCTACTAAAAACACTATAATGTTAATATTTAGAAAATGCTGACATGATTCCCAGATGTGTCGTTATGCAACTTGGCTGTGGTTTGCATAGGTGTGCATTATTAACGTCTGATTGGAGAGTCTGGGTTGGTGCTGTACACATGTTCTGTTTCCTGAACTGTTCTTAATGTTTTTAAATAAACATTAGTATGACTTTAAATTGATTTTTATTCACAGTAACTTTTAGTAGGAAGGAAATGTTCTGAGTTTACGTCACATATGCACGTTCTGTTTACTTCTGGCCTTTTTTTGATATATGTGAGGCGATCCTCACCCTTCTGTCTGTCACTGTCCCGACGTTTACTCCTCTTCCTCTTTGTTGACTTTCATTGACAAACTTTGGTTTTCACAGTAATAACGCATTTGATTCTTAGCAGGGCAACACAACTGAGTGCTGTAAGATGGGGCCCCCTTAGGGAGGTCTACTACTGTCATTGCAGAATTTGCATATTTTGGGCCACTGCTTTGGTTTAAGTTTGTCAGCCCTCAGGAGTCCGATGCTGGTGTTGGCCCCAAGACTGTTGCCTGCCTTGCCTGTTGACAAGCAGCGCCTCTGGGTGAATGTTTGTAAAAAAAAAAAAAAAAAAAGACTGTAAACTCATAATGATTCATTTTAGAGGAGAGTTGAATATAATCACTGACTGTAGGAGCAGCCGTACAGCTCCACCCTGAGGCCCAGCCAGCCGCTCGGGTTCCAGTCAAGAGGGACGAAGCGCAGGAAGTGAGTCCTCAGCGAGGGCGACAGTTTGTTCTGCACGACGGCCTCGGAGTTCACGTTCCCAACAAACATCTGAAAAACACAAAGACAGAACAGTTTATTAACTTATTTCATCCAAGTTACAATGAAGCAATCTCACATGGGAGTGGATATGGTTTGATAGCATGACAACTGTAACTATGATATTTTCCGACTGTCAAACAAAAAACATAGATTTCAGGCTCAATAAGGGCCACTTCCTCCATTGGGACCCTGGGTAGTCGGTCCCACTTTTCTCCCCATGAGGCCATGCTATAGGGCCCATGGGGAGGCGCACACTCCAGTTTGGAAATCACTGCCATGATGCATCAGTACAGACTTTGTCTGATGAAAACCTAGATAACTCTTTTACTATATAATATGAAAGTAAAATATGTACACATTGTTTTTCCTGTGTGATTCTTCATTTCATCACTCGTCTGCACACACGTCTTGCTCTCCCACATTTTTATTATGCTGACTGAGAAGTTTGGTTCTCCCTGGTTCAAGTTTTTCATGAGGAAGGAGAGGCGTATCCTTTATGTCCTTTAAGGTGTTTGAGACTCACCCCTCCCCCGTCCTCTTGCCTGTACTCTCTCCACACCTGACCCGTGTCGCTGTACAGCAGCAGGTACCTGCTCACCCAGTCGGAGCTGGCAGAGCGACCCTGTGTGGCCACAGCCGTCACCTCCATCTGCTCCTTGAGGTCTACCTGCAGCCAGGGCTCCCGGTCCGTCACCAGGGGCGACCAGCCACCTGCTCCTGGGGGGGGGGGGGAAGATTCAGTCAGAACAGGTGAGTGCTGTACAGGTGTGTGTTTGTGAACAGAAGATGGTCACAGTGTGGATGTTATACACAGCAGGATTAATGACATCATTATGTAAACAACAAACGTCCTGACTCGTCCTCACCGTCTCTGCGGTTGATCTTGGCGTTGTGAGCGGCAGAGCTGGCGGTGGACTGAGACGAGCTCTGGAATGAAGACTGAGGTAAAGACGACACCAGAGGGCTGCTGCAGGTGTCTGAGGAGGAGGAAATTCAAAGTGTGAGACGTAAATACGTCTTTCATCTTTCATCTGAAAGTGTTGTTTATTAAGACAGACAATGTGACATGTGAAATATAAAAGGATAAACAGCCAACAGTAATGTCGGCTGTTGCAGGAGAGATAAACAGAAATGTGGTGATGATCAGCTGACAGCAGCAGGATCATGATCACAGGTTTTTATCTTCTCTGATTCTGAAGCTGACACTCTGCTCATAAAAACACATGCTGACACTGCTTTATTTATGTTCACACACCTGTTTTCATTTATCTGAGCCTCCTCACAGCAGCAAGTTTTCTTTTAAATAACACAGCAGGATTTAATCAGCTGTTTTTGTCCCAAGCAGGGCCGGCTCCAGGATTTCTGGGCACCACAAACAGATCTAGCCTCACCCTGAGATATCACTATAACCACACCTCAATAACAGACATGACCCATGAAAAAATGTAAATTAAGGTCCTCTACATCGTTCAATACGTTTTGATACCACACATTTAAAACAACACAATATCTGTTATTTTAATGATCTAAACCAGGGTTATTCAACTCTAATGTTCAGGGGGCCAAATTTTCAGAAAGCTAAGGAACTGGGGGGCCAGACAAAAAAATCCCACCACAGCAGTAATTTGTGCGAAAGCCTTTTATTTCATCAACACAAGCTTGGGTGCGAGCACAGCACCAAAGATGTTCTATTAAACGGGAGCACTCTGCCGTTTTTAACACTTTACAATGACAGCCATTCATAAGTTTTCCCACCTGTTTGTTATTGATTTATTTTTTATTAGTTAACAGAACTGATCCGTGAGCCAGTCTGATGTCATCCGTGGGCCGGAGTTGGCCGCCAGTCAAAAAGTCCTGATCTAAACAATCGACAAGTACTGAAGATCTAAAAAATACATACAAAAACAATACACCTATTTCCTAAAACAGGTGTGCAGGCAAGGATTGAATCCATTAAAAATAGCATTTTGTCATAGAAACATTGCCGATGTTTTTGTGCAATTTAGAGTCCAGCAGTTTGCTTGTCGTTTTTGATGATTAAAAACAAATGATCCAGCATTGGGTGCTATGCTTTTGTTGCCGTGGTAACAAATAGGCATTGATGATATTTGTATACTGGAATATTAGTCGGGTATCATGACTACTTCAAACAACTGTAACTTTGTGCTACAGCCTAAAAAACTCTCTACTGCAGTTTAAATTAAACATGGACAATACGTAACTTGAGTGAAGTTTCACATTCATTTATTCATCCAGTTTCCATTTGCTCTGACAGTTCTGACTCAATACATTTACTTCAGACGCCTTCCTCCCCCTCTACTTTACGCTCATAATCACATAAAATTCAACATAAAAAAAAAAAAAACTCTGCAGAATGCCTACATGCAATAATAATGTCACTTTTTGTTTTTGCACCAAAAATCTGCGCATCCTTTACGTATGAAAAACCAGTACAGGAGCATCGAGATGCTACCAAACAGCTTGCTCAGTTAGCTGTACTCTTCACCTTGTGCGGGTGGTGTGTCAGTATTTTTTATGGTTTTTATCCTTCAGGATGAGCGGCTACATAAAACACATTCACTTATTGTGAATTCTCCCCGAGCTATTGCTGGACATTTGAATAGAGACATGAACAGAGAGCAGACTCAATCCTGATATCAGCTCATAAAAACAGCCACATGTTAGCAAAAACTCATGATATAATGATTAGTAATGCAACATGTGTTCTGAAGATGACCCCGAAGCTGCAACATGTGTGAGCTCAGATTATCACACAAACAGAGAGACGATGAATCTGAGCGTATTAACTCCTCAAACGTTTTGGTCTGTGTGTCCGTCTTTGTGTCTGTCTGTGAGGATTGATGTGGATTTATAGTTCTGGATCAGAGTCAGAACGTGTCAGAGAGCCGGTTGCTCGATCATATTATCAGATTATTAAAATTATGATCTGTAATCTGACTCCTGCTGCTGGATGAGAGCCACACTGACCTGATCTCAAACCTCTCTCAGAGCTGGGACTCGGTGACTTATAGAGAAACATCCACAGTGCTCAACTGGATCATTTCCAACAACATGCAACATGTTTTAGAAGTGTGTGGAGGTGAGAGCGGAGTTGACATGTTTCAAAGAGTACTGTACCAATTCTTGGGTGACGAGACACAAATCCAACTTCATCCTGTGCCCCCTTCCCCCATGCAAATGCACACAAGTGCCCAGATTCACACATAGCTTTTCTTTTGCACACACTAAACGTATCCAACACTAACAAAAAAGAAAAGGCCGACTCTAAACTTGGTGACCTGGGACGTGCGTAACATACAGACTGAGAGAATACAAATTATAACCATCTTACAAAACTGAAGGCTGATATTTTTTCTCTTTACAAGAAATACACCAAACACACTCAGAGGTGAAACAAAAACCTCCAACCCAAACCATTTATTTTCCTCCTCATGCAATAGTGAACAGAGAGGCGTTTCAATCTGAGTGATGAAAACATAACCTTGTGATGCTATATGTGTATGGACTGGATAATGATAACACATCTTTTTAACATGCTTCTTTTTAACTACTAAATGGGTCAACAAATATCATCATTGCTGAAGACTTTAAAGGAGCAGTATATAAGATGTGTAGTGAGTGAAATGATAAAATGACCTTCCTATATGATCAGACATTAAGGACACATGCTATGTTGAAGTGCTGGCTTCTCTGACAACAATGCAGCAGCCAGTATGTCCTCCTTCTAACTTTAGATTCTGGTCCTGAATGCTCTGGATTTGTTTGGACCAGAGAAGGTAGGCCCCCCCACACTGCAGTTTTGGACACCCCTCGGTTTGCCAGATATGAGAGCAGTTATCAGGTCAAACCAACAGGTGTTGCAGCGATGGAAGTGGGCAAGAGAACTGGTTCAGAAGCAGGTGCTCAAACTAGGATTAATATTGGAGATGCTTTTTAAAAATGGAGAGAGGTTAGAACGCAGAAAGGTTTACAGACCGATGCAGAGCTGGCTAAACACTGAAGCTTCAGTGTCCACCACATGGCAACCTGAGTGAGCATCGACTCTAGAGAGGAGGGGGACACCTCTCTTTGATGTTTGAATTTAGACTGCAGTACCCGTTTTAAACACTAGGTGTCGGAGGTATATCGCTCCTTTAATACTGTTCCAAGAGATTTCACTTTAAATCAGACAGTCTGTCCCTGTATCAACAAATATTCAAAATAATAATCTGTTTTAAATATTTACACCCTGTCAGCCGACCTCCACATAGCAGCGAAAACTTTTAACTAAATTACTTCTGTGTTTCAAACAGCTGACTTCTAACGTACCGCATCTTGCCTTTAAGTTTGAGGTCTGACAGATGAACTCAGATTAAACAAAGAAAACAGCTGAGGAAGACTCAACACAAAGAAGAGTAAAATCAGGAGGACAGTACAGATATATTATAAGGATCATTTCAGTGTTTTGATGTATTACACCTCCAGCTGTCAGTGTTTTAAAGTCTATCTCAAACTGCAGCTGTACGGACGACAATCATTAATAATTCAGCCGTCACTCACACATTCAGATAAACAGGATTGTGTTCATTATGAGACGGATTAAAGGGATTTCATTCAGCTGCTGGCTCCTCTCTGCTGTGTTTCTGCTGAGTGTGGATCCGTCTGAATGTTTCTGTGTTTTCTGCTGAGTGTGGATCTGTCTGAATGTTTCTGTAACAGCTACAGACTGATTATTAGCACTTGGCCTGCAGACACAAACAGAGTCTTTAGGCAGCCTCTGCACACACTGATTCTCATCCTGTGGGTGTGAGAGATGTGAGAGTGACTCAGTTTGAGCTGCAAACAGAGCGGACCCATAATAACCTTCACAGGAGGTCTGAGGGAACATTTTTAGAGTTACATTATCTGCTTTATTTTTAGAGAATTAGGCCCTGACTACAGCATTTTGGATGCCTTAAAATGCAAACCTTTGAAAACAGCAATATGCAGTTCCTCTGAAAAAGCATTTTCACACATGTGCATTACGGTTTCAGACAATAGCTGTGTGAGAGTAGGTGGACTACAACAACAATGGCGGACTCCGGAGCTCTGTTTGTGAAAATGTCACCTTCATGACTCCCAGACGCCATTTTCTTTGTTTCTCGTTTAGTAGGTTAGGGTCACATGAAGCTGCACCACTACTCATCTTCTGTCCATACAAACGTTTGTGCGTTGGCCATTTTTGTTCGTTTACACCTCACCTCTCTGTAGAAGGAAGAGTTTGAGTGCTTTCATGTGTTGTTTCATTACAAAGTCACCCCACCAACTACTGGCCTGACATGTGTACGACAACTTTTTTAGTCTGTTTTGCACTTCTGTCAAAACTCTGACTCGTCTGTATAAACTCTTACAGACTTTCTCTCTCTCTTTCTATCATTAAAAGTATAATAAACTACATCTACACTTTCTATGCAAACATGTAGCTCAGCTGCTCTGTCTGACAGGATGATCAAACGTCTCTGATGGTGTTAAAACCTCAATATGTGCGACTATGGAAAAGCCTGATCTGCTGTTCACTCTGCAGGGAGTAGCATAAACGACTTTCTGTCTACTAAATTAAAACCTCTCACACAGGGTTCTAGATCCATCTATGCCATAAATTGGGATAAACATGATTTTAAAGGTTTTAATAGTGGGTGTTTTTTATTTTGTCTGTCTGATTTTAGGGCGTGCTGCAGAAACCTCAGCACCTCTACTCCCTGCATCTCTGACAGATTATTTACCACCTGAGCCTCCTCTGCTACTGCAGAAAGTAGCAGAGCTACTTGCTCTAAAACTCTGTTAAAATCTAAATTAACTTCTTTGAGTCAGAGGAAGACTAATATGATCATAATATCTGGTCAGTACCCGTCAGTACCTTGCCTTGCTGGAAAGCTAATTAAGCTAATGTTAGCGGGAGAGCTGCCTCCAACTTTGAAAGCATGAAATAAAAGTCAGACATTAAAACATTACTGATAAGAACCTTTTCACCCTGCAAGCGGCCCGGTTCAGTTCGGTATGATTCAGTATGTATTTATTGTCACTCTCCAAAGTTGGGAATGGTACCAAAATAACTGATCCGTACCGTCCTACTTTTTTGCTACCCTTCTTTTGGGGTTCCAAGCTTAACGATCTGACCTTAAAGGGTGGAGCTAGACACACTGCAGTCAGTTCATGGTCAAATGAATCGTCCCTTCCTGTGCGACAGCTCTTGTGGATTTCAAGAGATTCATGTCAAGACGCTTTATGTTTTTTGGACGACCTCAGAGGTGCAGACCTCTGCTGGACGTCCTCCATTGTTGCCTTTTTGTTTACCTTGTCACATTCTTCTTCTTTGTTGAATTTATTAGCTGGCTACACTGTTTCATGCTGCTTCCATGTCACGCTATTACATAGCTAATGCAGTTGTCACCATCTAGCTTACGCCCCTCTCCCCCCACCAGGTAAGGGTAAGGTTTGTTGTGGAAATGTAAGCAAGATCAGGGTCCACCGTACCAAACCGTACTGAACCGTACTGGACTGCTTGGTGGAAAAGGGGCTTTTGTACACATATTGGGATGATTCTAGAAATACTGCTGTAAAGATCTCGTTTTAAAGAACCAAACTCTACCTGCTACAACAATTAATAATTTTTATAAATGAATGGATGAAATGTCTCTGCCTTCACATTCTCAAGAAGCTCAACTACGACGAATCCATCATGAACTGAGGCAGACACCTTTCGAATCCTGTGTGGTGTTACAGACACACAGATCATTTTTACAGCCTGTCAGAGAGAGAGAGCTCAGGCCTCAGCGAGGACACAAAGGACAAACGTTTGTGCTCTGGAAAAAACTCTGTGAACACCGTCAGCGGGCTGCCGTGATCCTCCGACCCGTCTGAGAAGATGAAACCTCATCGATGAACTTTTCTTATCACCGCAGGTCTGAGTATCTTTCATTCCTCTGAACATGCAGCAGGCATCAGGCAGTGTCTGTCCTTCGTGACAGTAAATCTGATGATAAATATAAATAAGTGGTATAAATGCTAATCTGAAGCCTCAGATATTATAGATTATTATGAAACATAATCAGTTTACATGCTCTCAGAGTGATCAGCCTGAACATCTGATGACAGCAGATTATCTGGAAACATCCACAGATTAAAACGTCCCGATCATGGTGAATATATGATTTTTCCTCTTTAATGAAAGAGAACTCAGGGATGTCAGGGTTTCCCATCATGCACCGCAAACAGTTAAACCTGTACACACTGTACAAACTGTACAGATAAAAAGACAAATAAAATGCGCCGCTTTGAAAATCTGTACAATTTAGTTACTAACCAAATATTTTCCTGGGAGCTCCTGACTCATAGGTTCCTCTGGGTCGTTGGTGGGGACGGCCTGCTGCTATGGACCCTCCTCCCCTCAGTTTGTCCCTATCCTTCTCCTTGCATCTTATCCCATCTTCCCTCATCCCATTTTTCAAGCCCAGCAGAGTTTAGCAGAGCTCTGTTCATCATGAGTCTGTATGGTTTTGCCCAAGATTTCGGCCTCTTAAAAGGATTTTTCTTGCTACTGTACTGTAACTTGCTACTGTAACTGCTAAATGTTGCTTCGTGCTCATGATGGATTAACGTTGGATCTTTGAGATATAGCAATGGGTAAGGTCTTCTACCTGCTTTTTGTAAAGGGTCTCAAGATCTTTTGTGTGAATGCTGAGGCTTCATAAACATGAACGTGTTCCTGTCCAACAATGCAGTCAGACGCATGCAACATATGTCAGAGCCACAGCCTGCATTATTCAGCGTCTCTTTGTCAATGACCGATCATCCTTCTGAAATGTTTTTTGCACATTATTCTGTTTGTTCATCAAATGTTTCTGCAGGCCAAGTGCGTGCACAGCAACCTGCAGGCAAGAAAAACTGTGCATTTTTAATCCAGGTTTGTTATGTTTTACTCAGTTCTCCCTGCACTTGATTTTTATGTTCATCCTTCTTTAAGCTTTCCTTCTCGCTTTTATACTCATGTTTATTTTTGTCTTTTTTTAACCTTTTTGTCTTTATTAGAGAGGACAGCTGGAGACGGACAGGAAATGTTAGGAAGAGAGAGATGACATGTAGCAAAGGGCTGGGGCTGGATTTGAACTCACCACAGCTGCCATGAGAACTACAGCCTCGACATAACCGCTAGGCTATAAGCGCCACTATATAATCCTGTTTTTAAATTATTTTACTTGCTCTTACTTGTATTTTATACTCATGATGTTTTGCAACTGTGTTGCACTTTGAGATCTGTTTTAAATGAAAGGTGTGTAAGAAATAAAATGTACTATTATTATTATTAGTCACCTACATTAAAAATTATCTGACTGATTATTATCTGATTATCTGACTTTGAAATGAAATGATTTGATTGACTCTCCAACAGAAACAGAGCTGCTAAAGCTTTATAATCTGAACAATAGAGGCCAGGGTGGAGACGGTCCTGCAGAGCATGCAGCAAAAAAAAAACATTGGAGAAATCCTCTTTTTGTCCAAACAGGATGCAGGAAGTCGTTTCCAGAGCAGCTGTGTGTGCAGCAGAATAAAACATGAGTTTTTCTGTATAGTACAGCCTGACTGCGACCTCATGATGAAAAAAAGCACCAAAGGCTGCGGAGCTGTCAATCTTCGGCTGCACTAAAAGCTCTCAGTGAAGCCGTGTGAACGCTGCACACAGGGAAATACCTCTGCTGAGACACACACACACACACACACACACACACACACACACACACACACACACACACACACACACACACACACACACACACACACACACACACACACACACACACACACACACACAGCACAGCAGTCGTAGTGAATTATATGTAGGATATGGTCATGGACCACAATCAAAGTGCATCATGATGTGTAATGTATCGTATGTTGAGGTTGTGGGAAATAGCCCTAGTTCTAAAAAAATGTCTTAATGTGCATTTCATTGTCACATGTTTTGATTTTCTTTGATTATGTGTATTTGAAAAGTGCTTTATGAATAAAATATGACATTACACTGAGTCACTCAGTCCTGCTCTGAAACTGTACAAAGTTTCATAGAGAACAGCAATTATTAAACTGGTAGAGTAACATACATTTCAATAAACAAAGCCCTTCAAAATCTGTTGAAATGTCTTTTACAGGAACTTTTAAACTAAATGAAAATGTATTTCATCACACGAGATGATTTTAAGTCTCCACAGTCATTGTTCAGCTACTGAGCTAAAACAAGCTTCAGCCCCACAGGCAGAAAGACGCCCTCTAGTGGCTGCTCAAACTTCACCTACGTACATGGATGCAGGTAGACAGCTCCTCTAAGTCTTTATAAAGAGACCCCTCATTAAGCTTTCTATGACTCATGGGCTGAAATATAACAGAGATGCATCTAAGTAACAGCTGCATGCGGCAGGTTTGTGAATGATATGTTTGCACGACCTTCATCACATGTTGAGATAATTCTGCTCACAATGAACATTACGCTCAGACAACGTCACAAACAGTCCCTCTATTTGATACGATAGCAGTGTGTGTTTCTGTGGGTGTGTACTCACAGTGCGAGGCGGCGGACACAGCTCTAAACACTCTGTCGGTAAAAATCCAGCATAGAAGTAGTAATAGATCCATGTTTGAGCGGGGAGAGAGAGAGCGAGAGACTGAACATCTGAGAGAGAGAGAGCAGAGTGCGGCTGCTGCTCGCTCGTCCTGCTGCTCGGAGGAGAGAACAAGTGAGCAAGAGGAGGGGGAGAATGAGGAGGAGGTGTGGGGCGAGATGCTCCCACATCCACTCCGACACTCTGAGCTACCCCTCTCCCTTTCTCTCTCTCTCTCTCTCTCTCTCTCTCCCCCCTCCTCTATCTGATATCGCCCTTCCACCCCCCTCCCTCTTCCTCCCTTTATTGGCTGAAATAATCACCATCCAGCTCTGCAGCAGCGTACACTCAGCCTGTCCTCTTCAGACAGACAGACTGCTGTTCTGTGTTTGTGTCGCCTGTGTTCAGGATGAAAACCACAGACTGTCAGACCCTCTTCAACCCGCTCTGCTATAGATCAAAATGTATTTATTTGTGAGTGACACTTTGTAGGGGAAACAAAAACAGCAACTCATGGGAGACTTTCAAAACTCAGCAGGAGATTCAATTTGGAGCTCATTCATGAACCACTTAATGACATCGATGCTACTGATGATGATGATGTTGTTGTCGATGATACTAAAAATGATGTTGTCGATTTCAATGATGTCGATGATGAGGTTGTTTGTGTGGATGATGTTGACACTTTCAAGGATGTTGTCTAAGATGTTGTCGATGTTGAGGATGTTGTCAACGATGGTGTCAATGATGTTCATGATGATAAATCTGTCGATGTTGTTGTAGAGGATTTCAGCACCACAGAGGTGGACAGCTCCCTCGAACTGACAGAGCTGCAAAAACACACACAATTCAATTCAATTCAATTGATTTTGTATAGCGTCAACTCATAACAAGTGTTATCTCAAGACACTTTACAAAAAGCAGGTAAAATACCTTACTCTTTGTCTGTTAACATTACAAAAGAGCAGGTAAAAAGACCTTACTTATTGCTATGTTACAAAGATCCGGCCTATCCATCATGAGCACTTTAGCAAAGCAGCAAAAGTTACAGTGGTAAGAAAAAAAACTGCCTTATTAAAAGGCAGAAATCACAAACACACACATGCACGCATGCAAACACATAGAGAATAAGTATGTCCATGCACATGAAAATAAAGATGCTAGTCATGTTTAAAAGTTTTTGTTATGACAGAAAAGAAGGTGTGATTAGCTCTCTGTAAACTGTCTGCACACAGGCTGATGTAAAGCTTGTGATGATGGTTAGAATAGAAAAAACCAAAAAAAATCTCCTGGTTAAAACACATTAGTCATCAATTATTCTGAAATAGACTCTCCTCCTCTTCCTCCTCCTCTTCCTCCTCCGATGAAGCTCCAAGCAGAAGACAAACACTCACCGTCTCTGTCAGACGTTTACTTTTAATTGCTCAGATTATGGAGCTGGTTTTCCAAAGCTAAACTTCCTCCTTTCATCGTCTTTTTTAAATCTCTCTCTCCCTTCACTCAAACTAATTTATTCCCTTCATGCTTTCATCTGAATCTCCTGACTCGTTTGATTCAGTCCAAGTCTGCTCACATAAACGCTGCTCCTCATCACTGAGAAGAAGAAACATGCAGCTGAATAGACTGCACACAGAGAGAAATACCGTTCACTGTGAGAGACTCGTTATCAGAAATAAAATCACTTTATTCTTTTTAACCTTGTCCCAGCATTTGTCTCAGTTTTATAACGTGTGTTATTTCTATTCTACAGATCTTCTAAAGATCGGGTAAGAAAAAAGTAGTTTTTGAATTTCAAAATGATCTTAATCCTTGAATTGATTTGAACATTTTTAAACTTTGGTTGTACAATTAAAACATCTTAATAAAGACGTATTTTCCAGTTTTTGTAATGTGACCATAACCAGAATTGAATACTAGTCTTTATAATTCTGTTTATTCAAGGTACACAAAATAAATCCTTAATGTAAACATGCTCAAATCCGTCAATCCAAATAAAAAATCAAGCTTAGAAGGAGGAGAAACGGAGAAGAAGAATTGAGAAAAAGAAGAGAGGAGGAGGAGGAGAAGTGGGAGCAGAAGAAGAAGGAAGCAGTAGAAGAAGTGAAAGGAAGGAGGAGAATTAGTGGAAGGAAGGGGGAAAAGTGGGAGAAGGAAGCAGGAGAAGAAGTGAAATAAAGGAGGATAAGTGGAAGGAAGGAAGGAAGGAGGAGAAGTGGAAGGAAGCAGGATAAGAAGTGAAAGGAAGGAGGAGAAGTGAAAGGAAGGAAGGAGGAGAAGTGGAAGGAAGCAGGAGCAGATGTGGAAAGAAGGGGAGAAGTGGAAGGAAGTGGAAGGAAGGAGTGGAAGGAAGGAAGGAGGACAAGTGGAAAGAAGGAGTGGAAGGAAGGAGGACAAGTGAAAGGAAGGAAAAAGAAGAAGTGGAAGGAAGGATGAGAGGAAGTAGAAGGAAGCAGAAGAAGAAGTGAAAGGAAGCAGGAGAAGAAGAAGTCACTTGTAGATCTGTTTGGGAAAAATGGAGCATAAATCATCTCTTAGTAGTTCAGCCTTTATGTTTATCTGTGTCATAAACAAAATAAAAACAACAACGACCTGCTCCTGTAAAATCACCCCCATGAGGTCCAGCTCTATCACAGATCAGTAACCCTCTAACAGCTCTCTAAGACTGAACCGTCAGTGTAACCCGAGGCGGTTACATCGCTGCAGGCGCCAGTATAATTAAAAACGTCTGTTTGAATAAAGACGGCAGCTTTATTAAATATCATCACACAGCTGCTGTAACTCATGATACTATTTATTCTGAGAGTAATGGTGTCGGAGGAGTACGGGCATGCACACCCCCCTTGTCTTTCTAATATTGCTGTCATGTGAAAATGTTTTAATTGGCCTCTTTAAATCCTCCATCGCTTATCAGGACAGGACAGGTGAACCCTGGTGATGCAGAAAGGTGACCCTCAAACTGATCAATAACACACATTCCGATAAACACTGACAAAGTGTGTGTGTGTGTGTGTGTGTGTGCTCCTCTCCTAGTTAAAACAAACAGAAACATGATTGTGTTGTCCCTCCTCTCGCTCCGTCTCCTCTCTATAATGAACTTGTGCAGGTTTACACTCCGTCGGGTCGCTCTGTCACAGAGAATGTTCTGGATCAATAAACCGATCAGATCTGATGAGCTCAGTTGTAACGTTGGTGTGGATAAACAGCTGATCCTCAATCCGCTGCTGCAACGTCACGCTTACACACAATCACATCTCCCAACCGAAGATAATATCTATATCTTTGGTTGGGGCTTCTCCACTGCCGCCCTCTCATATCTGAGAGTTTAAACTGTGACAGTTTTAAAAAAGGACAGTGATCAGGACTCTTGATTGTGTGAGGAACCTGGTTTTAATACACGTGTGGATTAATTAAAACTGTAGCTGTGAGGACAGGAGGACTGTAGCTGTGAGGACAGGTAGACCGTTACTGTGAGGACAGGTGGACTGTAGCTGTGAGGACAGGTAGACCGTTACTGTGAGGACAGGTAGACTGTAGCTGTGAGACAGGTAGACTGTAGCTGTGAGGACAGGTAGACTGTAGCTATGAGGACAGGTAGACCGTTGCTGTGAGGACAGGTGGACTGTAGCTGTGAGGACAGGTGACTGTAGCTGTAACTGTGAGGACAGGTAAACTGTAGCTGTGAGGACAGGAGGACTGTAGCTGTGAGGACAGGTAGACTGTAGCCGTGAGGACATGAGGACTGTAGCTGTGAGGACAGGTAGACTGTAGCTGTGAGGACATAAGGACTGTAGCTGTGAGGACAGGTAGACTGTAGCTGTGAGGACATCAGGACTGTAGCTGTGAGGACAGATAGACCGTTACTGTGAGGACAGATAGACGGTTACTGTGAGGACAGGAGGACTGTAGCTGTGAGGACAGGTAGACTGTAGCTGTGAGGACAGGAGGACTGTAGCTGTGAGGACAGGTAGACTGTAGCTGTGAGGACATGAGGACTGTAGCTGTGAGGACAGGTAGACTGTAGCTGTGAGGACATGAGGACTGTAGCTGTGAGGACAGGTAGACTGTAGTTGCTGGAGATTTAACTTTTAGTAAATGGATTCAACTTAGTCAAAAAGCTTGCAATCCAAATGTTCAAAGTTCCTTAATCTTTGAAATAATGTGAAGTTGTTCGTAATGTTAGCTAGTTCCAGAGTGGTTGTCTAGTTTGGCAACTTCAGACCGACTGACAGGTGATGTATCGTAGCTGTTTGTCAGGAGGCTCACCTCCACCTCTTTTTCGGCTACTAGTTTGACTGAAAGTTAGTTTGAGACAGTATATCCAATATAGAAATATGTCAAAGTCTGCTCCAGAACCTAATGGGTCACGTCACTGAGACTACGTCCATGTTTTAAAATGACTATGGCCTGACACATTCTCCTCCAGCAGAACAATCTGTTTCTGCAGATTTGGGTTGAAAATAGGACTTTCTGTTGTTTTTCCACTCTGTGCTGCTTCCGTCCTGCCCTGGATGCTGCTGCAGTGCTCTGATTGGATTAATGAGAGCCATTGTCTCTGCAGAGCAGCTTATAAAGTCATTTAGCAGTCACAGTGCTGATAACTGCCCCCCCGCCGCACATCACCTGACCAGTAATGGCATTCAGCCGCTCGGGGGGTCATTACAGGATTAATGTGTGTTGTCTGTCTCTGATCTGATGCACCACCTGTAGAAAGAAAGAGAAAGCTGACCCCTCCCTCAGGACAACGTTAACTCTCTGAATGTGTATAACTGTGATCCTCCAACAACAGCTGAGCTCACATAACGACTTCAGAAGCAAATGTGATTATAATCGACCAATCAGCATCGACTTCCTGTCAGGAAACACACACAGACACTAATCCAGATTTATAGATTTTACATAGAAATGTGGAATCTGCACACAGGGGTCTGGATTTTCAGCATGGGAAGGGTTCCGGTTTCCGTTTGTAGTACATTTGATATCTGCATATTCACTCCATTCCATTCCATCTATTCAAAGAATAGCACCAATGGAACATGAAAACACTGTAAATTAATTGTACACAGCCATTAGCAGCAGTTCTATACCTGG